ACAGCACATTATGGATTCTCAATATATATAACATAGAGAAATCAATAAGAGCGCGAAAATATTTGAGTGTGTGTCTCACATGATGATTTACGAGCCATATGCACGCCTCTCTGGCATAAATTCAACAAAATTGACTGTATCGGTAATTTATATTTGGTCACACAGAGTTTATTGATGAAATTTTCTCTATGATTTTGACCCTCTTTTCCTCCACTAACTTCTCGACTTTTCCTCCCTCCTCGCTTTTGGCAAAACAATACATTTTCATGAGCGACGAATGTGACCTTTTTGCATGTGTGCGACGGAAAAGTTCCGTGCCAAAAGTCGCATTGCTTTGGCATTGCGAGAGCAAATAAGGCCCAAAGGGAAGAATAAGGGTATAACGAAAAAATAAAGGTATTTCAACGACCAAACAACATGACAAAAACTGCCAAAAGACTCGCGTTTCTCGCGCTCTGGGCTATTTGTTCGCCATTCTCATCGATCATGCAAAGTTTTCCTTCTCTCCTCGTGACACCCAAAAATTCACCCTTAAGCCCACCTTTTCTCAAATGTGTCAAACACCATCGAATTGAGGACAAGGGATTGCGAAATATCATGAAAATTTAATATTGAATCCCATTCGATTGTTATTTATTTCATGCGGAAGGAGAAAAAGAAGAGAGAGAGAAAAAAACCGTCATTCAGCTTTTGGGAAAAGGAGATCACAAAATTCCACCCCAATTGTGCAAGCGTCGCCCAGGAAGGAGAAGAAACATGGTAAAGGGATGAAGGAAAGGATAGAGATTTAGAATGACAATTGTTCACATTGAAAGGAGGAGGAAGAAAAATGTTGCAAATATTTAAAAGGAAATCCTGAGAGGCAGGCAAAAAAACGTGTGCTCCTGAAAATCTCTTCCGTTTTTCTGCTGCTACTTATTGTGTAATTTCTCAGGAGATAAGAAAAAAAAAGTGTTAAATTCCATGCTTGAGAATGATCGAAACATTCCACAGATATAGAGAAATTTATCCGATATTGCATTAAGCAAAAAATCTATGTTCCACAGCAGAAGACAAACAAATTGACTGCATAAAAACTCCTTTTTCCTTAACATGAATATCCTTTTCTTCAGCCAAACCAAAGTGAAAAACCAACGGTTTTCACCTTGATTGACACCTTTGTATCAGTTGACGTGAGTCTCTCTCATCAGGACACTTTCTCCTTGGACCCCACATCATCTGACCGAACAATGTGCAGCGCCTGGCACTGCAGATGGCATCATTTCGCGGAGAAAAAAGTATCAAATGAACCACTTGCAATTTGCATGGCAATCACTGATGAAGAGTTTCTCATGAGCCATCTCACACACACGAGATGGCAACAATAAATATTCATGTAATGCGATAATTTATGACCGTTGCGATGTTGAAGAATGAGATCACGCACAATTGAAGATCGTTACACGGGTTATTGATTAAAGAGAGGCATTTGCATAGCAGCCGAAAGGAGATTTTTGAGAGTGTGCCTTGATGATTTCTCGAGTGTCCCTGGCATCGATCTCAACCACAAGTGAGAGGATCTTCGCTCGATTGATTTCTCAGAACGCTGCGAGGCAACATCAAACAGAAGCCCATTAGAAATATCAATGAATCCACCTGCAACAGCCTAACAATAACCATCCAATAATCGCGCAGCAGTAAAAAGTGAAGATTTTCTGCTTCCACAAGAATTTGAGGTGTAAAATGATAAAAACTCCCTACAATTTTACACCTTTTAGGCCAACAATAAAGTTCATCTGGGTGTCTTGTATTCTCGCGCGCCTAAGCAGGAGGCCATTTATCACTCTACCAGCACCTGACGCGCTGGAGGTCAAAGGAAAATGACCATCTTCAGCCCATGATATGCAGATGATTAGGAATTCATTAGAAGTGAGAGGAGATCATCTCGCTTGAGGATTACAAGAAGCTTATCTGTGTGCCTTTCTTCATCCTCCAGATTCTAACACTGATAGCACACTAAGTTAACCCTTTAAAGCGATTATATGGTGGGTCTATGAGAAGAGATGGAGTTCTTGTCGACCATCTCGTCAATTTAAATGCACCCAAAGTCGGCTTATTTGAGCAGATTTTCCACAATAAGAACTGACCTTAATTTACCACCCGCCAGAAATGGAATTCTACGCATTGTGTGAAATCTCACGCGGACACCGAGAGAGAGAAATGGTGTATATTCAATTAATAATATTAAATGCATGTTTGCCACCTAAATGTAATTCAAGCGGAGGAACACCGCCAGACATTGTTGTTACCCAACAATATCCAGGATGATATTCATGCGGTGTTCACAAATTAAAACACAGTGACTTGGCGAATTTCTGCAACATTTACACAAATTACATGAAAAGGAGGCAAAAAGACGGTGAAAGAATAGGTGTGAAGAGAAGAGAGAGAGAAAAAAAAGTGGAGAAATATTGATCAAATGGAACAGCGAATGTGAGGAGAAGAATTAATTTTCCACGCTTTAATGCGAGAAATTGAATTTTTCCCCAAATAAAAGCTCCCGTCGATGCCGAAAATGTCTCTTCATAAAATGAAGTTCCTGGCAAAAAGTCAATATCGCGCTCTATCCCTTTTTCTTTTTCATTTATTCTCTCTAAATCAGCATTTCATGTATTAATGCTTCTCCGTCGCTCAATGTGGATGTTTTGTGGATGAATTCACCAACAATGTAGCGTGCTTTCTTCGCCGAAGCAATGAAAAGCCAGTGTGAGATGGAAAAAATAAACCATTATATCGCTCCCCCCACAAAAGATGTCACTCGTGCCATTCCTCATTATACTACCCATCTCATATACACAGTCAAGTAACACTCGACGGGTAGAAGAGACACACACATAGCGCATATTTGTCAAAAAACGCGCCACACGAGAGAGTAAAATATAAATGAAATGTTACATAATCTACAAAATGGGAATAAAAACATTTTTGAAGCTATTGAGACATTGTTGGCTTTTAATACCCACCACATTTTTTTTTCCACTCTCCTCCAGCCATTGAAAACCCTGCGCGGAGAGTATTTAAATTGAATTGCATGTCATACATACACTGTACATAATTTGTAATGGTCTCAGAGTCTTGCACACAAAATATGGGGACGTTTTTCGTGCGCGGTCGAAAAACACCCAGAACAAGAAGCGCCACAGAGAAAAAGTGAGAGTAAGAATTTGCATATGAAGCCAGCAGTTTCACAAACTATGGCAAGAAGTCTCTAAATGTTTCTCACCCTTCGCCACCCACTTTTTGAGGGTGAAATAATTGAATGTGAATTGGTAAAAATCACCAAGGGATGCAAATATCCCTTATGCGGGCAATATGTTTTGACGATGTCAGGAAATAAAACGCACATTGAGAAACAAATAGCCTCCGGCTGAGGATCACGCATTATGCGGCAATGTGTGGAAAACATGGGGTGGCGCATTCATGCGACCCTCTCGGCACACTTTCCAATTCACGCAGAATTCAACTAATTGTACATTAGAACCATATATTCGACGACTCTTTTTTTTCGCTCCTCAAGCGCACAATGGAAATTGTATAATTTCTCCATGTCCGCAACTTGACGCATTGTTTGCTGTGCTCACGGAAATCAAAAGAGAAGAAGGAATTCGAAGGGAAACCCTTTCATTATCGCATGCGACTGTTGAACTCACTCAATTAGTTAGAATAATGAAATCAATCAGAGTTACTTCGACATTATAAGGTTTCTCCTTCGAGCGGTTGAAATGGGGTTTTCTTTTGCTGTGGATTGAAATGGAATTTGCAATGGTAAAACAATAAGAAGTAAACATAGAAGAATTTTCAACCCTCCATTTCTCGTCTTTCCTGAAGATATTAGTCAGAAGTAGAAGTAAATTTGTGTGTTAAATATGCCATCAGAAGCACACAAACACTTTTATTCAGAAGTTACGCGTAAAATTAGACTTCAACGCCATATATTAACCCTTTCACGTCAATTGGATAGTCGGCGACCTCTAGGAAGATGACTTTGTCGTTGTCTAAAGTCTTTCAAAATGCAAGAAACAATTCTTTCTGATGGCACTGCTCCATTTCTTGCCGTCGTGAGAGGGTTCATCTGCATCTTTTGAACTTCATTTCCATCAATATTTCACCCAATCTGACTGTATTGCATGTCGCCTCAAGTGCCAAGGGACAAGACGCTCTCAATAGCTATAAATAAAATGTATTCTCTTGCAATAAAAGCTCGTCCCTGGTGGAATGTCTCGAAAAGCATTTCAGCACCAGCCTGACAAAATGACATACAATACAACAAAGGCTCCACGAGACATACCCCAGAAACGACAATGGTGTCCAGTGAAAGCTCCACCGAAAGCTCTCAGCGGGCAATCCCTGCGGAAGAGTATGTCTATGCGAGAAGTCATGCGCTTTGTGCGCTTGCAGAGGAAGACAGAAAGAGAGAGGAAAAAAGAAAAGCCTGCAGCGAACAAAAGCGGTGGGACATTTTTTATCCAATAGAATTCCAGACGTTCTTCCTTCCATTCACATGTCCATACAATTGACCATTGTCTCACAGTTGCTCTCTTTCCCTCCAGAATTTATATGTATATATGTACATATCGTTTTGGAGAGCTTTCTTCTCTTGCCTCTGACAGTTCAATCTGTCAAAGTGATCCACGCCGGTCATCGGAAGTTCGTCACGTGGCGCTCATTCTCTCTGTCTCCCTCTTGCTCACGGTTTCCCCTTCTTCGTCTTCGTCTTATTTGTCGGATTGCCCACGAGTCGCGCCATAAAGAAAGGCACGCTTGATTAGAGCAGCGCCGCCCCATGCTTCGGCATCATCGCAATGTGTACGAGCCAATGGTGTCTTCCGACCAATAACAATGTAACAAAAGGCGGACGCCTGCGCTATTTTGCTCTTTCGTTCAATTTTCCACCTTCATTCGCGCTGCCGACCAGTTGTACATGGCAGTGGCGGCAGCACTGTCTCGCGCGCGGTTTCCACGCAGAGTTCCCCTTATTTTTCCTTGGCTTTTGGCATGCGGAAAATCGCACTAAAGGCGAGCCTTTTTCTATGAGTGTACATCACCTTTTTCCGCACTCCACCACGCAAGTTTCACATTGTTGGCACCACTTTAAACCCGGCGCTATGCCAACAGTTCCATTTGGGGTTTTTGCCAGACCGGATCGCGCTGCATTCACACCTATTTGTCCGCCACCTGCGCGAGTCCTGCGACTCTGAGCCGAGTGTAGTTCTCTCATTCAGTGACTCCAATTCATGGACATCAAATGACACAGGACAGTCGAAAGTGATGACAGTGAGAGCGAAAATGGTGATGATAAAATTTGAGTATTGCGTGATTTATCTCAACTTAGTGATGTCGCTGAAAATTTCACCTGTGTGATAGAAGAGACAGTGTTGTAATTTGTAGTATCAACGTGTGTCGGAGACACTTTTCACAGACGGTGGAATTTATTTTCATATATACCGAAAAGAGAGCTGCGCTAACTGAAAAAACCCATCAAATTGATTCAGGTGAAAACTTGTTGAAAATTCTCCCACTAATTTCCCTCTGTAGTATTGCGACAAAGGCAAATATTTAACTCGACAATTGTCGAAAATTTTGACACAACACACACTCTCGTCACATTAATTTGTCCTCCTCTAATTGCAAGAAAGGTCACACTCTGTGTCAATATTTTTTCCACACATTGTGTCATCTTTTGGGACTCTTGAGTTGGGGACATTTGAATTTTCGCAAATAGCAATTAGATTAAACACGGCTCGCAATTCGGCGTTAAATTAGTTATTACTTCCGCCACTTAGTTCAAGATGTTACATTAAATTTTCAGGATATTTAACCCTTTCTCAATGGCTGTCTAGAAAATTACACCTTATGTTAGTACATGAGTTTGTAGGAAAAGTGTGAATTTACGTGATTCGGAGCGAGACACATTGAGTATGACTGATAAGAATTTATGCAAAGAAGCCATTAACTTTTGCTTTACATTCGCATAACGCAAGGAAGATCACGAAGAATGGTGACAAGGAAATAATAAATGTCTATGAAACTGCTTTTTATAGGATAAATATTTTGGATCTTTTTCACATCTATACCCATAAAATAACTTGAAATTAAATTATATTTTCATTGACATCCAATGGGTTTTACAGAGAAACCACAATTATTAAATCCTTGATAAAGAATTAATTTCTCAGTGACAAAATGGGGTTTTATTTAAACTGAAACTGTCTTGATTCAAGCTTGTTCACTTTGAAATGCTGTGAAGATTTTTCGGAAAAGCATTGCAATTCATTAGAATTCCTATTCATTTTCACGATGATTACTCCAAACGAAGTTATTCATGTATTTTTCCTAGATATTATGACTTTCCCATTAAGTGTAGAGACATGAAACGGTCTCTAGCTCCTAATCATCCATTTATAGAAATAAAGAGCGCACATTAATTATGCAGGAATAATATAGAAAATAAATCAATAACACAAAATTGCTTCTGAACAATCCAAAAACTCCAGTCGCGCAAGATGAGAAAGTGCCGACGGCCGAATTAAAATCATCGCGAGTTAGATTCTCTTGGCTTCAAGCCATGATTGCGAGGGCGAAGGGGCAGCGATGTGAAAGATAAAAATGGGCAATTTATGAAGACATCTCCAAAAAGCCGAACAACACACGAAAGAGGGAAAATATACCTCAACATTTACACCTTGATTGTATTTCTATGCAAATTAATTAGCTCCCATAATCAATTCAGAGGAAAGCTCCATAAAAGCTCCCTCCACCGCAACAACAACCATGGGTACGGAATGGAGATTGGAGAAAAAAGTGTGATGGAATAATAATGAAGAATATTAATAAAAATTGTATATGATTATGACAAATGTGTCAGTATCGCGCGAAGACCGGTTTACTGGGCATCCTCGCGGCTTTTCATGCTCTCCGCCAAACACCCGAAAGATTTGTATTTACCATCTTCACCATGCGAGGCATAAATAACAGATTTGAATAGTTAAATAATCAAAATATTTTGTTTAATCAACATGAGGTGCTTCAGACACGAGGAGAGGAAAAAAAATGGCACTAAAATATATTAATAATCTCGACGCGGTAGCAGCAAAAATCATCGCCCACGTGCTAATGAAAAGACTCACTTTAATTAATTCATTGTCACTCCATCTCAATTGCGAGGGTTTCCTCATTAAAATTTCAATTAACTCTTTTTCACTTTACCACTTCGCGGGAAAACAATTTCCCACCCCCATCAAGTCAATTGGGATGGAAAATCTGGCTTGAGTGGCTTTGGTGGGGGGGGAGAAAAAAAAATCTGGATATGGAATATTTTGCCAAATGAGCAAAAGTTTGCATTTCTCAGCATTTTTCCGCCACCCAGTCATTTTTCACATTCGCGCGCATAGCCAATTAGTAGCGGAAAATATTCATCCGATTACCAATTGTCACGGAAAAATTTACAGTTATGACACACTATGTGGAAAACTGCGAGATACTCCTAAAAGACCAATCAATTGCATCATTGCTCCGCGCACACGAACGCACAAAGATGTTCACCCCAGTGCATATCAAGGGTGGTGAAGAGAGCAATTGCTTACGGCGCGTCAGGCGTCTTATCTGTGTGAGAGAATCAATCAATTGCCATCATCCATTATTTCTACACGCTAAACAACATCAAATATTGTGACTTCCAGGAGTGACAAGAGATGGAGGGAGGCGAGAAAAAAACCCACACATTGTGAAAGGAATAATTTTGACGAATTGAGCAAACGCTTTCAACACAATTATCATCCCAGTAATTGCCCATAATGGAGTTGTGTACAAGAATCCACCACAGAAAAAACATCATTTCAGGCAATTTTTCTCCTTCATCAAGCTGAAGATGAAGAGGAGAAAAAAAAGCACCACCATTGTGAAGTGAAGAAAAATAAGCCCCATAACTATTCGTGCCCACGGAGTACAATTTGCTTAAACTATCTCTCAATTGGTGTCTCAATGCTGCTCCTTCTCCCAATCGCCGTCTGTCTCGCTCTCCACTGTTATTCTGGGTGTAAATGGACGTGAAATTTGACTATCTATTCGCACTATTGCATTCATAGTGCAATTAGCGCCCGAAAATCTATCTTATTAGTCCATAAGCGACATAAGTGCCTTTGGAGGTGGGTTTACTCAGTCAATTAGCACATCCATTTTTCACGCCTTTTCCATCCATTTAGATGCAAAGAGACACTTTATTTTCTGACTCTATTTTAATGTCTTCATTTCACACGAAATATTCTATGGAAAAACACTCAGAGAGAGACAAACTTTTTCATGCACAACACTTCCCTTTTCCTCTTTGGAAAGCTCAAAACGAATGCAGTCAACTTTTGCACAGAGATGAAAGCTTTCAAAGTTTATGAGTGTTTTTCACATGATTGCAAGCCATTTTATAATAGAACGGTTGTTTAAACAGAACTTGTACAGAATGTAATGGTTAAATATACGCACGGAATTTCTTAATTAACTCTCAAGAGTGTAATAATACATGATATTAATTCAAATCTTATTCGTTTTATTGCAAGACTCAATATTGCTGAATTACATATAAAATCAATCCTTGAGCAATATTTTTATTACAAAGACATTCTTTTCCATTGTATTCTCCATTGAAGGTATATTTAAAATCAACAAAATGAATAAATCACGGGAGAAGAAAGTCTCATTCGCCCATTTAATCTCTTATCCCGCGAGTAATTTCGATTGATATGGGTATTTTATTGTTGAAAATTCGGTGTCCTAGAGTGGCCCTTTTCTCCCAGAATATTCAGATTCCATATTCCAATTTTATGGGACTATCTGAATTGGGTGCATTATTTAATGACCCCGTCATTTCCTGTGCGTCCTCCGTGGCCGCTAAGGACGCCCACTCATCATGAAATAGGCGAGCGCGCGAAGACCCACCGGGAACAGTAGGAGCGGAGGCTCGATATTGGATCATCAACACTCGAAATGATCGTAAATTTGTAATTAATTAGAGATGATATTGAGAGAAACTATCCCCTCGGTCGATACTTTGTCCCTCGCGGGACAGGAATCTGGGCAATAAATTCGCAGCTGGAGAGCAACCCGGAGGAGCGCGTCTGCTGGCCAGCAAGGGAGCCTTCTTCTCACTCTCCTCGCATCAAAGAGCTTGCGCGTTGACCAGCAGCCAGTTCGAGAGTCATCTCCAAGAGCTCTCGCTCTCCTGGAATGTCTCCTCCTCTTCTTCACTTCCACACAACATTTTTATTAAAATGACCCACGAGACTCCGCGTGGTGTGTCGCCTCTCTTTATTTTTTATTCAATGAAAAGAAAATGATTATGAATCGCACCTCGGATGGCCACTTGTTCTGCCCCGCGCGTCCCGCGCAATGGGATCAACTGCGGGGCGAGCGCGATGGTCTACCCAACCGAAAAATTAATGGCAATCCACAGGCAACTGTGCGGTGCTGAGCGCGTGAATAAATTCCAAAATCAACATTTCTGAGTCAGCGGGACACTTTTTTCGGGATGCTCTTGATCCCCGAGCTGGCATAACCACTCTTCTCTTTCGCTTCAGATTGGGAATTCAGAATTCAGTTTGTGATGACGATGGAATGCGTGATTTTATGGGGCGATGAGCCGTGGAAAAACGGCACAGCAAATGAAGAGGGAAATCTTAATACTGAACGCGCGCGATGACCAATAAATTTTTCCACACACCATCCCGGCGTGCCCAAAGCCAAAAAGGAAAATTCCCGCGAGACGCGCCACACGGTGGAAAAACAGTAGCCGCGAAGTGTGTTAAATGGTGACCCGCTGGGATTTATTTGGAGAGATTGGATATTGCGATACCCCCACATGTGCTCATAATGATGTCTGCCTCGGAAGCTCCGTGAAATGAGATTCACTTTGTTTTTCAGACAACAAGGCGATATGATGGACAGAATACCATCGCTGTCTCTCCCGGGCCTCTCTCTGCCCCATCCCCTGTCCATTCCCACCACGCAGACCATCGCGAATCACTCAACGCTCAACACACTGAATCTGCACACCGCCCAGAACCTGCACGCCACCTCCACGGCTTCGCTGCACCACCACCAGACTCAGACGCAGACTGCCGGCAATCTGCACCAGAACATCGGCGGCATGATGAACAACTCCGGAAGCACGAAGTAAGTGGACAAACTCACCACACACTGGGAATACTGAGCCCAAGACAAGGCGGTAAATGAGTGCCTTTCGCAGTGAATCGGCAATTTAAATTAGAATAATAATGGATTTAACACTAATTCAGCAAAATGGTTAAATGGTTAAATGGTTTGAGAATTATTTACTAAATGCGACAGACTCTTTAAACCCATTGTTTGTTATCCGGTTAAGTCTTATTACCTACTCGAATTTCAATTAACTTTCTAAAAACAATTTAAGGAAATCAGTTAGAAAGAAAGACAAAATTTTTCACAAATGATAAAGCTTCCAACTGTCACTAGTTAATTTGAAGATTTGCACCAACCCAGGGCTGAAAATCTAAACTGCGTTCGACGCATTAATTCCACCCCTTGGCGCACAAAATCACAGTTGTCACTGTGTTTCCGAGAGTGAATGCCACGAGTATATTATGATTCATGATCTTCCAAGTTTCTTCTGCAGTCTCATGGGTCAGAATAGCGCCAAGCGCACCACGGAGGAGCACATAAAGCGCCCCATGAACGCGTTCATGGTGTGGTCTAGGCTGCAGCGTCGCAAGATCGCCCAGGACAATCCCAAGATGCACAACTCGGAGATCTCCAAGCGACTGGGTGAGTTTTCCACTTGAGATAAATCCCCTAATAATGCTATAACAAAGAGGGTGGCATGTCCTTTGACATACTCTCAAACACCCATCGAAATAATCTGTTATTGAGTGGCCATTGAGGTGCATCAAATGACAATGTTTGGAGGGTTGGAAGAACCCCTCGAGAGGAGACTTTCTGCGCCCACAGAATCGACTGGTAGATATTTAATTCGATCCTATATTTTCCCTCCCCCACAAAGAGAATCTCCCGTGCATTCTTCTGCAATCGCCAGAAAGTTCATTCTTCCAAACAAACTCACAGCCACCATATTAAAGCCCGTGATGGATTTGAGTGGATGCCGAGGGGGAGTGGTTTGGTGGGCAGGGAAAGCTAAGGAAAATTCGTATTGTCATTGATTGCGTCAAACAAGGCATTATGAGTCCGATTCAATTGTCCAAACAGATGTAATTCCAGATAGAGATTGCCTGTCAATCCAAACTGAACAATGCGCCCCGGAGAATTCCAATCCCATTGTACATTTTCCTTCTCGCCACCCTTCTTCTTGCCCGGGAAAATTCTCTCTTTCACTCTCTCTCCCGATGGAATTGACGGGAGAAAAATGTGTACCATTTCTATTTGGCTCGCGTGAACCTTCTTCCACGTGATCCCCAAACCAAAAGTGATAGAATTTTACAAGGCTCAAAATGTAACTTCCGCTCTCGCATTCGATTTAATTTCCTCCTCGTATCCGATTTCCGTGACATATTGTGGTTTTTCGTGGGTGTGATTTCAAAAAATTCCATGCACAAGGACAATGATGACGTATTTAAACTAACTGCTGGAATAATTACAATCCAGAAATGCACAAAACAATTTTAGGGGATAAATCACTAATGAAGTCTGTCGATAAGTTTCTCACTTGATTAATCAACTAATTAATGAATCTGATTGATAAATTCCACCACAAAATGCATAGCTTTGTTATTATTCAATTTAATTCAGATCACATTAAGCCTAGAATCTAGATTATACTCATCGCAAGGCTCTGCTCTTTTCAGCCACTCTCCTTGCCAATACATTTGGCGTCTGCCAGATTATATTGTTAAATGTTATCCTATTCACACGCCACAAGGCGAGGTTATTGTTGTGCAAGTGGCTTCTCGAATACTGAATATGGTTCTTAAGGCTTCCCACTTTCCGAAGAGAGGGTGTCTTGACAATGGTGAAACATCTAATTATTCTTATCTTGGTTCAACAGTTTCGAAATTTGAATATTTTCCCGCATTCATATAAATATCATCCCAAAGCTCCTGTGCATATGAGTAAATTATCAAAATGCGCGCGCGCGCGCGTTTATGATTTTTCCCATTCACTCTGCGCTTCTGCATGTAAATATTGACAATCGATTATGCGTGTTTTTATTTTCCAAATGAAATGAGCCATATGTCCAATTAACGAGGAAGTGCATTTCGGGTGGGGAAAACAATGCGGATTCACCCATTGTGTCGATCCACCCCTGGGACTTGTCTGATCCGATGTGTGCTCAAATCTATCATCCGGCAAATTTAGATGTTTCTGAAGTGCATATTAACACACCCGCCCATTGTTCGCAATGCGAAGAGTGGGCGGGTTGAGCGCAAATACGCTTTGGGGATGATATTTAAGTGAAAATACAGCGGGGCGAAAGCCAACCTCCAACCAGGCGAGCGTGTCAATATTTGAGCGACAAAGAGTGCTCTATTGTCTCCCACTTTGGATTAAATTAGATTTAGGAGGGGTTTTTTCCTCCGCCCATCGTCACTGCACTTGGGAGAAATATTTAAATAGCACTCAAATGTTGGACGACAAACTTTTTCTGCGCGAAGAAAATTGTCAGAAACAGATTTGTTTGTCTCCCAAAGCAAGTGCACCACAGGAGGAAAGAAAAAAAATGGCAAAAAGGGGTTGAATAAGACGCGCGTCTTCCATTCTATGGTCAACATTGATAAATCAATTTAATTGAAATTCGATCCTCATCTCACCCGTCGCACTCACTCTATTGTCCATACGGATTCTTCCCCATCGACGCAATCCATCCTCGTCGCGGCACAAAAGCCATACAGCCAGATCGCATGTTTTGTAATGTTGCCCAGGGAATTCTTTCACAATCTCTCGCTCACTCTTCAGAAATTGTCTTTCAATTCCACATCACTTCAACCCAGTCACACTCGTTGTTTCTCATCAAAGGCAAAAAGCGAACAATGACATCATTATGAGTGGAAGCAAAATTGATTGAACACACTTTCTAGCTGTTGATTTTCAATATCATTCGACGTTATACGAAACTTTTCCCCAATATTTCGCCAAATACTCGATTGAAATGCTTTCAAGCAGGTTTTGATCTGCAGTTTTAGTAATTACCACACTTTAATGGGGCATTTGATTGGAATTACTTGTGTGCTGAAATTATTTGATTGAGCCAATGAAATTTGTTTGACTTTTGCTTCCACATCTGACACCTATAAAGCTCATCATTTTTTTTTAGAGTTACAAGTTGTGCATGTTGTTCCTTTAATTAAAACGGATTAATTAAAAATTAATTAATTAAAAAATAATTAAAATTTCAGGAAGTCACCTGGAAAAACCAACACAATTCTAATTAATTTTACTAACGATGGTTAAACTTTGCGGATATTTCCGTACGCATAATGGAAAATACATATGTGCGGAAAAAATGAAATTTACGCATTAACAGATACTGCAACTTCTCTCATGAGACGCATTCAGATTATTGCCAACCATGCCAACATTTGAGCCCCACGGCGATATATATACTGTTGACTGTGGTTTGGAAACTATGTCGCTGTTCATTCTACCATCCGTTGCTCTGGCGCCATTGTTCACCCCAAAGTTGGGAATGTCTCTGTTTCCCCCTGCTTTTTGGGGGGGGAATGAGTTGCGGATGGAGCGATGACATATTCCAACATGAAAAACTCGAGTTTTGTCGTCATGGCGACAATGGAATTGTGTGTGCATTGTTTTCTTCATCAATTGCACGATGATGGTTGTCTCGTGAAAACCACGCGCAAATTCACCGCTACAACATATTGCATACACCTGACAGAAATTCTGCACTCCATTCTGAATTCCACATACGAGGACCAGGGAAAAAAAATCACCCCAACCCCCCCAATTTCCTGAAGCTCAGCACGTGAATTTTCATACCTCAAACTTCTGCACAAAAACTTCCCTCAACACACCCACACACACACATAGTATTTGATGATGAATTTTCACGTGAAAAGGAGTTCCGTCAGTGTGAATACTCTTCTGGTAACTAACAATGTAGTCATTATTTACCATCCAACACATAGGAAATATTGTTTCTGAATTAAATACAGTTTCTCATATGGAAAAGCCCCCACTTTTGCCACTTCTCCACCCTCAGGAAATTGTCAATGTTTGCCAAAAACGAGCAATTACAGAAATTCTGTCTGTCATCCTCATTCTACCTTTAAACACACAAATGATACATTTTCAACTACAATTTGAGCTCACTTTTGCAGGTGCCGAATGGAAATTGTTGAGTGAAGATGAGAAGCGTCCATTCATCGATGAAGCAAAGCGCTTGCGGTACGTTAAATACTTATAGAATTCAAACACTAACTTATCAAAAAGCTCAAATAAAAGCATTTAGTGGAACTACGAGACTCAATTTATCATTGCAGTGCTATGCATATGAAGGAACATCCAGACTACAAGTATCGACCGAGGAGAAAACCAAAAGCCCTGAGACGCGATGGTTATCCATATCCAATGCCGTATCCTTCTGTTCCCGTGGAGGCTCTGCGAGCAGGTAAGGCGCCATTGTTGACCCAATTTCGCACGTGAAAATCATTAACTTCCAGAGATTTTCCCACCATTGTTGCCACTGCAATTTTCGCAAACGTTGAACAAGTGAAGTGATAGAAAGGAGTGAAAATGAAGAGACAATAGGATATTCTTTCACATTGCAACTTTCATTCCAGGCATCTCTCATTTTGGCATCCTTTCACCATCAGACATTGTCAATGGTAAAGTGCATTGGATGGTAGGGGAGAGGGTGGTGAAAAGCTGTGCATACACACAGTTTGTTGAGTAAATTCTTCCCATTCTTTCAACATTTCTGCCCTACAATCAACAATATACCATCCATGTGAAAATGATGAGGAAAAAAAAGGAATGGATTTAAAAAGCAAAGTAGAATACTTAGAAAACACGAAAGCTCATTGTTCTCGCAAAACATGTCCCGCTGTAAGGACTGAATAGGACAAAAGCTCGCAACATTTTCTCTCCTTTTATGCCTTTCTTCTCCCTTGTCTCTCCCTCAGCTCTAATTAACATTTTTGTTCAATTAGTCTTTCGCGACATCGAGGAGGAAATTAGTTGGGAAAAACTGTTCCGAGAAGGGACTTTCCCTGAAAAAAAAATAAAATAAAACAAAATTTGTAATGCTACACCTTAATTGCTCAGTGACACGCCAACGCCCACGTAAATCCGTATCGAACACACCCTCGCAGACGACAAAATACGGAAAATACGACCGTCATCATTTTAATTTTAGGCCCACAAACAAATATAACTCACAAAACTTTTGCCCACGAGGACGAGGAGAGCTTGCAAAGCTCTGGCAAAAAATGAATAACTCACGAGCATTGTCGTGAATTTAGCAAATAAACTTTCATGACTTCGTATGGGATATTTTTGGGAGCAATTTATTGCTGAATTTTGCTACTTTTCCCCACAAATATAGAGTGTATTATATTTTTTTTTATCGTGCTTTCTTGCAGGAATCACACCAGGATACTTCGCTCCTGGCCCTCCCTATCACTTGGGCAGTCATCTCTCGCAAGCGAGTCCTCCGACAACACAGGTAAGACATGGTAAATGAAAGGGGTAGAAAATTGCCACAAAATCATATTTCTCCTCCATTGTCCTCGGGAGAATAAAAGAAATACAACAAATATAGATGCTATCGCGACCCCAAAGGGAGTCGGAGAGAGAAAATAAAAGGAATTATTAATGGAAACAGACAACAGAAGGTGGAGGCGAAAAGAAGTTATATTGGAAGGTGTTGAGACAGTAAAAAAAAAAGTATAGAGAGCGCGCAGAGAGATAATTTAATTCGATGAACGCAGCGCGTATCTCGTTAAAGTGATGAGATAATTGCACAGTGATTTGATTGTCTGTCCATTCATACCTGCCCATTGTTGGGTTAACTTCTTCAGCTCGCAATTATTCTCCCATACACTACAATTTCCCTTCCACAACACTCCATCATCATTAAAGACCATTCGATGCACGCTCTATTTGGACACATCACTTTTGGCTACTGTTTTTCCATGCCATCATAATCTCCTAATTCATCTCACATCCACACTCCTTTCATCTCCTCTCTCGCTCTCTCTCTCTCTCTCCACCAATTGTAATTTTTCATCTCTCTAGAACATTTCCTCTCTTCGCGAGCGTGTGTTTACACCCAGATTTCATCTCTCATACCCAAAAAACTCCCTTCAATCCTATTAAACTCAATCACCTTAATAGCAATCTTTCTCACACGAAAATTGATTTCTTCACACCCATTTTAATGTCTCAGAAAACAAACACTCCAGCCGTGAAGGAAATAGTTGAGATTGAGCGCTATTTTCATGCTTATTTAACCCTAGGAGGTTAAATGTGGATAATTTAATTAATTACTATCTGTTCCTCATAATCAACTGCGTTCAAGTATGTGCAAAAATCAGAATGATTTCCTTAAGGAGAAGACTAGAAAGCAATACATGATGAAGTTACAGTTCAAAACATCTCAGCATCACTCCTGAGTTGAATGATAAGACACTGATACTGTGATGGTGTTTCTTTTATGAAAGATTCTCTTCTCCACGATATGCTGAAAGTGTGTAAATTTCGTATGAATGGTGGGCAATATTTTAAAGTGACACCTCAACAATACCTCCTTAACGAATTCAACGCAGCGCAGTGAAAAGAGTAAAATAAATATAGTATGGGAAATAAAACAAAAAGATGAATGTGAGGCATTAGATAGATGAATGGGGAGTCTAAGGAGGAAAAGCCAAGAGGGGGGGGACTTTTGTGGTTGTAACTCTCGAGAGCCGCCCGGTGAGACAAAAGGCAAAAGCACTTGACAGACGTCTTTTGTACCCATGGATTACTGGTGATATTTATTGTTATACTATTTTTTTTTCCACCTCATCTGCATTGTTGAGTGAGGATAAAAGGCATAAACGCACGAGGATGCTCAAAATGTCTCTTTCACACACACATATCTTAGGCGCTCTTTTTGGGCTCCTTTGCATTGCGCAAAAATTCATTTCAAGGTGAAACCAATTTAATCCGATATAATCATTCACCTCTGACCTCAATTCATGGACTCTCTCTCTCTCCATTTGCCTGTCGTCTCTCCGTCTTGAGATCTTCAATTAATCCAACACTTGGGCTCTTTTTTTTCTCCCCGTCTAATTGAATATCCTCCACTGCATCCAATTAGAGGTGAATTTCCCATCCCGAAAATGATTTTTGTAAATGTGAAATATGCTGAAGAGAGAGAGAAGTGTTTAGCGCACAATTCGTCATTATGCTGCGATGTCGATGGCATTCGATAATGAGGGGGGAGGGTCAGAAAGATGACTGACGATTATGTAATTACAGAGTCGAATGATCGACAAATTGACGGTCACTTCCATCAGCATGTGATTTTTCTCCCCCATCATTTCCATGCTGCTGCAGCATCGCATAAAAACAAATATTTACCCATCAATGGAAGCCACCAATTTTCTCACACTTCGCGCGCAGGACGACGGAAAGGAGGAAAGAAAAAATCCCTCTTTTGTCATCCCACAGACCAGCCAAATTGTCGGTTACTTTTGGGGACATTCTCACACCCTGAAAGCCTTTGTCCATGGCAATGTAATTACAGTGTTTTGACTTTTCCGGTGAGATATTGACACCTAAGAAATCCCTCCCGGCCATATTTGTATTTGCACACCAAATTACAACCCTCTTTTGCACACACTGATGAAAAACCCAGCACAAAGCGGCGTGTTTGTTTTCAAAGAGGGGTTTTCAGTTACACCGACTAAACGGCCATTGATGGCTTCAAACAATGTCACATTGAATTCAATTTAATCTTAACTGGTTCTTATCTTTTGCAATCTTAATCAGTCTGATTGTCCAAGGGGGAGATTGTATGGCGGAAATCCGTACACCACTTCGCCTTCTTAATCTGTCTCCCTTAATTTCGTTTCGTGCTGCTCAAATTTATGACAAAAACAATAGATCAGGAGTTCTGCCGACATAAAGATGTCAGTGGGCAAAAGCCTATGCTCATCGTGTCCTTCCTATCTTCCAGGCCTCTTTGCCGACTCAGATGGATGTATCGAAGTTTGCCCTGGACAGGTCCGCGTACCTCAATTCGGCCGCCAGCTCGCTCTACGACACATCGAAGGCCCCGACAAGCGCTTACAGCGCCTACCTCGATCCGTCCGTCCTCACGAAGGCCTACTTCGACTCTAAGATGTACCAGGATCGAGCGGCTAACTATGCCTTCGACATCAGCAAGATCTACGGACAGCAGCAGCTCCAGCAGCCGACAAACGGCATGACATCGAACAACAACAACCTGGAGGAGCGCGAATCGACGCCCCAGCTAGGCGAGCTAGGCGACAAGGGCCCACTGGGCGGCGGTCAGGACAGCCAGATGGAATCCTCGAGTGGCTCCACATATCCCTCCAGCGGATACCAATATCCTCCGGGGGGAGACTTTCGGAGGCCGCTGACTGTGATTTTCTGACCAGACAAGGACTAAAGGCGCCGCGCGGCCTACGCCCCACACCTAGGCCTCGCCCTAGACACACCCTCTGTCCTACAGATCTTTCCTTTCGCCCACTTTGTAAATAAATATAAATCATAGGGAATACAGTAGACGCTAGAGACGTAAATTAAACGCAAACCTATCGATAGCATAATTTCTCTGTATGAAGAAAAAAAAAGATGGAATAAAGAGACAAAAAAAAATTATACTTAATCAGGAAATGGATAAATTGGATTAAAACATACTGATGTAAAATTATGCATATTGATGTAATTTCTGTCGTTAAACTTAAACCATAGAGAGTGTAAATTATTGGGAAAAATAAACAAAAATCTATCGAGTGGAAAATTTCACGAGAAAAATTATTGAATAAACACATGAGATACAATGGCATTCGGCACTGTCTTTTTATCACCACCGCGTGTTTTATTTGCCTCAATTTCCAAATGTAAATAAACACAGGAGCGGAAAAAGCACTTGAACATCCCTCATGAAATTATTTCACCCTCGTCGAAAGCGTAATAAAAATTAAATAAATAGGAGCAAATTATAGTTAATTTCTTCGCGCTTTTCCCACATCTTTTCGCCATGCAATTTCCCACAAGGACTTTGCAGATGCAATTGAAACAGATTTACTCATTAAATTACTTCGCATCACTTGTGAGTGTTTCGTGAGTAATAATTAGTGAAATCATATTAGCAGAAAAGCGATTTGAGAACAGTTTCAACAACATTGAGAACAGTTGTTATAACTTAGCGGAGACACAGCGTTAGAAATTGTGATATCAAGTCTCTGCATTACCGGCGTGAAAATTTCTTGTTCTAACATCTTTTCCACCCCTATGATGTGCAGGAAACTTTGGTATCTCGACTAAGATTGCTTTCTAGCACTTTTCCCGCCAGAAACTGTACAATTATCATGGGAAACATCTGCTCAACGCGCGGTCGAATATTTTCTCATGCGGATAACAAACACCTAAATTGCGCTCGTTTGATAACGCAACAATAGTTCTGTTGTAGGAAAAGTTATTTCATAGGAAACTCACAAGGAAGTGGTAAGCAAATTTGCCTCTTTTCAGCTTCCCTTTTGTGTAGTTTCAACCAGAGGAAAAAAATGTGTGTGTGTGTGGCAATGGCAGGAACGTTGGACAATTTGTGTGTACAAAGTAAAAGGTAAACATAGTGGATGATATGAAAAATGGCAACAAAACCCATTCATTGCACACACACTCTCGCCCTTCATCGCCTGAGAACAATTTCACACAATCCTCCACAGTGACTGGAGAGGGTGTGAAAAGAAGGACGCGCGATGAGAATAATAAAATGCCACATAATAGCGAATAATGTCCATTATTCGAAAACAAACGACTCCACTGTGTTATTCTGATAACAGCATTGAAGATGGAATTAATATGCTCCCCGACAAAAAGATTATAGGTCTCTCTCACCCTCTCGCCCTCACTAATGCTCTGCACACACTCATGAGGGATTTCCCGAGTCGGAAAGCTCGCTCACGGTGCACATCTTCACACCTTCATTGTGCCTGTTGCAATCACTCCTCGTGCATTCACGACGGGCACAGATTAGTGGCGTGCAATTTTTGATGCACTCCCAATGGAGACAAGAGGAACAATTGGTTCAGATAGATTGTGTGTCTCTTAGAAATTCACCCTCTATTCAATATCATCACCCCCAACAGCCTCTTCACCTCCGTCCAATGGACACAATGGCCACTTGAATACAAGTGCAAAAAGTCAATTGGGCTGGAAACTCTTCATCACATCGTCAAACAGGGTGCGAAGGAAAACACATACAACACACAAGAGAAAATAGAACAAATACCCGAGGAAAAGCCATGAAGAATGGAAAAGAATATAGTTATTTGTTGATCCAACAGGAAAACCTCGCACTGGGAAATGCAATAAAGACATTCCCTCAGGGCCACATGACAGCATCTTCCCACAGTGTTATTCCAATAATTCATCATTCTCTTTTCACACCATCGCAAAATGGAAAATGATAGAGTATTGATACAAGTGAAATATCAATTGGTGGCTCTTTATTTGCACAAACTCACCCTCAATTCGGGATTAATTGAGTGGCAATGAAGGGGTGTGTTCACAAATGATAACAAAACCCATTGCACTCACTGGCGCAATTGTGAGGATTTGGCCAAAAACAATTGCTTCATCTTCGGCGCTACGTTCGCTCCCTATTCTTAATTACCAGTCAAAAATCATTCTCATGCATTGAAGCGATTGAAGCATTCAATCTCGCGGAGAGAATTAATAGGGAACTCAAGGGAAGGACTAACAAGCACGCAGTGTACACTACAAGAGCAAATCGCTCGTGCTTTCTCAGACGGTTTAACACAAATAATTTTGCTGATAATTTAAATACATTAATTAATTGATCGATATCAAAAGAAATATTGTATTAAAGGCGTTATTAATCAGGAAAACGCAACACAAATAAACTCCTGATAAAGTTCAACTCTCATATTAATTACGTGTTTTATACAGAATCAGATGCTGAAAGTTGATTTTGCATATCATTATTTACAAAATTTCAAGTTAGCGAAAGAAATATGATTTTATTGGCATTTCCTATTGAATAAATAATAATATCTTTATAATTGATGTTCTCAAATTAATCCTTCACATATTGTACACCATAACACTGAATGTCACCACCTTTGGCAAGTATTAAAATACCGCGAAGAAACATAATTGCTGAGGAAAAATCCTCCGTCGCTGTTAAGTCCATTTATATTAAAGTCAGGTGTAATTGTTGATTAACAGTCAAATGAAATTTCCCCGTTCGCCCGACAGGCAAACATCCCTTTGCACAAGTAAATAAACACTCATTCCATCACATAATCGAATCACTTTCACTTCATGCAATTCAATTCCAATTATAATTACAGGAGTCGCTCTGTCACCAAGAACTTGCGATGAGCGCGATGAAAGTGTCTGTCATGGATGGGGAAAACTGGCGGGAAAAATAGCCACGAGCATTAGCCTTTGTGAGGGTGGCTTTGGCCACAGAGAAAAAGGGGTCTCTCACCCCCCGAATGGCAACCTGTTGCAGTAGAGCGTAAAAAGCCACACCTGCTCACTCAGGATTGGCGAAGCTTGCGCATGTCTGGCGCATTTCTTTTCACCCTGACTGGCAATCGTCTTCATCCCCCCAAACTCTGGCCCGATCGTTTTGCTTTTAGCAACAAATGCGCACAATTGTCTGTTGTGTGATGAGCGCCATTCAGCGTCTTTGTGTCCTTTCACGCCACTGTCGCGCACGTCTAAGGAACTGAGGCACAAATGTTGGGTGAGTGAAGAAAAGAGGGTGTCTCCATTGGGTTAAGGAAGAGCCCAGGAAAAAAGACGTACAGCTTTTTATCGCGCTCAACCACAGCGACAAATTTCCCCTCAGAGCGCATATCTGTCGCGCCAAAACCTGGCACGCCATCCTGAAGCCCATTTTGACTGTGCACAGACCGATTCAGACGTCGAAGAACCACGGAGTGAAGCGGACTATAGCTTGTGGATCTTATTGTGATTTGGCGACGGTCGAGACAATTTGTGTTGTTGTCCTCAAAGGACCAGAGGGAAAAAGTGGCACTTTTTCGGCGGGAACAGAGACTCGCGAAGCCCCAGTGAAGCATATTGAGTGTGATCATGTCAAAGTCCCAATCGGAGCACATAAAGCGCCCCATGAATGCCTTCATGGTGTGGTCTCGCGGTCAGCGGCGAAAGATGGCACAGGACAATCCCAAGATGCACAACTCAGAGATCTCCAAGCGACTCGGAGCAGAATGGAAACTCCTGTCGGAAGCCCAGAAGCGACCCTTCATCGACGAAGCCAAGAGATTGAGGTAAGGATGCCTTCGCCAAAATCTTATCGCGCGCCACACAACACTGATAACAACACCCTAAAGAAGTTGTATTTACTCCTCGCGCGATAACCGACAATCCTTAGCATATTGAAGAACAAACAAAACATCACGTCCACTTTTGTGGATGAACAAACATTCGATTTCGATTGAACAAATAACAATAAAACTGTCTTGGAGCGTTGAATTGAAGGCGCATGATAAAAATAGCGGGGATTGTGAATATTTGGATTATTACTTTTCATTTCCCTCTCAGTCCCTTTTAAGCCAATATAAGACGTTGCGTGGCGTGTTTTCTTCCATCGACAAGATATTATCAAAAATCAAATATCGATTGGAGGAAGGCGAAAAAAGAGAGAGAGCTTCTTTTGATAGTGAAGACGATTTGGTGACCAATTCGACTTGACTCTAACTCAGAAAAAAAGAGAGAAACACTCTGTAAATATCGCCTTTCATGCGTCATTTCACAAACAATTGTGCTTGGTATTTACATTGGATATTTATTGATAAAATTCGATTGATTTATCAGCGGTTTAATCGCCACAGCATGCAAAAAAGTAACCCTTTTAGTGGCAAATAAGGCAAAGTAAGTGTGAGGAGTTTCGCGAATGATTTGCTTTAACTTTGAGTTTTTCCTTCAAGGCTTTGTAGTGAATTCGGTTCCCTAAAAGCGAAAAATCTCTTCCACTCAGAGCACTGCACATGAAGGAGCATCCGGACTACAAATACCGACCGCGGCGGAAACCCAAGACGCTGGTGAAATCGCCCATTCCACAGGGGAATCACCACTCGCCCGTCTCCAATCAGCACCAGGGCAAGGAAACTTCCCTACCAGCCAAGTATCCCTTCGTGCCCAGCCTGGATCTCACACTCAGCCTGCCACCGCGGCCGCCGGGCTTCCCGCTACCGCACTACTCCACCCTCGATCCGGCTTTCGCGCTGGACCTGCAGGCGCGGCTGCAGGCGATGTGCGCCAACGGCGGCCTCTATCATCCTTGGCGCTACTTTGGCTGTCCCACCGTCCTGCCCGCCGCCGACTCGCCACCCTCACCGCCCACGCCCGTGTCCTACGTCTGCGTGAAGTCCCCGAAATCCTCGCCGCCGCCCGCCACGGCGCCGCCCGGCGCTCCGCCGCCGTCGACAGTCATTTGACCCACACCGTTGCGATTCAACGTGGAACACACACCGGTGTGAATGGCCATCTCAATTAACAGAATTCCTCTCCAGGATATAGACAGGTTAATGGTGTCGTTACGTGTCATAAATTGCATATCACCGAGTTTCACTCATGCCAAAGGGGGAGATATTGTGACGACCGCATTTTAGACGTGAGATCCGTAATTTTGGGTTCATTAGCAAGTCGCTGCATGATTAAGAAATTGTCTTCAAGATGTCTTATAACACTAGGATGCGCTGAACATGAATTCCCCTCGAACGAATTGGTTAGTCTGACCAATTCATAACGCTTCAATCGGTAAATTTTGTAGACAAGTAATTTTTTGCAAATCAACATGACTTTTTTCGTCTTGATTGAATATTGAAAATGGTGACCAGAAAAGGGGTCTCAAGTGAATTACTTAAGAAATACTAAATGGAGACTTAAGAATTAATGTGCTGGACAACCAAGTTTAAGTTCTGAAAGCGTCAGGAAGTGATTTAAAGATTTTACACGCATTATCTCCCCCTTGACTCATGTGCATCTGAGGATGAGTTTGAGAATTGAATTGCGGAGAGTGCAAAAAATCCTACTTATTATCTTGAATCTTAAACCGAAATTCACACACAAAAACCAGTAATGAGAGAATATTTTTAAAAAATGTGATAGTTTTCATATCATTCAGGAGAAGTAGATGAAAGAAAAAAAGTGTTAAAGATAAAAAAAAATAAATCATGAGGTGTAATAAATAAAAGACATTTTTTGCGGACCCTTTCTTCGTTGGTGTGGTATGAGAAAAAAAAAATCCAATTTCCACGTGATAAAATCTTTCGATATCCGGTCAAGCATGGATGAAGAAGAAACTGCGTCCGAGAAGTGTTGATGATGACAAAAGAGCATAAATCAACATAGAAAATTCCTTCTATTTGTCGCATTCACACAGTGTCAATAATGCCACTATAAAATGAATATTATGTATGCTTGTCCATAAATTCATCCCTTTTGTCGCACAATCAATTTATTCCTCAACCCCTGGTCGACCATGCATCGTCTGTGGAAGGTAAGAGTGGAGTGGTGAAATCCCCGGGAACGGAGACAGGAAGCGCGAGAGGAGGAAGTGAAGATCATCGTGTTAAATACACAATTTACACTTGAATGTTCAAAACACTAGAAAGTGAATTTGGGGGTAAAAGATTTGCAAAAGAAGAAGAGAGATATGCATTGAATTTAATAACATCCCCCAACCATTTTTGCGAAGGGTGTTGCAAATTGAAATGTTGAGAACACTTTTTCTGAGAGATTTATTGCATTTTTAATCTGTTCAAGTGTTTGTGCTCAAGTGGAGGATTAAATAGAGAGAGAGATGGAAGAATTATTTTCAATGTTAATCAAGAGACACATTAATGGTGACCGAGAGAGTATTGATAGAGTGATCAAGAAAGTGCTGATATTTGGCACACAAAGTCCACGCCAAAGGTCGAGTTAATCCCGAATTCTGCTCACCCTTCAATTTTTCTCCGCGACGAGGTGTGGAATGAGAGATCAGCAAGCCAAAATGATCCAATTGGAGGGATGAATAAATTAGTCAAATCAATAACATTTGACACTGATGATACGACAAATTTGTCTTCCGTCAGCCACACAGAGATTCACATTCAGCCACCCTTGAAATATTATTTGAAGAGAGGACGCCAAAAGGATGAAAGAGCGACTCCGCTTCGACACTGGGAAGGATAATAGAGGCGAGAGAGGAATCGTGCAATCCTGTCACGTAGACACGCCAACAATGACAACACAAAGGGTAAAATTTGCACATAGCGCCAATTGATAAAACATTCTCGCGCACCACATCAATTCCACCATGTATACACAACACGAGACTCCTCTGGCGATGGAGTGTATCAAGACATGTCTCTCCATCAAGGATCTGCTGTTGGAGAACACACACATACACACACGCAAAATCCCAAGGCTCAATTGTCTAACCTAATCCCACAATAGAATATCATACCAAAAATATTTATACATCAGTTTGGAACATCGCAATTGACATTCATCACGAAGAATTGCGCCAAAATCAGCGTTAAAAACCACCCTCACACCCAGTGGAAAATGTGAGTCCACGCACACCCCCTTACATATGAAGGGTATTAAGGGCTATTCAGATACATTTTAGCAAACAATTGCAAGATAATTCGTTTAGATCGGCACGCGCCACGCGACAATACATGCGATGAATAGAAGCTTTATTTGACCATCAAAATGAAAACTATTTTCCACCCATTCACAACCCCGTGTAAAAAAAAAAAATTCCACCCACTCGAAAAGCATACAAAACTGCACTCATCAACTTCAATTGCATCACTTGAAGTTGACACAATTTGCAATGAATTTTTTGTGTTGTTGTCCTCCATTAATTTCATTGCAAAAATTGGCCCCAAAATTTCACCCTGCAAAATCAACACATGCTCAACATCTCACGTGAAGAGTGAAGATACTGTACTCTCAATTGTGTGTCACCCCTTCCATGACATCTCACTTATTAGTGGTTGTTTTCAACCCCCATTCACGCCTTGGTGTTTAAGAAGGCAAAGCGAGGAAAAAAACACTCTCTTTAGGGGTTGGTGAGCCTCTGACGAGGGTGATTTGTTGTTGATGATAGCACAAAGAGAAAAACACATTCGGTTTCAGATAAAATTTATGGTGATTCACAACTGCGAAGGGAATTCTTCTTCTCTCTGCATTATGAATTGTTACATTGAATGAAGTGCGTGTGTGTGTGTGTGTGTGTAGAAAACAAGGCGTGAAACAAGGGGTAAACATGTGGCGCAATCACGGTTCACTCAGAACGCAATCTTCGCAATCCCAAACGCAATCCGCAATCCCTAGTGTAAAATCGCAATCTTTGGGCGCAATCCGCAATCTTTGGGCGCAATCCGCAATCTTTAGTGTAAAATCGCAATCTTTGGGCGCAATCCGCAATCTTTAGGCGCAATCCGCAATCTTTTGGCGCAATCCACAATCCTTAGTGTAAAATCGCAATCTTTGCGCGCAATCCGCAATCTTTAGGCGCAATCCGCAATCTTTTGGCACAATCACACAATCTTCGCAATCCGAGTTCACTCAGAGTGGCACATGTTTACCCCTTGGCGTGAAATATACTCACCCCTTCTCCACCATGCAAATATGTGCGTAAAAGATAAAGAGCAGAGAGTCAAGTGGCAATGATAAGGTTAAGGAAATGATGGGTGGAGAAAAGGGTTGATTTCATCTCTTATTCCACTGCCTTTCCTTCCGACATTTTTTCTTTCACACTCAATCACGCATTATTTTCACAAGTCAGAGCTCAAGAAAATGCGTTAAATGCTTAATAAATCAGTTTTAACGAAAGGAAATTAAAAAAATTAGGCTCATTATTAAATTAAAAAAAAAACCGATTTAATAAAAATCAATGAATGAGACTTTTTCTCCTTTTTATTTCTATGTCATTAATAATTGATTTCCGGAGTTTTAATCAAGTTCTGGTAATTTTCGCAAAACAAATATTTCTCTAAAAGCTATATATTGTAAGAAGAAAAATCCAAAGACGTGAATTCCTATTGTTTTCTTCAATTTTCCAAATTCGGCCATTATTTCAGGATAACATATCAAAATATGTTCTTTATTACATTTGAAAAATTAGTCAAAATCATATTCTTATGTTCAGCATCTCGCGAAATTGCTCTTGCCTCGCTTTTCACCCACTTTCTGTAACCCAACACTGAATTTTGATAAGACACCGACAAAGAAGGTGAGGAACGAGACTTCAAATCACAGATTTCACCCTTCTTTGCGGGTTATATCAGGAGCGAACGGAATTGTTATTGCCACGAACGATGCCAAAATGAGAGCATTGCATTTAGCTGACGAGTAGATATCGTCATAGACAGAATTGACCATTTCGGTGCTTTTCTTCCACCAGTCCAAACCATTAAAAGACGCCATTTTCCTTTATCATGGCGCAAAAGGAAAGTGTGTGTGGCGGCAAAGAAAGGAGGACGAAAGTGATTGTCGCGAACTTTCGCCACTTTCTCACTCTGTCTCGTGTTGGTGCTTTTGGCTGTTTCTGCTCCACCAACGGCCGTAGGGAGTGGGTTGCGGTGAGGGGAAAAAAGCCATGAAAATTTCCATCGTGCGCCTCTCCTTGTCTCGCTTGCACGATTGCGAATGGGTGTATTTTTAACGTGTTTGCCAGCACAGCCAACAATAACCAACACTTTGAGACACTTCCGTAGTGCTTTCTTCTCGCTTTTCTTGCCCTCATAATGCCATAATATGATCATAGCTCCTGATAACCTCCACCCAAACCATCCGCACTTTGTGGGGTGCCTTTCACAGCAAAAGCACCAACGCCACCCATCTCATTTTCTCTGCAGCACCCGTTGCCATCTTCATTGTCCGGAGAGGAGAATCACACTTTCCGGTGAATGATAAAAAATATTTAGTGTGTCACCACAAAGAATCTCGTCGCCCTTCCTCTTTCTTCCCCCCCCCCCCCCCGGACAGATGAAGAGAGACACCAAATATGGAAATAAAAATCACACTCTCTCTCACACCAATGTGGACGACACAGGAAAGGGAGAATGCAACCCACCCACGAGCCACGGGAATGCCAAAGAGGAGTGTGGAAATTGAATGAAATAACCCGAGTTTGGGGGTGGGATTCACCCCCAAACCCACGCGTACTGGTGAAGATATAACCGCATGGTACAAATTCCACATTATGGTTGGCAGAAGAATTGAAATTGTGGGTGACACACAAAAGCCATTGCAATGTATAAATCTGCAAGATATGGTGTGTGTTCCTTGGGCGATAAGCCAACCCTCGAGCGAGAGGCGCTTCACATTGTTTCTGTCACCGCGATAAAAAGCTCAAGTGCCATGGGGAAGGGGGAAATTATCATGACAAAACTCAAATGTGGCCTCCTTCAGTGCGCCCCATTTCTCACACTGCCCGTCCCCCCCCCCCAATTGGAGGGCGCCTTTTCGTGCTTCACACCTCGGAAATTGGCGCACGAAGAGGGAAAATGAGTGTGGGAAATCTTTTTTCGGGCTTCTCATTAGCCACAAAAGGCAGATAATTGGCTCTCGAGTGGGAGAAGGAGAAGAAATGAAATTTTCCAACAGTTTCTCCAACTTTTTCATCATCCGAAAAAGTCTTCTTGCAAAAATTCTCAAGTGTGGGTGAAAATATTACAAAGTGACAAAATACTAGAAAAAAAAATCATATCTTAGTTCCCACGCAAAACTCTTCAGAATACGCAGTTTGAGAACTGCTGTGCAAGTTGATTCAGTAATGGCGAGAAAAGAGCCGAGACAGAGGAAAATTTCAAATTGAAGAGGTGGAAAAAAGTTTTTTTTCTTTTTCCTCTCACTTCCAATGCAAGAACTGTATAATGAGGAGAAAGGAAATAAATTTCTGTTGCTTCATTTGCAGACATTTGTCACTCTTTTAAACTAATTAGGAAATTTTCCTCTTCATTTTTTTCCCCGTTCTCTCTACCTTTGCCGAAGGAGTTTCTTCTTCGCTTAGGGCGGACTGAATGAATTGATAGAAGAGGAAAGTTTTCTTCACAGACTTTCACTTCATTTCATGCCATGCAGAAATGTAATGGCAATGGTAAAAGGTCAGAGAAAGGATTTTAATGGAAAATACGCTATTTAGCACTCTCTGTTCTTCTTTTTTTCTTGCTTGTCGTCAAACAACAGTTCATTAGTTATTCTCCATGACTTCTTTCATCCGACAATGCGAGGCACTTTTGCATGAGTCAATGAATTTGCACAGTGGTGGAAAAATTATGATAATTACACTTTTCACATGGAAATTTACATTATATTGAGTGTAGTGCGGAAAATACCAACTGAAAAACATATTTTAATAGTGTATTTTGCTCATTTTTCCCTCGCACAACCCTCGCACAGAGGCAAAGTTTGCCAAACACTGCGCAATTCCTCAAGTGAATAAATCATTTTGCTAATTACTTCATTATTGCCAACATGAGCAACATTAGCCTGGTACATTTCTCCTTCCCCGGCAATACCAGAATCACGGGCAAAAGTTGAACCGCGCCAAGTCTTTCTGGGCGGGAACGATGGAAAAGTTTGCTCATGGCGGAAAGATGGCTCATATGGAAAAGTTGTTCTCTCGCTGGCGGAAATACTTCGCAGTTATTCACTTGATTAAATTCACCGCAACTTCTCTCAAGGAGACAAGCGCTCCACTTTGTAAAATATTGCCTCTTTCGCCGGCATTTCGCTGGCAACAGCGTAAATTTGCGTTGGGCAGGAAATGGATTTAACCATCACTGATTGGATTTCCCAGAATTTATTGTCCTTACAATATGTTTTCCCTCATAAATTACCTCATACTTCCAAAGTTCCCGGCTTTAGAGTGTCTTTTGCAATGTGAATAAGGCAAAAAAAAAATGTCAGAGAGATGCACGATTATTTATATCAAACTCATAAATGTTGCAAACTAGTTCAACTGGAAAAATTGCAATCTGATGAAAATTGAATTTATCCTTCGCCAAGAGTGTAAGAATCACAGGACACTCGACCTCAACATGCATTTTTCCAGCACTCTGCACGTTATTAGATTTCCTCGTTACCGCATCGATTGCTGAATAATTAGATGAATGCGACAAGATTGCATCGTGATTGAAAAATTTCCAATCTCACACCTTCTTGCGTCAGCAATTATATTTGAGCTCTGAGAAAAAATTCCTCTCTCACTCTCTCTCTCTCGTCGTCTTCTTGGAAAAAATGTGAATATAATTTACAATTTTTCCCAACATTTGAGACGAGAGGAATATAATTGAAAATCCCGGGCGATAATTTGGTGAAAAAGGAGAGCAAAAGATGGGCGCGCTTTTTCTCCTGGGCGAGAGAAAAGCGCTGAAGAATCGATTTTTCCGCCCACACAAGAATTCTCTCTCTCTCTCATCGCCTTGTCTTGAGGCACCGAGCAGGATTCACATGCAAACACACACCCAACAATATCACCAGGGAGTCTAACTCAATTTTCACCCCCGGAGAAAATTGCAATAATAGTGGAGCTGTGATGGGGCGTCACAGGGTTAATTGGGCGTGAAATCGTCGAATGAAAATTCAGCCGAGTAGCAAAATGAGTCTTGTACACTGAGCTGATAGGACACAATCAACCCACAACAATATCACTGCCAGCAGCAAACGCTTGATGATATTCTCAAGGAGCTTTTTTCATGCTCAACTTGCGGGGAAAATCGAAAGACAATTGAATTTTATGTTGTAAATTGAATGCAAATATCCCCTTTTCTCCACCAGATTCAGTCAGAGTGGCAGAATAACTTTCGCCAACTAAGTGGTATGTTTTGAAAAGTTGTAGGTCGGTTTTTCCCCTTTCCCGATCACTATTACTTTCAAAAATGTGCCGGAAAAATTAGGCAGTTATGAGTATTTTGAGTGTAAAATGCAAAAAAAAAATGTCTTTCAGAGTAAAAGAGTAGTAATTTACACAAACTTCCAAACATTTGTCGTCTTTCATACGTTCTAGAAAGTTGTAGGCGGTGAAATCACCAATTCCAAATTCGTGCCACTTTGGCAATTGAATAAAAAAAAACTTTAAAAGATATGCGCAGATAAAAGATGGAAAGCAGAAAAGAACATCTCAAATTGATCTTTTAACGCCAAAAGTCCTGAATTAAACTAAATAAATAATCAATTTTTTTTATTTATTTAGTTAACCTGTGCATTGGATATTTCATGACTTTAATTTAATAGCAAGAAGACACAAGCTGAGCATTAATTGCAGAGATTTTACTATTTTACCACTTTAAATTTGCATGCAAAAAAATCATTGGTAAAGAGGAGCATTATTTGCCATGTCGGAAATGTTGTCATGTGAAGAGATTTATCCTCCTCCTCCTGCGCGTCCCAAGAAACCCTTTTTCCTCCAGCAAACGCACATTTCTTCTTATCACCAACACATGAATAATAGATGGAATAAAACTCAATTCAATTTTCTCTGTCGTGGAGACAGACATAAAAAGGAATAAAGCAGTGTGAAGAGCGTGGAAAAAAAAGGAGGAAAAGCCAGCATGTGAAAGACTGGGTGTGTGCAAATTTTGCCGTTATTGTTGAAAAATGCAAAAGAAATCCCTTTTTATTGGGTGATAAATAAAAAGAAGAAGCGCCCACCGATGAAAGAGGACTCCATAATAGAAGGGATCCATATCACAATTGGAGTATCTTATTCCTAATGTTTGTGTGAGAATTTTATTTTCTCCACCCCCAATCGCGCAATCAGGCGCAAATCAGGGAGAGAAGCCTTTTCCACCCACTCCCCCGTGTGATTGTGTGTGTGTGTGTGTGTGTGTGTGTGTGTGTGTGTGTGTGTGTGAAAAAGCTTGGGAGGAAAACCCATTCGAAAGGGATTAGTTTCACAAATGTTTGGAGCTTCATTCTCTCCACTTCAGAGTATCTTCGCTATTATCTCGTCCCTCAAGACTGCCGATTGAATATTCCCATAGCGCTCTTTGTCAATGACACTCAGCCACAAAATCAATTGGAATTTGTTGTGAAAATCCCTCGCTTTCATCACGATTTTCCAATTCTATCCCTTTTTTTATTTTATCAATGTAAAATCAGTCTTCCAGACGACTTCAGCAACAACCAGAGTACCAAAAGAAAATTCAAACACAGAAACCACAATATTAAACTGCACACAATCAAGCCAAAGTCGCCCTCTTGGCCACGAAATCCCTATTCACCCCCTGACGATCCTTGTTTGTGAACTTCGCATAGACACTCTTGTACCTCGCAATGTCCTGCGAACTCAGCGAAGGTCTCGTGGTGGACAGAGCCTCGAGGAGATGTCCTTGCCCGAGGAGAACACTGTCCGGAACCTCCTGCGGGAGAAAGGCACTGTGTCACACATTTGGCGAAAGTGTGGCGGAAATTGCAGCGAAAGAGCAGAGAGAAAAGTCATCAAGCGCTCGCGATATCGGATAAATTGCTCGATTTGTCTTCAATTAACCTTCTCTGCTGTGGAAATCCATTGAATTTCCACCCTTTCTGCTCCTCCTTTCCCACCACCTTACACACCGCTAATAGACAATAATTACCATCCATCGAGGCACTACGTGAGAATCCCACCCATTTGGCTTGGTGAACAGAGTTGAGCACTTGTTTAAACATTGGATTCAGAGAATATAATCAGTGGAATGATGTTTTTGGCTTCTGATCTAGAATGTTACTTTACTTAGATTCAATCGAAGGTTTTTTTTCCCATTAAATTAGGACACTTTCTTTAGGTTACTTTAAAGCCATTTTTTCTGTCCTTAGATCAGAATGAGTCGATTTTTAGCCGAATGTTCCTTTCCTTCAAGTTCCCTTCTTCTCTCAATGTTCAGTTGCTATTGCTAGAATTCACAGCTCTAATAACTATATACTATCGTGATTTCCCAACTCTACTCTACTCTCGCGACTAATGGATGGTAATTAGTGTCTGTGATAAGAGCGAAACAAGGAAGGCTCACCTCACAGTCCGCCAGAGCCTCCTTCACGGCAATCATCGTGGCCGAAGTGAGAACACTGTGAATATCCGCCCCTGTAAAGTTGACCGTCTTCTCCGCAAATTTCCTCCATTCCACATCCTTTCCCAGTGTCAGATTCCTCGAAAGCTTCTCGAAGATCTCCTTGCGTGCCTCAGCATCTGGCAGAGGACATTCCACGAGCCTGTCAATGCGACCAGAGCGCAGAAGAGCGGGATCCAGAAGCTCCGGCCGTGAAGTTGCACCAATGACTGTGACTCCTTGCAGAGACTCCACGCCATCCAGCTCGGTCAGGAGCTGATTCACAACACGATCAGTGACTCCTGTGGAATCGTGACCACGCCGAGGCGCCAGACTGTCGAATTCGTCGAAGAAGAGAACACAAGGACGCGCACTTCTGGCGCGATCGAACAGTTGACGCACATTCTCCTCACTCTGGCCAATGTACTTCGCCAGCAACTCCGGCCCCTTCACCGAGATCATCCGCAGATGCCAGGCACGAGCAATTTGCGCCATCAGGAAGGTCTTCCCCACACCCGGAGGCCCAAACAGAAGCACTCCAGCTTGATTCCTCAGCGGAGACTCTGCGAAAATGCTAGCATACTTCGATGGCCAGAGCAGAACTTCTTCCAGCACCTCTGTCGCCTTCGCCAGGCCAGGAATCATATCGGAGACCTCTTCATCGGCCTCCTCACTCTTGCCGTGACTCTCAATGCCCTCCAGACAGAAATTGCTAGTAATCTTTAGTGTTTCCCTGAGACTTTCCTCAGTAAATTGTGGCCTCTTTGGATTCTCCTTCACACTATTGAAGATGGCACGCTCAATGAATTGCATTAAATCCCCAAATTTATAGCCTTCCGTCAGACTGGCAAACTTCTCCCAATTCACCTTCCCGCGCACACCACTCTTGGTCGCCACTTCACGCAGAATAAATTCCCTGCAAGTGCCTTCGAGGTCGGGAATCTTCACCAGACGCTGGAAGAGATGCCTTCCTCGCGTCGTATAGATCCTCCCGCACAGATTCTTCACACTGGCCACAGTGGCAATGACAGAGATCGGCGAAGACGTGGTGAATTCCAAAATCAAGCTCTGAATGATGTCGGAAACCTTGGCATAATACTCAGAGTCTTGCGTATGCTGATCCCCAACATTCCTCGTCAGCACATCAAGATTGTCCAGGAGGAGAATTGACGGGCTGTGCGTCAAGCAAGTGCTGAAGATGAGGCGCAAATCGCGATGAATGGATTCTGGTTTCCGGCCTTTGTTGCGAGCGCAAAAGAAGATGTCATAGTAGCAGTGAAAAGGCGCCTTCGACAGCTCTTCCAAGATCTCCTCGCAAATCCTGCTCTTTCCACAACTCGCCTTGCCAATCAGCAGAATATTCTCCGACAAGGGCTTCCTCTGTCGCCCATCGAGACAGAGATTCATCTTGAAGTTCTCCACACACTCTTCAATGATGTCCACAAAAGGTGGAACTCTGACAAAAGCTGCTCTCTTCGGTTTCTGTTTGTCCTCCTTGCCATCCTTGATGAATCTCACCTCATCACTGACAAAGATCTTCGATTCTCGCACAATGTCCGCATCGAGAAGACAATATCTGAAGGTTTCCGGAATCAATTTCACTGTTATTAAGCAATTTTCTCCTATCTTCACCGTTTGCTCCTGATTCAGAACAATCGGAAGGATTTTTGTGCTATCTAGTATGAAACGCTTAAAGTCCTGTTCGATATTCTTCACCTCTTGGAAGTTCACTTTTCGACTGGGCAGCAAATCTATGCGTTCTATGAAATTCAAAACAGTATTTTTGGCCCTCAGCTCAATTCTCTCGAACGGTTTCACGCCCAGTGAGCGCATGAAGGGTTCATAAACCTCCACAGACGGATAGATATTGCTAGGAAAGTTCTCATCTTCAGAGAGAATCTTCACTGCCACATAAGCCTCACGATTGTCAACAGTTCTGGCCAAGTAAACGCGACTAAGATCAAAATTTGCCGGTAAATTTACTTTGGTGGTGAAAATTTCATTGATTTGATGACTGTCTTTCCACTCTTTTGGTATTACACGAAACTCCACACTTGTCGTCGCCTCCAAAAGGAGTTCCCGATGGAGTTCTTGCATACAATCAATCTTGATCTCCATTCTATTTGTGCTGGAGAAACTCGAGACACTGGAAACGGTGGAACTCCTCGAGAGTGGAGCCGATCTTGGCGCACTGTCAAAGTCTCTCTTGGGCAAAATTGCTGGGAATTGATCTTCAATCTCCTCCTGTGGTATGTGTAGAGACGTTCTATTGGCTTTCTTGGTCGGAAGAGGTGGTTTTTGCACCTCAAAAGGCGCCACAATCAATTCCGTGTCATTCTCAATGCGCCCAAACTCCATCATTGGCTCCAATTTGTCCACTGTCAAAACCACAGAAATGCTCTTATTCAGCCACACCACAATCTTCTGCTGCACCCCGACAATTTTCGTCTGATCCAGCATTGTTGACTGAATCCGGGAAGCACTGAGCTGAGTCATTTCCCAGTCAATCTGAGAAAAGGGCGTCACAAACACTTGAGCCGCATATTTCGCCTCCATCACGAGACTACACTTCACTATCGCCCCCTCCTTGATGCCCAACACCTGGGCAGTGGCAGTGTTGAGCCCCACTTCCGTGTCATGTAGATTCGTGCCCGGATAAGAGGCCCAGGACATGTAGCAAGTCTCACCATAGTTGAAGGTTATGTTGAGACATCCGTGCTCCTGAAACATGATTTTATAGTGTGACATGAGAAAAAGCTTCTCTAGCCTTGTAGGGAGTGCCCCATTGTGACTCTGTGCTGGAAAACTCCTGGGAAATCCGTGAAAATCACTGAAATACTTACATAAGTAGAAACAAGGCGAAAATAGTTCTCCGGCAAGATGATATAATTGTTTTTCAGTGGTTTGTACACCACAGTCATCGTTCTCCTGTACATCTTGCTAAATAGGCGCACTCTTCACGTGGTGTTTCACTGATTTTCTCTGAGATTTTCCACCTTTTCCGCGAGCTAAGTCTTTGTGTTTATTTTTGTCGATGACACTTGGCACTTTCCATCACCAGTCGCCAGATGGCAAATTTCCCAAAACATCCCAAATGCTGTGAGTTTTTGTGACAGAGAGAGATTTCTCAGAGCTCAGTTTCTGGTGGAGGATTTCCCTTGTTTTTTTTTTTCACCAACTTCTCTGGTATTTTTGCAGCAGTGATTGTGCTGAAGTCACACTAGGGATTGTGCAGGAGGAGAAAATGTATGCGGATGGCTTCAAGTACTGGCTGGCGTACTCGAAAAACAACATCAAGTACTATCGCTGCTGTCTGCACAAGAAGCAATGTCCTGGCAGGTGTGTCGTGGAGGATGGACGCTCCGTGAGGATCACAACAGAGCACAATCACGATCCAGAGCCTGACAGGATTGTCGTGGAGAAGTTCCGGAAGGTGCTGACACGACGCGCAGCCACGGAGACCACAGATCTGCACAATATTTACTGGGAAGAGGCAAGCCATCGACATGGCGAAGCTGCCCTGCTGTACAGCTACAATCTGGCCGAGAGTGCCATGCGAAAGGCGCGCCGGAAGCAACTGCCCACGGTGCCGACGACAATGTACGAGCTCTCGGAGGCGCTCAAAGTGTCAGACTTATTTCGCGTGAATTGTGGCAATCGCAAGGATGCCTTCTATCGCACCACCATTGAGCTGGAGGAGGGCAGTTGCATTATCTTCATGCACGCCAAGACACTCCAGGCAGTGGGCAAAGTGGAGGAGATGCACGTGGACGCCTCTGTGGAATGTGTGGCCAGACCGCACGGCCATCTGCTCACGGTGCACGCCGTCCAGGGCCACAAAGGCGTGCCCATCCTGTTCGCCATCCTCACCGCCAAGTCCCAATCCATGTTCGCCGCTGTGTTTGCCTTCCTGCGCGAGAACTACGTGAGTCAGGTGGTGCCAAGCATCATCCTTGCCAACTTCGACGCCGCCATGCACTTCGCGCTCATGTACACATTCCCCGAAGCCAACCTGAAGGGCTCCTGGTTCCACTACACCGACTCCGTGGTGGCGCGTCTAAAGCACCTGCGGCTGCAGCGCGAGATCGCGAAGGGGCACGGCTCGTGTGCCCTCCGGATGCTACTGGTGCTGCCCTTCCTGCCCGCCGACCACATGGCCGCCGGCCTGGTGGCGCTGAAGAAGTGGATGCAGGAGAAACGCGTACTCACAGTGGGCCTGAGCTCCATCTGCACGCACGTGGAGCACGAGTGGCTGCGCTCCGTGGGCGCTGAAAAAATGTCTATGTTCGGCGTGACGCGCTGCACGAACAGCTACGTTCAGACTTTCAACAAGGAGCTCCTGGACACCATCGATGGGCGCACAAATGTGGTCTGGCACTTTCTCGATGCCCTGACGCACATCGCCACAAAGACGTACACGAAACTGGCCAGACGAGCGAAGGACTCCGGTCTGCCGGGTCCAAAACCGCCGCGCAAGACTCTCATGGCCACCGAGGAGATCATCCGCGTGGCGACAGAGCAGTGGATCAGGACACCTCTACACCTGCGGTCGCCCTTTCAATTCCTCCAAATGGCGAGCCACTGCATCAATGACAGCACCTATTCCGTCATCGTGAGCACCATCGCCGCACCCCCAGAGGCGCCCGATACGCCACCAAATCCGCCAGCCAAGCGGAAACTCACCGCCGAATCCGTGATTGACATCCACAGCGACGTGACGTTCGTCGAGGTGCCGCAAATTGGCCAGCAAGTGCGCTTCCTCACCTCCGATCCGCCGCCACTGGCATTCTTCCCCAAGACAGTCGCCAGTCGGCGAAAGATCACTGCCCGGCCGCGCTTTCCGCTCGAGCCGCCGCCGCTGGTGCCCATCAGCCGGCCGAAAGTATCGTGAACACAATGTACATTAAGACTTCTTTAATATATAAGGACATTACACTCACTTTCCCACTCTTTTCACGTGCAGCGCCATGTGATTCTTCGCGTGATCCTTGCGCACGAACGCCTTGTCGCAGAACTCACATTTGTGCTTCTTCTCGCCCGTGTGACTCTTCAGATGCCTATCCCGGATGCTCACAGACGTGAAGGTCTTTCGGCACACCGAGCATTCGATCTTCAGGTTCTCGTGGCTCTTCGTGTGCTTCTTCAGGCTCGACATTGAGCTCAGCGCCTTGCCACATACCTCGCACACGCACGCCTTGATGCCCAGATGCTTGCGTTGGTGCGAAGCGAGATTAGACTTGGACGGGAAGGCGTCTGGACAGAGGTGGCACTGGAAGGGCCGCTCGTTTGTGTGAGTGCGCACGTGATCAGCGAGATTGTGGCGTGAGTCAAAGGATTTGGAACAGAGATTGCACGGGAAGGGCTTTTCGCCCGTGTGCTTCCGCATATGACGCTTCAGCTTCTCCAGCACAGCAAAACTCCTGGAGCAGAGCAAGCAGATGAACTTCCTTTCGCGATGAATTCTCTTGTGCGCCTTGAAAGTCCGCCTGCTCTTCAGGACTCTTCCGCACTCCTCGCAATCGAACGATGTGTTGGAATTCGATGTCTCTTTAGGCGGTTCTTCTTGAGTTGCTGGAGAAGATTCTCTGGACAGGAAGAACCTAAAGTTAGCTTCCGGATGACACAGACTGCCGCAACTTACTGCCTTTCATTGGATTCCACTATCAATGGGAATGTTATGAACGTTTCCGGGAGTTCATCTTCATTTCCAATCTCTAATTCCGCACTCTTGATGAACTGAGAGAAGATCAGTTGATGGTTGTGTGGAAAATCCTTGTGATTTATGATGATTTCCGCTTCAAAATCATCCTTTTCTCTGCTGTCTTCCTTGCATCTGTTGCACGATATCACTGTCTCCGCACCACTTCTGCTGATCTTATCCACAGCTCGACAACCGTAAATCAACACACGACACATCTCTTCTTCAGGAAGTTCTCTGGACAACACAAAATCCCCCGAGAGAAACTGACAGCGCTGACCGTTGAGGGGTTTCGAACGAGCGGCGCGAAGAATCTTAGAGATTGATATATTTATCATGCTTAGAATACATTATCAGTTAAAATTACTGTCGAATTGGAGTCCATGTGGGGCGGCAGAGGAGCCGGGCGCCGTGTCCTGGCACTAGAGCTTGTCTCTACCGCGTTTAACATGCATCGCCATGTGATTCTTCGCGTGATCCTTGCGCACGAACGCCTTGTCGCAGATATTGCATTTGTGCTTCTTCTCGCCCGTGTGCGTCTTCAAGTGTCGATCGCGCGTGCCCACGGACGAGAAGATCTTCTGGCAGATGAAGCACTCGAACTTCACATCCTCGTGACTGTTCATGTGCTTCGTGAGGCTGGCCATCGTGGCCAGCGCTTTGCCGCACACTTCGCACACGAACGACTTGATGCCCGTGTGGCCGCGCAGGTGCGGATTGAGATTAGACTTGGACTGGAAGGATTTCGGGCAGAGATGGCACTTGAACGGCCGCTCGTTCGTGTGACTGCGAATGTGCACATCCAGATGGTGGCGCGAGTTGAAGGACTTCGGGCAGATGTTGCACGCGAACGCTTTCTCGCCCGTGTGCTTCCGCATGTGGCGCTTCAGCTTCTCAAAGTTCACGAAGCCACGCGAACAGAGCTCGCACAGATACTTTCGCTCTCTGTGCATCTTCATGTGCGTGCGATACGTGCGCCTGGTCTTGAGAATCTTGCCACACTTTGAGCACTTGTACGGCGCCTCAGGATCTGGCTTCCGCGCCCGTCTCTTCCTCAGCAGTGGCTTTCTATCCTCCTCCTCATCCTCGTCCTCCTCTTCCTCCTCCTCCTCTTCCTCCTCCACGTCTTCCTCATCCCGCACCGCCGACGGCGAATTGCTCTCCGACCTGAAAACAGCCCGCAAATCTCAGTCACCCCGCACGACACTTGCTAAGTTTTCCCGGATCTCACCTAATCCTGTCACATTCCTCCTTTTCCTCAAAACCCGCAATGACCTCGACAAACTCCTGGTACGGCTCATCCGATTCACTCTTCACCTCAGGCTCCTCCTCCTTCACAGACTGCACAAACACCAGCTCATGCAGATCCGGATACTGGGCGTGATTTATAAAGATTTCTGCATCAAATTTCTCCCTCTTGATGCCATCCTTGGAATCCGCTATGATTTGTCGGCACGATATCAGCGTCTGCGTGCCCTCTGTCGTGATCTGCTTGTCCACCGCGTGGCATCCGTATATCAGGATACGACACATCGCCACCAAGACACTTTTCCAAAGCCAAAAGCCGGAACGAGAGCTGTGTTTTGCGGAAAATCGCCAAATGACAACAAAGTCTGCGAGGGTGTTTTCCGAGTCACTGTCAGAACTGACAGCATATGCCGTTACCAGGATTCCCATCACTATGGCGGCAAAGAAGTTTTGCGACTTGACAAATTTCCCCGATTTTCACTGCTAATGAGGCGTTCCGCGGGGAGGAAAAGGCATGGAAAATGATAAATAATCAATGCTCCACGGGATAGTGCAAATTGTTTTCGAACTGTGTCTATTCAGTGCTTGGAAAGATACACTCTTTGTCCATTCTTGTTCATTGATCGCGTGAATTTGTTGAGAATGGTCGTGACTGTGGTCGTCGGAGTGGCGAAGCACTCCACGTACGGCTCAATCTCCTCGAGAGTCCAGCAATCCTTGGTCTGGAAGAGAACATGGAAGCGCTCGTGGGGATTTGTGGGCAAACTTGTCTCCAACAGTGTCCTGACGCACGGCATCTTCGACTCTCTGTCAATCACTCCAATTCCCCTGAGGAATTTCTCCTGAATTTGCATCCCTTCCGGCAGTGTGCCCTGCCATGTGCTGAGGAAATCCTCAATGTGGAACTTCAAACCGGGCTTGAGAATGTTCCTGGCCATGATTCTGCACACTTCCTCCTCGTTGTAGCTGAATTTTCCCGGATGATCCACACTTGGCTGCGTGTAGAGAGCAAAAACAGCCCTCAAGATGTTTTCCGGCACAATTTCCTTCAGACAATTCACAGACTCTTCGCACTCAACCTCATCCAGACGCCAGGAATTCTCATCAATCACACCCAATAACAGACCCATGACTCGGAATTCGTATTCAGTCTCGAGAATGCGCATAAACTCGTCAATCTCAATGACTCTCATGAGCTGCAGGCCCTTCTCGAACTCCTCCTCGCTGCACTGAATCGTGTCCAGGAGTTGCTGGCGCGTGAACAGCACCTTCCTCTCGATGCAGTACTCATTCTCCGGCCCTGAGTACCTCGTCATTTGCAACAAGTCGTGCAACTTCCGGAATCTCGGCTGAATTTCACGCACCTCGAAGTATTCCTGGAAGATTTTGAACACCTCGCGATGCTCCAAACCGAGATCTGAACGATTGAGATGATCCCCCGCCTCCTCCTCCTCCATACTACTGTCTGCTGAGGTGTTTGCGGACTTTGCTTTCAGCGGATTGTGGCTGGTTTCCTGGGCAAACTTGAGATCCGGAATCAGACAGAGGCTGTTCGACACTTCGGCCTCCTTCAAGTCGAACGTCTTGCTGTCCGTGCACAGAACCACATTCTCCGTAAGGCCACCCTTGAGGTACAGCGTCTGACCCTCCTGGATGTGCTGCAGCAGATGAGGATTCAGCTCCAGCAGCTTCACATTCGCCATGTCATCCGTGATGTCGGGAAAGTAGAGTGCTTGAGTGAGATCCGTGAGATTCTTCTCCTCCAACTTGGCATGCGCGATGGTTTCATGGACATCCTGGAGATTCCTCCGATATATTCTGCACAGGAAGAGCTTGAGTCACTCCCAGAAAGCTGGAGCTTGATAAAATAATACTCACTCTGGCTGAGAATCCATTCTTGAGAATTGTCTGACAGCCCGCCAAAAACCACCCTGCAAATCCCCCACTTCACGACACACTTTGAAACCCTCCAACGAGGCGATATATCGTCGACATTCTGACAGCCGATTGATGTGAAAAAATCCCTGTGTTTTGTTGTTTATGTGAAAAATCTCTGCGGAAATTCTGTGAAAAAGCGCTGCTACTTGTCGAGTAGATCCTCAAGGTGCTGCAATATGTGCCGTATACTGATTTACGGCTGTCCGGGCTTCGAGAAGGTCACCTCGAAGAGCGACAAGACCACTCTTGTGTTTTGCAAACAGAGGACCGAACTCGTGAAGATTGAGGGCGCTCCTGGGGCGGAAGAGACCTTCGCCACGGAGATTCTCGTGCATCACGACATCCTGCCGGACACACACGAGATCCTCTTCATGCCATCCATTAAGGATGAGCGCGAGGATGTGATTGACCTGGATGAGCCCCATGAGGAGTATGTCGAGGCTCTGGCGACGTTCTCTGCCAAGGAAGAGTCCCAGTGAGTGTCCTGGAAGGCTGGCGCAAGCACGAGATCAGTCGCCTAACTCTTTGTTCCTTTGCAGATCTTCAGACTTTGACTTTGAGGACGACGTGAAGCCAATTGTGAAGCCCAAAGTGATGCGCAAGAAGCGCTCGAAGAGCATCAAGTACGACTACATCATTGAGGAGGGTCGCGTGAAGTGCACGCTCTGCGCCAAGACACTGAAGACGCGGCGCAGCTTCCGCAGCCACATGCGCCTGCACAGGCGGCAGCAGTTCCTCTGCGACATTTGCTCCAAGACGTTCGTCAGTGTGGAGAAGATCCGACGACACATGCGCATTCACACCGGCGAAAAGGAGTTCCTCTGTGATCTCTGCTCCAAGTCCTTCGATTACCGCCACAATCTCGAAATCCACATGCGCTCGCACACGAAGGAGAGGCCCTACAAGTGTCACCTCTGCCCCAAGACCTACACCACGCAGGGCAACCTCAACTTCCACGTGCAGGGCCACGGGGGCCTCAAGAGCTACGTGTGCGAGATCTGCGGCAAAGCGTGGAGCCGCAAGCGCAGCCTCAAGGCGCACCTCAACACGCACAACGAGCAGAAGTTGTTCAAGTGCGAACTGTGCGCCAAGGAATTCTCGCATCCATCGTGCAAGAACCGTCATATGAAGGTGCACACTGGCGAGAAGAGGCACAAGTGCGAGATCTGCTCCAAGGCGTTCGCCAGGCGTGACCACGCGCGCAATCACATGCAGCTGCACGTGAAGTGGGGCAAGGATCAGATATAGGCCAGGCACGATGGGGCGGACACCGCAGACTCCTCCGCCGCCCCATCGCTGCCACTCTTCCCCGCGGACTTTCACTGACTCAGTCAAGAGAGAGAGAGAGAGCATCGAACGAGCCCAGTTCTCCCCATCTCAACTGACTATACATAGATAAATTGCGTCAAATATCAAATAATACCCTAGGTAAACGCGTTAAACATAAGAGGACATTCTTAGCGAGTAGAAAAGCTTGTAAATAATCCCATATTATGCATCACAATAAAAATAATAATAATAATAATATGCTATGAAAATAAATCGTTTCCATTTTTGAAGAGCACACGCGAAACACTTCAACGACTCACTCGTGGGAAATTGAGAAGCCACTCAATTGCGCTAGTGTCGCGGATTGTTGTGCTCGCGGAAAAGTGGGTGGCAAAAAAGTAATTACCAGTGATTTTTAGGGACAATGAACGCTGCGAAGCGGATAACTGCCTTAATCCACAACTCACCTGCGAGGAATCACAGCGGTAGAATAGCTTCCTGTCTCCATTTCAGGCGCTGTCCGGCAAGTTTGGGCGTCCGGAAGTTCAACACTACTCGGGGGCTTTCGGGGGACATCCAGGAGATCAACATGAGGCCACAAGTCTACGTAACGCGGCCAGATTACGCTGACATTGGCCTTGAGTTGCTGCAGGAAGAGTGAGTAGAACTGGGGCAACACTGCCAGGGATGGGATTGTCGACGGATTTCCAAGCATTTTCTACACTACACCATTGCCTTGATTTCTAACTCTCAAAGAACATTCGTGATTCTCTCAAAAAAAAAATACTTGTGAAAATTCTAAAGAATAGCATTGAAAACTCACGAGTAAAAAACAATCACTGGCACAGAAAGCACAAGAACTATCACACTGGAAAAGACACATTATCACGTTATTTCTTCACTTTTCACATTTTTAAATACAACATATCTATTGTGGAAAAGGATAAACAGGATTTGGAACATTTGGAAAGAATATAAACTGTGAGAGAAAAGTTTTGTACACGCGAAAGACGCGAACACACACTGAACGCCATATTGGCGTCCTCCTGAAGCCAAGTCTGTGAGACACCTGGTGTTGGGTCTCCGAGTGACTGAAGGTTGTCCCGCCAAAATACAAAGATCGTCAAGGATTTTAACTGATCTTTTGACGGAATTATTTGATATTTATCAATGCATAACATCTTAAGGGGTTCTAGATAAGATCCTTGCACATTTTAAAGCGGGTTTTTGAGTTAAGAATAAATTTATCAGCTAATTTCCAAGATAATAAGCATCTAGAGTAATTTAGTATGGCTTTTTGATCTTTTTCTAATCAAATCCATTTATTTGTTGTTCCCTTCAATGTTGACGCCGATGGCGTAGCCAATGCTCATGCCTTGTAATCTCTAATTGCTGTAATTGGAAATCTTACTGGAATTTCTCGCCTCAGATGCGACGTGACGATGTGGAACCGCGTCTGTCCGGTGCCGCGCGACGAGCTGCTGAAGAATGTTTGCGGCAAGGATGGCATCTTCTGCGCACTCACTGAGAAAATCGATGTGGAGCTGCTGGACCAGGCGGGCCCCAATCTCAAGGTCGTGGCCACAATCTCCGTCGGCTTCGATCACATCGACGTGCCGGAGTGCCGCAAGCGCGGCATTCGTGTCGGCTACACGCCGGATGTGCTCACGGACGCCACGGCGGAGCTGACGCTGGCGCTCCTGCTGGCCACGGGCCGGCGTCTACTGGAGGCCAGCCAGGAGGTGTACAACGGCGGCTGGCAGGCGTGGGCCCCGTCCTGGATGTGCGGCCCTGGCGTCAAGGGTGCCACCGTGGGACTCGTGGGCTTCGGCCGCATCGGCCAAGAAGTTGCCAAGCGACTCGTGCCCTTCAAGCCGGCCAGCATTCTCTACCACAGTCGCACGAATCACCCGTACGAGGCTGGCCAGGTGGGCGCGGAGAAGGTGTCGCTGAACGAATTGCTGCTGCGCAGCGACTTCGTGATCATCCTCTGTGCCCTGACCAACGACACTCACCACATCATCGACGCCGAGGCGCTGGCAAAGATGAAGAGCACCGCCATCCTGATCAACACCAGCCGCGGCGGCTGTGTGGATCAGGAGGCGCTCTGCGAGGCGCTGCAGAGCGGCCGAATTCGCGCCGCCGGCCTCGATGTCACCACACCTGAGCCGCTGCCACTGGACAGCCCGCTCCTGGCGCTGAAGAACGTGGTGCTGCTGCCGCACATCGGCAGCGCCGACATCACGACACGCCAGGAGATGTCCAGAATCACGGCGTGCAACATCCTGGCGGGCCTCAAGGGCGTGAAGATGATATCAGAAGTGTGAGCGTGCGTTTTGTCAATTTAAAGCTTCTTTATTCATAATGTGAGTTGTTTTTTTTTTCTTCCTCGGCTCCTTCTCGGGTGTGTGTGTGTGTGTTAATTGCCACAAATATCAAGTCAGATATACATTCAGCTTCTTTATATAGATTTCCGTTTAATATCATTACATTTTTTAGAGAGAAAGACTTTTTTTTTCTATTCTTGGATATTAATTGAACAACACTATCGTGTGAATGCTGAGGAGAAGATAATTTCCATCGACAAATTATACAGAGAAAAATTTTTTAGTTTTAGTGGCGTCAAAATTTGATGAGAAATCAAAGGTTAAACTGTTATCTAAAACTCTAATCTTTTGCCAAGCACTTATTTCCTAGGAAATCAACTTGGAAATTAAGGGTGGAAAAAAAAACGAATTGTCCCAAGTGTGGAAAATGTACATCTTTCATCATGAAATTTGTAAAAAGCTCACTTCTCACCATCTTCAAGCTTCCCCCCATTCACTTTTTATACCATCATCGTGATCAAGTTCGGGTGAAAAAATAAACCTCTCTCGTCACACAGCAATAACAAGGCTCAGAAAAAGGATCTTCAGCGGAAATTCTCCGTCAAGATCTGAGAATCTGACAAAGGTGATTTCTCCTCTTCTCTTCAGAGTTTCTCTCTCTCCTTGGAATTGCATCAATTTCACCGCCAACAAGAAGAGTTTACTGACTATTCAGCTGACAAAGATCATCTTCAGCAATCCGCGGCATTCGTGAGTGACTCCAGAGAGTCAGAAAAATCACCATCAAGAGCTTCTCTTCTGCAAGAAATTCAACAAATATGCAGCCAATTACGTATTCACTTGAGAATGAAAACTATTTCAATACTTTTCCCTCTTATTTACAGCACAAACAAACTTTCGCTCTTCCTTTCTTTTCCTCCCTCCCCCAAAAAAAAAACAACCAAAATTTAACACCTTGCAAAAAACTTCAGAAGCGCGCGGCTCTTCTTTCCTTTTCTTCGCGGTGTACAATTTCTTTAGCTAACAAATCCATCTACAAAAGTTTTCTCACTTTTTCCACCTTCTTCTCTTCACTTTTTTCATTCTTCATTGTCAATAATAAATATTAATAAAAACTATTTACACAAAAAGTTTTGCTTTTTTTACCCACAATTTTTTTTTTACCATTTCCTCTTTTTGTTCACCTTTTTTTTGGTTTATACTTTTCTTTGTATACAAATAAAATAATTAATGTCATCACAGAGCAAAATTAAATTACAATAGAATTCATAGGGAGGTTTTTTCTTCTCACAATCTTGTAAATTTCAATAGTTTTTTTCTTCTTCTTTATCTTTCTTTAAATTATTAAGTGATTATTACACATTTAATAAATATGCTTTTTTTCTGTAATACAATAATATTTCATCTATAGTGTAAATTAATAATTTATAGTATTTTTTCCATTTTCTTTCCTTCCTTTCTTTCTTTCTTTTTTTTGGTATATTTAGAGATTACTTTGCCTCAATTTCTCTTCTCTTTTCCTCTTTAGTACAGTTAATTGATAAATCATTCTAGTTGAATTGTTAATAATATTTTTGTAGTGTATATTATATATATATATATATCTTTTACCTGCCTAAATTTTTAAATCTCATCCCTTCTTCATGTCTCTTCATTTATCGGCCTCACGATGAAAAATCCATTTTGGTGTCTTTCTTTTGAGAATATAAAGGATAAAAATACAAAAATGCCTTTTTATCAAATACTATAAAAATCATTTAACTCTTTCTTTTTTTTCCCCCCAACAATTCCCCAATTCAACACTGTCAAGGGACAAAAATCTACCTAAAATGTCTAAAAATGATATTCAACATTACTAAAAATCAATCAATCAATTGATGTCACAGATCAAAATAATCACTGATTTTAATACACCAAAACGGATTCCATCGTGATTGTGTCTCATTTGCTGGAGTGCTGAGACGATGTGACGCCCTGAGCGGCTGAAGAATCCACATTTCGTCGAGCCAGTCGTGATCTGAAGCGAGAAAGAGAGTTGAATGTCATTGCGGAAGGAGGGAAAATCCATGTGGCTTTCTCACCTTATTTGACCCGCAAGCAGAGGATTGATGGCGTACAGCCAATCGTGAACTTCCTTATCGCCCAGAGTCTGCAGAAGATAGCCTCTGTGCTTGGTCACCACACTGCAAAAAACAACACCATCCAGTCAACACACACTGTTCTTCCCCTAAAACGGAACATGTTCTCACCTGAAAGTATTGGGAATCTTCACCATGGCCGCCTGATCTTCGCTGCACTCAACTTGTGCCGTGCCCAAGTTCAGCACCGCCCTCTCGACTGGATCCTTCTCAGAGCGGAAGATGAAGACGTATGGTCGACGCACAGTCACCCAGCGCTTCTTCCAGCCCGATCCGCCGTGCTCCAGCACATTCAAGTATCCCTTGCGTGCCACCACGGGACTCACGCGGATCTCCTCCAGCTCCGGAACATACAAGCGCAACGGCAGCGCAGGTTGTGGCGCCGGTGCGGGCGCTTCCCAGCCATTGGGCACGTCCACGCGCTCAGGCGAGCAGAGTCTACAAGTGCAAGGATGTAAATCTCTCGAGCATTCCGCGAAGATTACACAAACTCACTCAATTGAGTTGCCAGAAATGTAGCTGGCCGTCAAGTCGGCGCATCCCTCGTCACCTGGCGATGCGTCAATCTGCGCCATGGCGCTGTCCTGGTCAGCCTTCGTCCCGATTCGTCCCTGCACGAGGTGGATGCACTTGAGCAGCAAGTCCTGCTCACGCTGCGTGTACTCACGCTCCGGCATGAGCGCCTGCTGATCCTTGATGGGCGTCTGCGGTGACGGCGGAATTACCATGTGCACTGGCGAGGCGCCAGCGCGTGCCGCCAAATTGCACACATCCTTCTCCGTCTTTGTGGTCGGATTGGGATTCGTGTCCATGCCCAATCGCTCTCGCAGCATCAACAGATGGCGCACACGACCGACTTCCTCAAGCCGCGTGAGTTTCTCCAATTCCCACTGGTGATCGAAGATGAGGGAGTCTCCGCGCGGACGCCAGCCGTGAAGATTCTCCTCGCCACGCACATATGTCGAACTGGTGTCCAAGACTCGACGCTGACGACGCTGAACGCCTACAAAGAGAAGCATTAATAGATAAAGAAAAAGTTTCTGCACTGCCGCCAAGCACTAACTAAAGAACTTCTCATGCCCAAGGAGGAGATATTATGATCTGAAGTGGCATACAGCTCTGTTATGAGTTCAGTTTTCCGTCAGTTCTAACAATCTGACAAGCATCTAAACAATATAAATCATTGAGGCATTGATCCAATATTTTAGGCATATTATGTCCCCCTTGCTCATGCCAATTCACATCTATTCACACTACAGCACATTCTGCTACCTGGACTACCTGCTTCTGAGGCTCGTCGAAGAGAGAGCTCATACACGCCAGACAGGCGATTCGCCTCCGGATTACGATACTGCCCTGAGAAGAGATGCTTCAGTGATCGCGGTCCAGTTCTGGCATCACGTCCATAGATGATCATGCTGAGATCCTTGGTCACAATTGCCGGTCGAGCACAGTTCTCCAACTGTAAACAGAGAGTTTGTAAAAACCAGCATCTTCACAGCATACATTACGCCGATCCTCACCTCAAGATAAGCACTCAGAGTGATGTAAATTGTCTCTCCAGCCTGTGTGACGCGATTGAGCAAACTTGAGTTGTGGAGACTGGAATCCCAGGCAGCCTCGAAGCGGAAGAATGACCGATCGTCACCAGGCACGTCGAGCACTTCACCAGGGAACAATCCCAACGACAGCACGCACGAGTCATCGTCCATCTCGTCAGCCGATTCGGGTGTGTTCCTTATGCGTCCCACCACCAACTCTCTGATGTCCTTCCACTTCACCTCGGGCGTGGGCTCGTGCACAATCGTGATGCGGATACGCCGCTGAATGCCCTGGTGCAGTAGGAAGAGTCCACGGCATGGCAGATCATCACTGTGCTCCACCACGGCGGGCACATATTCGCCACTCGGCGCCAATTCGCAGATCTCAAACCACACGAGAACATCATGCTTTGCCAGCACCGTCGATGACGGTGGGCAAGGCAGAGGACCGAACTTGGGACTCCGCACAGGTTGACTGATGGGAATACTTGGCGGAAGCATTCGCCGCGGTGGCGGACGCGTCTGACACTCTTGCTTCGCATCCTTGTGCAGTGGATGATTCTGATAGTGCCCAAAGATCTTGAACATGATGGGCTGCGTCTTGAGATACTCAATGAATGACTTCGTCACTGGCACCGTCACATTTTGCACGTGATAGAAGCCGAGCGGCGATCCTGATCCACTATTCTTCACTGGCTCAGTTGAGAATGCTTCCTCGTGGCGATGCAAGAAGCTGTAGATAGAATTCTCAGACATTACATCCACTGAATTACCTTGCCCTATCAATAAATTTCTCCACACTCACTTGAATTGGCAGAAGATGTCTGCATATTCAGCTGCAATTCCTGTTGCCTGCAAAACAGTCACGCGAAAAGTGAACTCCTTGCCAATTTGCAAGTGTTCTCCTGGCTCTTCAGTCGCCTCGTGCACTTCAGACGACACACTCGAGTCACCACGACCAGAATCCGCATCCTCAATCTCCACCTCTTCCACCTTTCCACACTCCTGACCCTCAATGAAGCGATCATCGCGCTCCTGCACCAGTGATCGATACTTGGGCTTGTGCTCCTCATCGAATAGAATCCTCGCGGACTGTTTCACACCATTGCTCACATCCAGACTCTCCTCATCCTGCAACACATGAGATTTCTACCATTCGCTCCAGTTAGTCAAGCAGATATTCTTCCCACAAATACACACAAACACTGACTACCAGTGGCGTGGAAAATCGAAACATTCATTCTGGTAAATTTCATTGACCATTGAGTCTTTCAGAGTTTATTCAATTCGTATAATGTTAGAAGCAATAAAATGGACTCTAAATCGTTAAATTTTGGCTAAAAATCCACGCAAAAGATCGTAAAATTGACTGCAGTATTTTACTACTTCATAGACTTTAAATTTGTTGCTTTATAGACAATCAATAAACATCATAAGATGACCCATTTCTATCCACTAAATCAGCTTCTTCCACAAGAAATATGATAAAAGAGAATATTTGTTAAAAGAGACAGTCGAGACAGACCATTTGACAAAGTGTTTCGCCACTTAAAAACCCACAACAAATCTACCACAAACTACACTCATAGCAATACACAGTCAGACAATTAGACTCACCATGACCGGCTGAACAGCCACGCGCAAGTATCCGCGCACATCGCCTCGCTCATTCACGATGGCCACCTTGTGAACGAGTGGCACAGGATAGAGCAAATTGCTCAAATAGACAAACGATCGTCCGACCATCCTGAACCACGGGAAGCGATCGTAGAATGGATCTCCACCCGTGAGACTCTCCACATTGTAATCTGGCGATGTTGGGCTCAGTTCTGCCTCATTGTGGTACATTTCCCTCATCAATTCCAATCGTTGCCTATACAGAGTGACAACACATTAGTTTTCCACCGTGTGTTCTTCTGAACACATGACACAATCATCATTCGCAAGCTTTATGAAACAGCCATGAGAAGCTTAATCCGGGATTCAAGGGTGCTGAAGCTGTGACACAGAAGCTTTCGAAAAATTTAGAAGGAAAAAAAATGATGCAATGTGTATTGTTGTCTACAAGAAAGTTCTCAACTATATGCAATTCTACAGTGTATGTGGTTGATTGGAACCAAATATGATATTCTTATGAGAAAATTAAAGAAGAAAATCATCCTCAAAGGCATGAGGCGCTCTGTCGAAGCGCATGGGAGGTGTTATAATATGAATGTAATATTAAAATCAACGTTCAACATAAAGTCATATCAAACAGAAGAGACAGAAGTGATGATACAACAGCAAAAGAATGGTGTTGATTATATCTCTTGCACTTTGTCCAAGTCATCACTTATACTTTGTGTGTGTATGTTTTGTGTGCTAACCTAGATGGCAAGAGATTAGCTAATGAGAGTCTTGATGCATTTGCACACGCCGCCGCCAAGCATTGTAGTATTTCCTGCTGCTGTCCACCACCATCCAGAGCCTCCACACTCGCCCCACTGGCGTCCGGAGACACCATCAGTCCCAGGGCTTTGCATGAACCACTCGTTGGCGTCTCCATGCCACTGATCATCGGTGGACTCTCCGCATTGTATATTTGGCGCATCAATTCAAGCCGACAGCTAATCGTTTTTTTTTTGTTAGCATTTCATTTTATATTCGGTATTAGCAAAAAGACATTGAATTGAAAAGAAAAAAATACCGTGTTAAACCCAGGAAAGAGCATTGGACGGTTTTAAGGAAGAATACAGTAACACTTTATCCCTAAATCATCATGATTCCCAAATACATTTATTATCCATTAATAACCCAGACAATTTGCCTTTGAGGATAAAATCATTGAGTGAACTCAAAGAGAACATGAGGGAAAGATATAAAAAGTAACGAGAAAACCTCTATTGAAATGCACTTTGCAGGAAAGTAATTGTAAAAAAGAAAAAAACTCCTCTAGTGTGTTCACAAATGTCTCTAAAGACAATATAAAGGCAATTGAAAGACATCGAGAAACTACTCACCGCAACTTCTCCAATGTCCAGTAGTGCGTGGCGCCATTCTTCGTGTCCGTAACTTCAACGGCCACAATTGTCCTCGGTGCAGGATTCCCACCGAATTCATCCTCATTGCCAGATGTTATTGCACCCAAAACACCATTGCTGGCCGCCAATTCTGGCGGCAGTGGCGAATATAGAGTGTCTGTGAGGAGTGTAAACTGGAATTGCACTTTCTTCTTCAATTCCACAGAAATGGCATTCGCCTCCTTCAGGAATATCGCATTTCCCCACAAATCATCTCTCAAGGATGTGAATTGATGGATGCGCCACTTCCTGAACGCCCAAGCCGCCAATCCAGCCTCTCGTGCTGTCCAGCACGACTCAAACAGCGGATTGACTGTAACAACATGAACAAGATGTTGAAAAGGCCTTCGTTGATACTTGAAAAATACTCGCATATTTAATTAAACATTAATGACAGAACTCACCAAATATGCTGTCCTCTTCCGGATGGAAATCCTCCGGAGTGTAGCTGCTGTACATCGACATGGTCATCGACTGTTCCTCCACTTGTTTCTGCAATGCATCAATTCGCGCCTCGTAGGATTTGCGCTGCTCCTCAAACTCCTGATCAGCCTGTAACTTCTCCCGCTTGAACTGCTCCTCCAGTGCCACCAGACGCTTCTCCATCTCCGCCTTCAGGTCAATTCCCTGCTTCTCCAGCAATTCACACTGGGCAAAGTTCCAGTCCACCGTTTCACCATTGCCTGGTGTCTCTGTCACTGCCTTTTCACGTATCTCTCTCGCCTGTTCCGGATGTGTGAAGCGGAACACGTGATTCTTCCCCAGAATCACACGAGAGCCCGTTGTCAGGACCTCAGGCTCAGTCAATTTTCGCCCATTGAGATACACCAGAGCATCTTTGTGTGGCACCAGAGTCACCACGCCGCTCCTATTTTCAAACATCACGTGCTCCTTGAGGATATACGGCCCGGACAGCTGAATATCCTGCGGCAAATTTGCCTCAGCCGTGCCAAGGCGCGTTATGCCATCCTTGATGTAGTACAGAAGACACTCAGACAACGTGGGATCCTCATTGAGGTTCACCAAGTGTGGTGTCATCTTGGGCGAGAAGACACCCACAGTGTTGCCATCCTCCTTCACAGCCACACCCATTTCGGCAAAGACAGCCTCGCGTTGGAGGCGAATCTGCTCTGTGCGCTTGAGTTTCTCCTCCCAAGTCTCATTCAATTCTGCCAAAGGGAAGAGCATCGCATTTAAAGAGTGAATATTAAATTTTACAGACTCCATTAACTCACCGGCAATCAATTTCTCACTGGCCTGTAGCTGATCCACTGCCATTTCCGTGGTTGATCCCGTTCTGGTGCGTCCTTTATTGGGTGACGTTGGCATGTTCTTGATAATACTCTCAGATTTTGAGTTGATTTCATCCTCTACAAGTATTTTAGAAAAGAACAAACAAATTACCATCTCTCCTCAATGACATTAATTGTTTGTTTTTTTAGCAAACAAAGACAGAGAATGAAGAGAAAATCTCAATATTTCCTGCCAATAGCAAAATGATAGAAAATTAAAAAATTTGCTTATAGCGCATTTGAGATTTCTCTCTCTTCTCGTGTTTTCAAATAGATGCAAAAACACTGAGAAGCACAAACTAAAGTGATAAACAACTTAAAAAAAAAGATTTGTTGATAAGGCTGGACTAAAATCTTCTTCAAGTCGAATTTATATATCGAATTATTTGTCCTGAAAATGAAATTTTGTCACATTTAACATTCCCAAATTTGTCAAAACATTAGTAATTTTGCACGCTTTTTCTGCATTTAGATATACTTTGGTCCAGCCCAACGTTGAGAGCTGTGTTCTCTTTGTAAATATATGATGCAAAAATGCCAAGAAAGCCTTTTTTTTCCATATTTTAGCTGGTTCACAACTTATAATAAGAACAAGAAGAAAAAAATCATACAAAATGCCATTGATTTCTTTTGTGAAGGACAGACAAAGAAAAGTGGGATAAAGAATAAAGGTGGAAGGGTAAGAGAAGTGTGATATAATTTAGCGCCAAATCTCAAAATGAAAATTGACTCTCTTTGCTCAATTTATCTGGAGCTCATTCTATGCTTCACACACAAAATATATAGCAATAAGTGGTTGTGGAATTGCATTGCCTCTGGAGGGATATTTTGTCTTTGTATTTCTTGGTATTCTTTGCTCTGTTTTTTTTTTAATTTAATTTGCTTTTGTCTTACAGATGCGATTTTAGCCGTCATCTACTTACTATTGGGATCCCGTTTCTCACAAACCACTTTACCGTCCGGTCCTACATGAAAATAATTTTGCACTTATCTAATTTTACAGGAAAAAAGTATAATATAAATGTGTTTTTTTGGTTTTTGCTTCTTGGAGATGCTTGCAATTATCTTGCATTCAACTCAGACAATAAAAAACAACACTACAACAAAGTCTCTCTCCCCACATAGAGAATTTGTATTATAGGAAGAATAAGAGCTCTTTCATCTATCCACTCTTCTACCAAAGCTACATCATTGAGTGATTGTGCGTGAAAATGACAACATTGCTTACCTTCTTGCACCTCAATTCCTTCAGCACGCAGAAGCTCACGCAGCTTCTGAATCTCCTCCTTCAATTCACGAATAAGCTTAGCATTTGCATCCTCATTGACCACAGCTTTGCACACAATCTGCTTCGCACGATCGGCGTATCTGAAAGATTTTGGCCAAAATAAAATTAGTGAAAATTGTGTGCTTTATAAGCCTCCATTTTCTCACCTCAAAGTACTCAATGTCTCATCATAATTTATGTCAGCTGGAGAAATTGCAGCTATCATCGCCGTCTTGGAGTTTCCGCCCAAATTCTCTCTCAGCAACCATGTCAAGACGGAGTCGCGATAAGGAATAAAGTCTGCCTTCTTTGACTTCTTGTTCTTAGACGCCTGAAAAACACACCCCAAACAGTTAACAAAATTCCACAATATTCACATTTGAGTGAAAAAAAAAGATTCATATTTTAGCCAGCATTTTGTTAACACAATCAATTCAACTCACCGACTTTAGAATGAAAAGCATTTCGAATGATCCGCGCATGTATTAAGCATTTTGAGGAAGATGAATAAATTTAGTGTCAATTTTCAAATACAAATTTTGCAAGACAACAAGATGAGCTTGAGAATAGAAAGAAAGAAAGATGATGCACTTGAACAGACAGCAAAAACACAAAAGACATGACTTGTCATCTCACCATTTCCGCCAACGCCGAGATGACTTTGCCCAGCGTTGTCAAGCTCTTGTTGATGTTGGCTCCCTCCTTGAGTCGCGTCCCCTTCGCCCCTGTACTGTCCGCCCTCTCGCTGCCCGCCAAATCCACCAGACTGATCTTCGACACCTTCTCCGTGATCAAATCCGTCACGCCATCGTGTCGGCGTTGCGTGAAGAAAATCGTGAACACCGCATGAGATCGTGAGCTTGTCTCATTCATATTTGTGGCAGCAACAGTTCTCGCCTTGTTGCCCTCGTCAATCAAGTCGTGAATATCATTGTAATCTGTCACGGCCAGCTTTGACAGATCCTCAACGTACGGCCCTAGCAAAGGATGCTCGCGCACCCTGAGATTGCCTTTATTCTTCGGGTTCAGCAAATCACGCACGCGCTCGCAGTATATCTCCATGTAGCTCACTTCAACCTGTTGGAAAAGGCAGGGAAATCACGGTCTTATCCACCATCTTCTGTGACAAAATTTGACTTAATTTGAAAAGTAATTGTGAAGTAATTAAAAAGGCTTTTTGCATCTTTTACTATATCATAAAAAGCCCAAAATAACTTACTGTGTATTTCAAGTCCTCCGACGCCGTCTCGGCAATGCGTCTGAACAGATCCTTGCACACCATCGGAATGATGCCCTCCTGGCCCTCCACCTCCTGCCGCCCCATCATCGTGTACGACTTGCCAGCGCCCGTCTGGCCATAGGCGAAGATGCACACGTTGTAGCCATCGAAGGAGTGCTGCAGCATCTCCTCACCAATGTCACCATAAACCATTGATTGTGTGGTGAAATCCGTGTCACTTGCCTGCAACGGAAATCCAATTAAAAAGGAATCCCGCGGGAAATCCAAAAAAAACTCACATCGTGTGACCAATACGAGTAATCAAAGTTGAATCTCTTCACAGAGTCATTCGTGCCTGGCGGCACTTTGGGATTCACAATGGACGTCGTGGCACCACTCATCTCGATGATGCACTTCGACTCACGCGCAATTTCGCGCGAATTAAACGGGCGCACACGCACCGCCACCTTCACAGACGACATCCTGATGTCTTTGGCGCTCAAGCACAGCTGGAAAACACCGGCGCACGGAGACGCTCAGTTAAATTGTGTAAGCTGCAAAGAAGAAGCACTGTAAGACATATTTGATTACTAAGAAACAGAGGGAAGGAATACGACAAGGAAATCAGTTTAATCAGCTAACTACAGTAGCGAAAAATTTTTAAGACATAAAATATGTTTTCACAAAAATCCATTTTTTTCTGAAAAATTCGATATTTCTTGCAATTTTTCGAACATGTAGGCTTAAGACAAAAAATGTTTAGAATTTTATGATCTCTCAAATGGCGTTGAGACCATGGCGATATCTCAATTCGGGGCCGAGATATTGCAAAATGCAGTGAAATGTACATATAAGGACAGCGAAAATGTTATTAAGACACTGCATAATTTGCACTAAATCCGTGTTTTAATCATAATATTGGCTAGGATAATTACATTAAATCATGTGTTTGGAATGTCTAGAAGACATCTGCATCATACGCTGCCTTGACTTAGACTTGAAAATTTGCTTTTTGTATGCTTTTCTCTACCGTTTAATGCTTATGTACCATTTCTTAATTTCTTAAACGTAACCGCGGCCCAAATCCGGTCCACAGGTTTTTGATAAACTGTAGAATACGAGCCCGAGTTGATCGTTCAAGAACACTTAATGTAGGTGTTAAAATTACAGAAGTTTGCTTTTAGAATGTATGATTTTTAAACAATTTCTTATTATAGGGTTCAGAAAATTATTAATTTCTTATAGATGCATTGCAAGAAAATGGACCAAAATAGCGTTTAGATATTCTCTAGCGTCCAAGCAATTCATAATGTTGCATATTATGCCCATGCCATGCCGTTAAACCCAGCATTGTAGCTATTACTGCTCAAAAACATACTCCGAAAAACTAAAATTCTGTGATCAAACTAAATAGTCCAGAAACTCCACTCAAAAAGGAATGAGACGAACTGTACGCAAAGTTAAGATAATTTTAGGTATTCTCTAATAGAAAAAGGTATATTAGGCACCCATAGAAGCAAAACCTTGATTAGTTTATTGATTGCACCAAATCTGCCCAGATTGCCCAGGTTCAAAATTATGAGACAATAGAAAGCAACCATAAAACTCAAGGAAACTTAAGTTCTTCAGTCTCTAGAAACCAACAAAGTTCACAAGTCACAAATTCATAGAAGAAATGATAATCCAGATGAGATGTTTATCTCTTTGACTATAAAAGGAATGTGAATTAAAAGAATTCTCTCAAGAAGCTGAGAGATAAATCGATAATAGACTTATTGCATTGCAATTCCAAACGTCATCAGTGAGATAATTCCTTCTCAAGCTCATAATATCCTTAACGGCATGAAAAGAGAAATTGTAATGTCAAAGGCAAAGACATTGGATGTGAATTCTCTTGCACAATCCATGATTAGTAAATAGACAAAGACGTTACAAGGACAAGGAGAATCTCAGTGTCTTTTCCACACCAGATAAGGATAAGAGTTTCTAACAACCCTCTCAGAAATGTCATCAACTTCACCAATTTGCTCACAATTCCTTCTCAAGGCTTCGAGTGAGAGTGAGAATTTTTTTTTTCAGAGATTGTATCACATTTAAGAATGGCTTCAAAGTTTCCAGAAAAAAAAAAACCTCCAACCACCCTTCAGACAGAGACATTTTCTCCACTCCTCCTCCTCCTCCTCTCGCCAATTCAGGCGCGCGTAGGTGGACTTGCCAACATTGTCTTTCGCCAGTATGAAATTTCACAGACGTGCTTTTGCTCTCTCTCTTTCTCTCTTCTTGCTTTCCTCCCCCCCCCCCCTCAACTTGAATATTTCACCAAGGAAAGTGCAAACGCAAAAAAGAGACATTTCCCACTGGAGACCATGAAAATGGGAAGCATATGGAGCCCCCAACAGATGGAGAAGGAGAACAAAATCACCCCATTGAGAGAGAATTTATTCGATATGCTGTATCATAGCATTAAAATTCTCCCCGGAGAACTTTTTCCCCAATATTGAATTTCACTGTGTGGTGCATAAACAAAGAGTAATACGAAAAGGAATCTCTACACAATTGAGGAGATAAAATGCCAAATGAAAGTCATTGGCGCGATTGATGTGCGTGGGTTGTGTTATCACCATAATATTTGTCATATGTTTAATTCTTGCTAAAGTCAATTTTAGTAACAAAAATCACTTTCTTTCACATGAGAGAAAAAAAAAACTCCCAGATATATCTGGATGGAGAGAAGAACATTGAGGTGGTTGGAAATTGAGCGACTGAATCACAGACGTGACTCATGCAAAGGCAGAGAGGATGAGTGGAAATTATTGAATTTCTTCTCGCTGTTCAACATTTCCTTTTTGCATACATATTCCACATATTTACAGGGATTGAATTTCATATTTGAAACACAACAGACTTTTCCATCTCAGAAATTTTCTCATTTCCATTCAAGAATCTCTCTAAATGATTACCATAAAGTACCACCTTGATGGAATCTATTGAGATTTATGCACAAAGAACCATTTGCAGGTGTTTTGCACACAAAGAAAAAAAATCCTTATATAAAAAGCTTTACATGAGAAAAACCCATTTCAATATATCATAATTATCCTTCAGTCGATATTCGCCTTACCATTTTCCACACTTGCTGCTCGTCTTTTTCAACCCAAAAATTCCACTGCGTAATTGCATATTTAATGCTCATCCCCCGAAAATTACGTCGCCATTCTCAGAGAAGAAAAAGCATCTCAATAATCTCCCTTTAAGCCTTAGCAATTTGCAGAATATGTTTAATGTTGCATCACAAGTGGGATGGTTTAATTGATTTCGACCCAAAAGTCTCACACAAATCCACTTCAATGGACATGAATAAGTCCCTAGGATGAGTCATCAGGCTATTAAATATTGACAAAATAGACCTAGAGAGCAGATTGAGAGGGTGAGAAAGTGTAGATGTTGACGTCTTACTCGCAATGCAAATCCTTTCCAGGAACTTTCACTTCATTACGTGCACTTCCGCCAATCTTTTGCCACTTTGAATTCAAAGGAAATTCAGGGAATTTTCACAGGAATTTTCATGTGAACAACATATAGTCCACAAAATGGCGCTACATCTCCTCTCCTTGACTTCCTCAACACAGAGTGAGAGTGACGAGAGAGAGAGGGAGGAAAACGCGTTGTGCCGCGATGGAGACATTACAGAAGGACGCAAGCGTGGTGGAAATCAGTTGGAAAGATGGCTGAATATTTTCACATATACATTTCATGGGGATCTTTTCACACCAATCATCTTCCCATCTCCTGACCTCCTTCAATATCTTTTATTATTCCCATCAAAAATTCTCCCCCAGCAATCATGGTAAATCTCATGCCATTTGCAAATGCTCAAACATCCCTTTCAACACTTTCACCATTTAGATATTCCAGTATTGATTAATTTTTCACACTCACACAAATCTTACGTTTATTTCTCTCCTGCAGAGATTGCCCAGAAACTTCCTCCACGCAGTGACTCTTCACATTGGACACACTCTTTCTTCTCCCCTTCTGCACTGATAAATCCAGATATAATCCCTAAAACAAGGAATCCCAATCAGACACCGTTCGGTGCTGATGAACCGCTGGAGAGAGACTGAAAATGGCAGTGCAGCTCAACAGTCTCGAGACTCACTCTCGTGAAGAACAATTTCATTGGCGCGCGCATAAGATTCCAGTTATTGATTGATACACATTTCATGAAATTGTGCGCGCGCATTTCTCCATTACACATCTTTGACGTAAAGCGCCACCCCCCTCTCAAATTCACCACCCCACATTCAAACACCTCAAACCTCCTATTTATGCACTTCCATGTTCCAGAATATTGATCTCACCGTCTGACCATCCCTTAAATTTCATCCACAGACACATCGCTAATTGGCCTGATTGGCGCGATGATGTGCAACTGAAAGGATATTTCAATTGCCAGTGAACGGCACAAATTGGAGAGTTTTAAGTGGCAGAGTGTTGCATTTCAGCAGCAAATATTGTAATTGGCCTAAAATTGTTACAAAAGTTCCGCCCATTCGCAAGCACCGCCCAAAATACTCTATTTCTTCAATCTTAAGCTCTCCTGTGTGTTTTGTGCAGAGCGAAATTATTCCACAAAATGTGTAATCGAACAATCAACGTAATCAACTTTTACTTTTCAATTCCGTTAGTTGGAATTAAAAGTTTAGTAAAGAATTTTCTGCACCAAGAACTTTATTGTCATTAATCTAGCTTTCCAATCCTTATTCTATCCAATTGACAGCGAAGATTCTCATGACGTCAGCGACTTCTTATTGGCCTGCAAAATTAACTTAACTTCGCTTTACTTCTATGAATCGGAGGTGAAAGCGTGCGATAAAATCGCACGTTATAAAACTCATGCAGACAAAGGGGAGCCGCGAGACTCTCCATCAACTTGAGTGACTCACTGTGGCGCGAATGTTGACCCCGAGCGACCCCCAAATAGTCTGGAGCCTCGGCGCGTGCAACAAGGACCTCCGCGCGAAGGAAACTGATCACAGAAATGCATCTGATTATTAGGATAGCCTGGCGTGCAGCAGCTCTGGTGGCAGAGGGTCTGGCGAGGGAGGACGCACGCGAGTGAGTCATGCAAGTGTGGTGCCAAGCAGTCCACCCACCCCGAACCACCCTCGCGGAATCTCAAGAGTGATTCACTGTTGACGCTACCTTTGCCAGTGTGTGCAGCGGAAATTGAACCAATTTAGATGCAAATTCCACCAATGCGCTGCAACTCTGACGTGGTTTTCATGCAAAAATCCCTTTGGAGTAAGGAGATTTTTCATGTTTTTCACCACCCTCACACCCCTTTTCGCGCACATTCAAGCATATTGATCACGGGAAAAGTGCTCATTTGCCATGGAAAATGCTCACTTACGCGCCTCCTCGGTGCTGGGACTCCTCCACTGTACTCTGGTGCTCCTCTCCTCGTCGCTGAATTGCAATTTCCACGGAATTTTCACCAAAATCACAGGGAAAACTCCCCAGGCAAACAAAAAGTGCGCACAAACTGTCAAACAACCCGAAAGGCCTCGACAGTGCTGCCGCGGTGCAACAGAAAAGCACAGATTTGAAGTAAGAAAAACCGCTCTTTCAGGGATACTTGAGAGAATTCATTTACGACGAAAAATACAAATGTTTTCACACAGGAAAACTACTTCCTCCGCGTGGACTCACTCGCTGTTGGCGGTGGAGGTGGCCCGCGCTTGAACAAGTCCTCCAGATAGTGGAGAATCATCTGAGTTCTCTCGTGAGCGATGTGCTCCAGAACGAGATATCTCTTGTCATTCTTGAGAATGTCCTCAATCTCCTTCAGATGATTCGGATTCTCCTTGAGTGTGTCGAAGCTCTTGTGTGTGATGAGTTTGCACTCTTGCAGAAGTTCTCTGAACGCAGACTTTGCCTCCACTGTCTTGTCTTTTATGTACTCCCGAAATTCACGCTCGCACTGCAAACAGAGAACGACAAATATTTTTAATAAAAAACCACGAGCATTAGTAGCAAACTCGCTATACTCACTCTCTCACTGCTGTTGTATTTCAAGTATCTTGGATCCTCCTTGATTGTCTTCTTGATCTCCTTCCATGAGCTGGTCAACTCCAGTTGTCCCAGCTCGTCTAGCATCTCACGAAACTTGTCCCTCTTCTTCTTCGTGAGATTACTGATGTGATCATTGAAGATCCTCTCCCTGTCCTCGCGCTCCAGCTGCTCCACCAGCTCCCATCGGTGGTCCTTGCGCAGCTGCTTCTTCACCTCCTTCCACGTGAGATCGGCATTCCGCACGAGATCCGCCAGCAGCGCATTGAAGTGGCGAATGGCCTCGTCGCGCTTGTGGTGCTCCCGCTCCTTGTCCCTGTCCCTCAAGTGCGTGGCCAGCGTGCGCTGCACTTCCTTCTCGCGCTCCTTAATACTCGCCTCCGCCCTAATCTGGCGCTCGCGATCCTTCTGCTGCTTGTCCGTCTCGTCATCCGACGTTGGCGGATGCTCACCCTCCTCCTGGTCCACTGACGACTCCCTGCCCTTGTCACCGCTGCTCTCCTTGTAGCTATCGCGTCGCCTCTTCTCCCTCTCCTTCTCGCGATCCTTGCTCCTGTCGCGCTTACCTGAGAAGAAGCACGACAAAATTTCATTGCCAATCTTCACCAAGACAAAGGATCAAAAGAAAAATGCTACCTATTGAAGCTCCTCACCTTTCTTCTCTTTCTTCTCCTTCTCCTTCTCCCTGTCCTTGTCCTTCTCCTTGGCGCGCTTCTTCTCCTCCTTCATCATGCGACAGTACTCATGGAAGTAATCCTCGCGCAGGACTCCACTCTCCACTGCCCGATATCTCGAGTCTCCTTCGGTCTTCTTCTTCACATCCACCCATCGACAGTGTCTGTCGATGTCAGGATGATTCTTTAGCATCTCAATAAAATCCTTTCTCACCTTGAGAAGACACAAGAGAAGAAAAAGGCCCGTTGTTAGACATGAAACTGGCACTGGCAGTATTTTCTCATATGGCATTCTTAAGCCTATAATCACTTAACTATCTTAAGAATCTATTAATACAAGTTTAGGAGAGGGAAAAGGACTTTTCAGCACTTAGTGCTATACACAAGTCCTTTTCCCCTACTCAATCAATGAAATTTATGCAATTGAATATAGTGGATTATTTGCTGAAAAGGAAGCTGATTAGGCTGCAAGAGAATCTCAAAAATTAGCACAAATCCCAGGACACACAAAAAATCCAGTTAAGTTTACAATTGATTTAATTGCCTGTGCGTCAATTAAATCAATTTCCCTCCCCTAAATTCAGCATGTAAATTTCACATTAATTTTTCCCCCTTCTTCTCAAAATGCTGTTTTTTTTTTTTGATTGACTTTGTTACACATGTACCATTTGCCACTCTCTCTCAATCTTTCCCTCTCTCACTCTCTTTCTTATCCCATTGAACGCGCGGATTCAGCGGAAATGGCAATCAGAGGAGGAAGGTGTGTGTGTGTGGGAGCCTTTGTGTGCCACTCTCTAAACGGTCCACCGCCGACCGGAGACGCTTCCATCGCACATCCTCAATCCGGGAACACCACAAGGAGAAGGAGTAACACACGAGGCGTCGTTGTTGTCTTGAAAAATTCACACAAGGCGCTCGTCAATTGGATGTTAAATGATATTTTAAAGCAGATTTATGGTTTTGCACTAGAAAAATTGCATTTATCTTTATACCTGCTATTTTTTTTTCTTTCTTTCTTTTTGCAAATTAAAATATAAGTCAACTTGAAGAGTTTCTTTTTTTTTTTTTTGGTTTTTCAGAATAACAAAATGAAAATAAAGTTACCTCATTATTAGCCTGAAATATTGGACAGAAAAGGGTTGTTTTTCATGTTATTAAAATTAATCCTTATTACATAAAAAGAAAAATATCCATGAGAAAATCTTCACAACATGTTCAGAGTGTGTTTCATTCAAATTTTGATGAGATTCTCCCAAAATCCATACTTCACACTCTGAACACACCGTGAAATTCCACTAAAGTGCGATGCCTCTTATTGTTCCACACTCTTTCACTTTGAGTATCACAGTGCATTTTTGGCGGAAAGAGGCGGAAAAAACTAGTGAATTGTACACCAACCTGCTCCTTCTTGTGAATCTTGTCCTCCTTCTCGCGCTTCCTGAGATCCACAATGAACTCATTGAACAGCCCTTCGCGCTCACGAACCTTCTCAATGGCCTTGAAGCGATCATCCTTGGAGAATCTCTGCACAAAGTCACTGAAAGATGACCTGAAATCACATCAGCACAAATTTTGTACACAATTCTCAACAAAAAAAAAAACCAACATTCATCAAATCTCACTTTCCATGCAGATTTGCCGACTCCATCAGACTGCGGAAATCATCACGTTTCTGCCTCATTTTGTTCCTCTTCTCGCGGCGCTCCTCCTCAGCGCGCTCCTTCACGTACTTCTCGAACACTTGCTTGCGCTCTCTTGAGGTTAGCAGCAAATATCTGGGATCAAAGACAATTTTGTGTAATTCCTTTTCCCACGTACTAAAAGCTGAAACATCTTTCTCCTTGAGCATCTCCTTGAATGACTTGACACGTGTCTCCAGCGGTACGAGGGCACGTTCACGCGAAGCTCTCACCTCTGCCTCCATCGCAGCCTCCTTGCCAATGTCCAAACCCTTCTTCTCAACACTTTTGCCCGCGGCGGACACTGAAAAGCAAAGAGATTCTATGAGAGGAACACCGCGCAAAAGGTCCATGACACTACTCACAGTCATCCTCAAGCTTTGCCTTCTTCGTCGGTGTCTCGTCACTGTCCTCACTCGTCTCGGACTCTGATCTCTTCTTCGGCGACTCCGCCACCTTGGCCTCCTCGGGTTTCGCCACCGCTGCCACATTCGCCAGCTGTTCGGGCGGCGTGGAGACAGCTTTGTCCACATCGGCGCGCTCTAGAAGATCCTCCGGACGCTCCCACACAGAAGTCCTGGTCGAGGGATTGTAGAAGAACACTCTGCCATCGCCTGTCCACACGACACACCTGCAAGACATTCCGCCAATTGAGCACAAACACAGTCAATCCCACTCTTGTCCACTCACCATGGTGTTCCGCTGATTGGTGTGCTGGAAATCGGTCTGGTTTTGTCCTGCTGCTTAGCCACCTTCGCCTTCTCTTCCTCCTCCTTCTTCTTCCGCTCAGCATCCGCCTTCTTCTTCTTCTCCGCCTTCGCCTCGGCAGACTCCTCATCCTTCTTCACAGCCGCCTCCTGGGGCTTCACCACGAAACCCAGCGGATCGAACACCACGCTGCCCTGCACGCTCGGCGGCGGCACTTGGTGCTGCGCAGGCGGCATGAGCGGCGCGTGAATGTGCTGAGTGGCCATTCGGGCGGCCTCCAGGTCCCGCAGTGCCTGCGGCTTCTCCCACACGCTCTCGGCCTTCGCGGCGTGGTAGTAGTACGGCCTTCCGTCCGGCGCCTTATGTTCCGTCCACTCAGCCGCCTTGGCCAGGATGGCGGGATCGACATCGCCGCCCTTCTTGTCGCCATCCTGGTGCATGCCCCACGGCATCAACGGCGGCACGCCCCACTGCGTGGGCGGGAAGCCATGGAAACCCGGCGGCGGCATGGCGAACTGCGCCTGCTGATTGTACTGCGGCGGCGGTGTGTTCATAAACTGTGTCTGCATCAGGGGCTGAATCTGTGGTGTCGCTTGAGTAGGAGGAGCCTGACTCACCACCGGCGGCGGCGCTTGGCTGATCGGAGGCTCAGCTTTGGCTTCTGTCTGGGTCGGATTCATCTCAGTCTGGATACTTTCCGGCGGCACTGAGGCGGCCTCCACTGGAGTATCCGTTTTGGGCGCCACCTCTGCAGACTTCACCTCCGCCGGCTGACTCCCTGGCGCCTGCGTGTTGTTCTGCTGCTGACTCTGCTGCGGATTCTTCGCGTTGAGCGCCTCAACTTCCGTGTGCGTCATGATCTTGATGTGCGGCCCCTCGGGGCGCGTCCACGTGGTCTCCCGGCTCACGGCGTGGTAGTAGTAGGACTTGCCCTCCTCAGTCTTCGTCTCCACCCACAGCTCCTGCACGATGGGCGGCGCCTGCATGCCCGGGGGGCCGCCGCCGTACGGCATGTGGGGGTTCATGCCCGGCGGGCCGTTCATGTACGGCGGCTGCCCCATGGGCTGCCAATTGGGGTCGTAGTTGGGGCCCTGGAAACGACCCGGCGGGGGACCCACACCGCGTCCGCGATGGTAGAATGGAGGCTGCCCACCTCCGCGGCCTCTCATCATGCCACCACCCGGTGGCCCATACCCACGGCCACCGAACCGAGGTGGGGGGCCCCACGGACGTCCCCTGCAAGCCGAGAAAACTGTACTCACACGGAAAGGCAGCTGAAATGCAATCTTCTGACATACCGGAACCCTCCACGACCCCCTCCTTGAAATCGATTGAACTCCTCTTCCTCCACCTGCTCATTGTTCTGTTCCACCTGTTCGTCCGTCTCCATCTTCATCACGTCCTTTGGCGTCTCCACTTCCATCTTCACACACTCTGCGCGGTGGAAATTTCACGGCAAAACAGAGAAAAGCTGCGATTTTTCGTCAGCCCAAACGCGAGTCACCAACAACGCCTAAATCACGCAATGACGTTTGTCCCATGCTGTGTTGTCGCCTGCAGATGGCGTGGTGGAGATTGTGGGACAAGCGGCCATATTGTAATTTTGCAATGGCGGTGGTGTTTTTGTGGTGAGTGCAGTGAAAATGTGCGTTTTCCCCCAGTTTTCTGCCCTTGTGACGATTTTTCACCCGTAAAAGTACATCTGTGACAGAGGTAAACTCTCATTGATTGTGCATACAGTGTTTTTCTCACGTCCAGTGAAGTTTTTCCACCCTAAAATCCCCACTGAAATATACACTCATGCCACTTGAAGTTGTCAGTGAGATTTTTGGGGTCAAAATATTATCCAAAAAATGCTATTTTAAGCCACACTGTGAGTGAGAAAACTGCGTAAATGTGACACCGATGGTGTTACGGTGTGAAAGGTACACAGTTTTCCCACACCCGGACGTGCGGGTGGCGGCGAATGGCCTGAACAGGGGCGCGACGTCTCGCATGTCCGAAGCGCGTCTCCCATGCGAATCAATAAGAAATATGGATGCCTCGCGGAATTCTCATACACATTTCTTCCCTCATCTCATTGCAGCGTCCCCAAACGTACAGCCATTCGAAAGACAGAGCGAAAATCAGTGAACATTCAGTAGACAATGAACGCTGAAGACTCTGAACAAAGTGTTAAAACAGACATTTCTGTGAAAGCGGAATCAACACCACCGACTTCTTCTGGCCATCGCAGCTCCACGCCAAACGCCACGCCGCAGAAGCACGAAGTGCCGGACGAGCACCTTAGACTCCTGGAAGGTACTGAACATTCCCTACAGATCGCCAAGACTGAGATAAGCAAGTGGGAAGGATGTACAGAAGAGCGAAAGAGTCGTGATTGAGTGGCGAAAAAAAAAAAGTGTGTGTTTTCCCAGTGAAAATTGTGCGTGTTTTGTGGTTTGCAGTGATCGGCAATTCTTCCTCTTCTTGTACAGAGAGAAAAAAAAAGTCCCACACGAAAGCGCTAGACAGCAATGTTGTTTGACAAATTGACTGATTCCCTCTCAATTTAAGCCAGCTAAGATAGAAATGTGTGAACGATTCTTTGAGGCACTTTTCTCGATCAGCACGAAGATTAACTTCACTTTTTTCAGAGATTATGCACTTTTTCCCCTGTTGGAATGTGAGAGGAGATTTTGTGTAAATATTTTGGTCAAGAATGAATTTTGTGCAAACTCTCTTGAAATGCAGTGTTTGACTGAGACAAGTGAAAGAGGTATTTTTGTGTGCACAAAAAAATAAAGCAAAGGTAAACAGACGGTGTTAAAGTTCACAGATTGAACGATAAACACTTTTGATACGCGAGACATTCCAGTGGGAATTTTGTCTCGCAAGCTGGTAAAAAACATGTGGAAAGATCGCTATTTTCTCTCCACCGAAGGTATGCCTAGCTTAACAGTGTCATAGTTTTAAAGGTGTTTTGTAACATGAATCTTCATCTAATATTTCCCTCTTCATTTGACTATCAAATTATTATAGTTTTGATTGTGCTGTAAATCAAGCTGAATCCATAATTCAGCAAAGATTCCTAAACTTACTTCCAGAGTTGATTTAGTTTATAATTTATGATTCTCTATGAAAGTTTTCGGTGCGTCTGAATAACTTTTCACTGAATTACAATTAATTATAGTCGACAGACTTACGATTAATCTCGTTTTCAGCTAAACACACACACTAAGTGTGAAGAAGTTGCTAAAATTAAATGATAAAGAGGTTTAAAATGAACATTTATATTACTTTCAAGACTTTTATAATGATTTATTTCTATAATGCCGAATTCTTACATAATGTTTCATCTTTTCTACGATGATATTGAGAAAACGACGAAATTGGCTTGATTATGAGCAAATTTTGACGCTTTTCTACAGAAAATCTACATAAAAGAAAATAACGATAAACAATAATCAATAACTAATACAAAAAACGTTTTAGGAACGTTTTGATTCAATTCGGTTTCCATTGAATACGTTTCGATGAAATTTATTGTAATAAACTGAGAATAAGAAGAAATACATGTAGAATAAGGAAAAATGCTCAAAATCTCTGGATCGGGGAAAGTGCTTCAGAGAAAGTTCACATTCTTGTGATAAATTCATTGGCATTTGCATGGGAAGATGATCAAAACCACTTCTGTTTTGCAGAGCTTCAGCTTGTGCGCCAGCAATATGCTGAATCCCAGAGGCGAGAGCGAATCCTCGTGCGGCGCTTGGCCAACAAGGAGCAAGAGATGCAAGATTATGTGGTAGGATTTTAAGCGTTGGGAAATGCGAAATATGTGTGTTATTGTCTATCTCTCTCTCTCTTTACAGACTCAAATATCAGAACTGAAGTCAGCTCAGGCGCCAGGGCCGAGCGCACTGAAGAATGCTCTCCTCGATCCCGCTGTCAATTTGCTGTTCCAGAAGTTGAAGACGGAGTTGGTGCAGACGCGAGCGCGCCTCGAGGAGACGCAAAATGAGCTGTCAGCGTGGAAGTTCACGCCAGACTCCAATACGGGCAAGAGGCTGATGGCCAAGTGTCGGTTGCTGTATCAGGAGAATGAGGAGCTGGGCAAGATGACATCCAATGGGCGGCTGGCGAAGCTGGAGGGCGACTTGGCGCTGCAGAAGAACATCAGCGATGAGCTGAAGAAGACGCAGCTGGGTGAGTTCACAGCTGGCGTGGCTGTTTTCTGTGATTGACTGTCTTTTGTGTCTGTGGCGCCTTGCAGATCTGGATGAGGTACTTATGGAGCTGGAGGAGGACCTCGAGGGCATGCAGAACACGATTGTGCTGATGCAGCGGGAGCTGCAGGGTGCAAATGAGAAGATTGCATCGCTGGAGCGCGAGAATGGCGAGCTGCGGCGTGGCGCGGGGTGTGAACATGTGAATGGGAGTCGCGAAATGGACGTGAACTGTGGTGGTAGTGCAAGAACAGCTAAAAATGTTGATAATGTTTGTTTGAACAATGGAGCGGAGGTCAACTGCAAGGACTCAATGGCACGAACTGTGTGTGATGCTGAGCCGGCGGCGGCGGCGGCGGGGTGTCCGAATGGGGGCGCCGCAGCGGCGGCGGAGGCGGAACCGATGGCGGTGGATGGTGAAAATGCTTGTAGTAGAAGTAATAAGCGGACGTACGATGAAAGTGATTCAAGTGAATTTAATGCTTGTAGCAAGACAAGACGATCGTCAGTAGTGAATCAGCAGGAGGATGAGGAGAGCATCAAAGTACAGAATTTTACGGCATTGACTCAAAATGGAACTTTAAGCAAAACTTAAAAGAATGCGCGCAGATTGATTTGCAAGATAAAAGAAAAAAAAAAACAGAGATTATCGGTAGGACAGAATGATACATTAACATTGAGAACAACATTGATACAATTCTTCATTTTATTTTAATAAAAGAAAATATTCATTCAACTAATTGTAACTTGGATTTTTCATCATTTTTCTGGCATTTGTTATGATGCTTTTGGAGCTTTAAAGTTTAAAAGGCATCGCTTGCATGCCAGTTGCGTGACGGCCATCCATTGAAAACATAGAGTCTCTGCTTTTATCACAGGAAAATCTTGTTTCTGCCCAGGAAAAATGATGGCTTTCTCGAGGAACTGCCTCCAGGTTGCTAGGTAAGCTCTCTTAGCATCTGTCCCACTTGATAATCACCTAAAATTCATCGTATTTGCGGTACTTTTGTGTTATGTAACATTGTTTTGTTCTCACATTTCCCTTCGCAGGGGAGCCGGAATTGTGTTTTCCCGGTCCAAGCACACTCTGCCTCAGCTTCCCTATGACTACGCCGCCCTGGAGCCGATCATCTGCCGCGAGATCATGGAATTGCACCACCAAAAGCACCATCAAACCTACGTGAACAACCTGAATGCCGCCGAGGAGCAACTTCAGGAGGCTCTGCAGAAGAGCGACGCCTCGAAAGTGGTGGCTCTGGGTGGTGCTCTCAAGTTCAACGGTGGTGGACACATTAATCACTCCATCTTCTGGCAGAACCTCAGCCCAGAGCGCTCGGATCCGTCGAAGGAGCTCAAGGAGGCGCTGGAGAAGCGCTTCGGCAGCTTCGACAACTTCAAGAAGGAGCTCTCGACGCTCACTGTTGCTGTCCAGGGCTCCGGCTGGGGGTGGCTGGGCTACAACAAGAAGACCAAGCAGGTGGATATCGCCGCGTGCGCCAATCAGGACCCCCTTGAGGCCACCACGGGTCTCGTGCCACTCTTCGGCATCGACGTCTGGGAGCACGCCTACTATCTGCAGTACAAGAATGTGCGTCCCACCTACGTTCAGGCCATCTTCGACATCGCAAATTGGAAGGATGTATCGCAGCGCTTCGCTCAGGCCCAGAAGAGCTAAAGATTCTCACACTGCATTTAATATTTTCCCATCAAAGCGCTGTTCTACCAATAAAACGGTTTAGCAAAAAAAAATTCTATGTTTGACGTCACATCGCATCTGGCAATCCCAGTCTATTTACGTGACAATGTTTTTTGTTACTCCGAGGAAAGTGCCTGTAAAAATGTGATTTTCTCCTGATTTCGCGTGTTTTTCCTCTTTATTTTCTTTCATTTTGAGTTCAATTTGATTTTATGCACGTGCAGAGAGTGCAGTCTTAATGATACCTGTGGGGAAAAGCAGAGAAAAGCTCTATGACATACTAACCCAGCAACACGGACAATCAACAAACCAATAGTGAGTGTTTTTCGCCAATTTTCTGCCAATGTTCAGCAATTGTTCCATTTGTTATTGAGAAAAGTTGGCCCTTGATTGGGAGAGAGTGGAAAAATGGGGATTTTCCAGTGGTTTTCCGTGCTACAGTGGTATATTTCAAAGTGTGACATTAGTAATGGAAGCCTCTTGTTTTTCTTGTCAATTCTCCTTGAAATTCCACAGATAAGCGACCAAAAACACCGCCAAAATGTGTATTGCTTATCAATTTCCGGAAAATGATGGGGAAAGTTAAGAGTTTTCATGGTTTTATGTGGATTCTTAAGGAAATTCCTCAGCATTCCACTGATCTCCACCCACAAGATGGCTCTGCTAGCGAGGCTTGTTGATCGTGTGTTCCGGAAAACTATTGTAAAGAGAAGCACAGACGAGAGAGGGAAAAAGATCGGTGAAAGTGAAGGAAATGGGTTTATTTTTGGACTTTTCACCTTCTCAAGTGTTGATGGTCACTTTCCAATAAGAATCTGTTCTATTCTCTCCAGGATAACGACAACTTGTGACGATAAATGGCTCAGAATAGCGTGGCCAGTCCGCCAATGTCACCGCTATCACCACAATCACCGGCTGGACCGTCGCCGTCCACCAGCGGGGCGACCCTGTCGCCGAACCAGCTGAAATTGCAGGCGCTGCGCCAGAGGAAGGCAGATCTGGAGAAGAAACTGTCAGAGAGGAATAGCCAATTGCAGGAGATTTGCCGCAAAGAGGCTCAACTGATTGGGATCTATCCAGTGGCTATTGATGGCCAGCAGACATCCGCCACACTGCCGAGGAAGATCGGCACGAGCTTTAAATTGTCAGAGATTCTGATCAACAACAAGGAGGATGACGTGAACAATCTGCTGCTGCAGAAGCAACTACAGCAGCAGATCTGCAAGGCATCGCAGAAGCTAATGAGTGACACGAGTCAGCCGAAGTCCGTGCGACGCACACACAAGAGCAACTACGAGGCGGCGCATCAGAAGCTACTGGCGATCAATCACACGCTGGCAGTGATCAAGAGACGACAGTATCAACAGCATGCGGAAGAGAGTCCGGCGATGAGGAGGAACAGCGTGGGCAGTGCGAACACACGCTCGAAGACGGCCAGCATCAATTCGGACAGCTCGGGCAATATCAATGGCAGCGAAGGGGCTCTAAATGAGGCCTCTGTCTATCACCATCTCCATCACTCGCCCACGAAGAGCGTGGCGTCCTTCCCGGGCGCCGGCGTTGGCCTGCATGGCAATCGGAAGCACAGCAATACAGCCCAGTTTTATCCCACTTTCCAAGGCCTCGTGACGCCAGTGGATCCTCATGATTTTTACTACAACAATCACCACATTAAGCACCGATCGGCGATTCTGCTGCAGCAACAGCAGCAGCAGCAGCAGAATTTGCACTTGCTCTATCCGGAGGAGCCGCAGATCTTCCTCCAGCCGCCAGATTTGTTCTGTGACCAATACGTCGAGCCCGTGCGGCCGCCGACTTCATATCAACACCACATGATGCCACAGCCGGACTTCGAAAGCGTCATGGGTGCGACTGGCTTGGGAGGATACTGGGCAATAAATGAGAACAACGAGAAAGTGTGGTGTTCCATGGAGAGATTTTCGAGTCTGGACAGGAATAAGCAGCAGAACCGCATGGCGAAAATCACACACAACGTCACGGTGAGTGTTTCATCGCATAATTCACAATGGATTACAAGAAAATCTATCTACTTCTATTTTCCCAATGATTTCCAGCCCACAAAGTCCACGAGTTTGGGCAACTTTGACTTCCTCACCAAGCACGATGGCGACAATATGTCACTGTCGTCGCTGAATAGTGAGAAGAAGCAGCAATTGCGTGAGAAGGTGTGGTGTGAAACATCTCTGGACAGTGTTGTGCTGAAGCCCAAGGCGCACACACGTCCAGTGCCACCGATTCCAGTGGAGGAGCGTTCAAAGGAGAACATTTATCAGAATCACAGTGAAATCGCGGCCGCGCTGGAACGCTCACTCAGTCAGGCGCCCTTCGATCATCGCCCACCGCCTCTGCCGCCCACATCCTCCACGTTGGCCAGGACGGGTGTCCAGCGAACGGGCTCCAGTCTGTCCAGCAAGGCGGCGGAGATACGCATTGAGTCGCCGAAGAATGTGACGGTGGTGCAGCAAGCCAAATTCATGCCATACAAGGAGGTGACGAAGCCCTTTGAGATGTCTGATTTCTACAAATATTCCACGAAGTTCCGCCAGAAAGTCATGCTGGGCGAAGTGAATGCTGTCGCTGAGCCAAGTGGCAGCGCCACAGACGCCCAGGGCATCCAGAAGAGCGTCTATCAGCCACCAAATCCATCCATCTGCCACCCAATCAGCTATCAGTGAGCGCGTAAGACTTTTTTTTTCACTTCACTTCTCTCTGTTCGTCATGTTGACTAATGCCTCAGAAAAAAGGGGACTTTTTTTTCATTAGAATGTTAGCGCCTTTTGTACGTCTTTGGACTATTTTTAGACACACTTTTGAGTAATAAATTATTTTCTTTAAGGAATAATTGCAATGCATTTTATTGCTTCATCACGATTATCCGTGCAATCTGTGAAAGAACAATGATTTGAAGAGGATTTTTGTGGTATTTTCACTGTAGATTTTATGGAAGTTTATAGATTCTAATAGTTTTTGCCTCTGATCGGTTTGAGACAGTGCAAAAGCGTGACTAAAACCTAATTCAGTTGCACAATTGAGGTTTAACTTGAGCAACTGATCAGCCAAGGAATATCCTTGAGCATAATGACGGTGAATTCGGGTTTGTGTGAGGAAGAAAATCTCCTCGACGTCAAATAGCTGCCAAATTTGTGATTTCACCTTCACTTCTTCAGCCACAATTAATCCTTCGATGTCATTCGAATGTCCACAGTGACTGGAGAACTTCTGGAGACTCTTGATAGCAGCAAGGCAGTCCTTTTCACGCAATCCTCTGGCCAAAGACACTCCGATTAGAGTCTGCTTCTCATCCAATGCAAGCACTGAAGCTCCAGAATTGATGCATTGTTTGATGGTTTGCTTGCTGGTTTTCTTCAGGAACTCTGTGACTTTCTTATAGTCACTTTCTTCTGCTACGCGCAGCAAAAGTCTGGAATTTTCCACACACAATCTTAAAGTGATCATTTCACTAAGATTTTCTACTGTCTGGTGTTCAAAGGTTCCAAGTGATCTTATAAACTCACGTCTCGAGGTGATAATTCTGCTTTATTACCCAGTAAAATGTCCCTTCATAAAGTGACGCCCCGTTTAAAAAAAGCTTAATTAAAGCATTCTGTAAGACACTCTGGCGAATGCTTCAGGTGGCAAAGTGCTGTAAATCGAAAGTCCACGATAATCCTGATAATCGATGTACTTTATATTGAAGAGTGGCTTGAAGTTTAGCGATTCGTTGAGTTTAATTCCCCCTTCTGTGACGGACAGTGAAAAAGCCACGGGAAAACCTTGTTGAACAGCACAATTTATACTTTGTTGCATCAACGATCGACCGAGTGAGATCTTCTTAAAATCACTCCTAATACTGGTTGACGACATAAAAGTCACTCGCGCAACATTGAATCTGCGATGAATTTGTGCTCGCAGCTTCATTTCTTCAGCAAAAATCACACCCTCCAAATCATTTGGATAACCACGAAGACTGGAGAGCGTCTGCAGCCTCTTCAGCTGTTCTCTACTCTCTTCCTCTCGATACTCTCGCGCCAGCATCACTCCAATCAGTTCTGCCTTGTCATCGTCCGTGAATGCGAGAATCGACTGTCCAGAATCAATGCACTTCATCTCATTCTCCTCATCTTCGCGCGATTGCCGCTTCGACACTCTGCCATGGCTGGAATAGTCGAAGGGATAGAAGTGATTCCTGTAGAATTGCAGTACGCTGTCGTAATCACTCTTCTGCGAGAGTCTGGTGACAATTCTGTGATTTCTCAGACACAACCTTGAAGCCACCATTCTTCTATTATCACTGAAGTATTCGCGAGTTTGGGGGTCTTCTTCTTCTATTCTACTTTGCCTTATCAATCTTCTTATCTCATCTGCAGTAATCATGTGTGTCTCTGAGTGTATCTTCAGAGTTATAAACTATGTTAAGATGTACAAAATGGTACAATCCAGTGGTAATTTTCAAATCTTGATGCTTCAATTCATTGCTTACCTTAGCTTAATAAATTCCTCATTATCAGTGACCAGATAGCAAGGGCTATTAATTGTTTATTTTGGTGTATCAACAAATTGTTAATGAATGAATTAATATTTTTAGTGTTATTTGCTTTACCTCAAAACTATTCAAATTCGTCTGCTAAGATTAAAATTTGACCAAAAAAAACAACAAAACCTTGTGAGTGTGAACGCTGAGATTCTACTTAACCAGGAACGCCTAAACTTTATCAATTAATTCGGTCATCTGGATCATGTCACGCTGTGTCTCTGACCAATTTGTGTTGCCGCAACTCTTGCAATCGCTTCTGGTGGAAAAGTACTGTAAATTGACAATCCACGGTAATCCTTGTAGTCCTGAAACTTCATAGTGTGAATTGGCTGGAAGTTGAAGGATTCCGTGAGCTTCACTCCGCCATTCGTGACGGCCAGACCGAAGGCGACACTCAAGCCCATCTCACGCCCGCGCTCCAGTCTCTGCATCATCAGTGTTTTGCCCAGGGAGAATCCCTGAAAGTCCTTCCGCACGCACGTCAAGGCCAAATACAGCGCCTCGTCGATGTTGAATTTCCGACAGATTTGCGCTCTCAATTTGAGATCCTCAACAAAAATCACACCCTCGAGATCATTCGGATAGCCACGAATGCTGGACAGTTGCTGCAGCTTCTTCAGGTGCTCACGACAGTGTTCTTCGCGAAATCTCCTCGCCAGTGACACTGCTATCAGCTCTTCTGCGTGATCATTGGTGAATGCGAGCACTGAAGCTCCTGAATCGATTGACGCCATCTCGGTTGCCTCATCTTCTGGCGACTGGCGCTTCGACACTCTTCCATGACTGGACGGATCGAAAGGATAATAGTGCTTCCTGAGAAACTGCAGAGCTCTGTCGTGATCACACTTCTCTGCCACCCTTATGAGAACAGGGTGATTTTTCACGAGCAATCTTGAAACGATCATTGCTTGAAACTCACTGAGAGATATTTTCTTATCTTCAAATCGTCTTATCTTCCATGTTTCCTTGACTGACGATTCATGATAATAAATTACACTAGGCAACAATCACGAAGGTTTAGGCACTGTTCGAAATGAAGATAAGTTACCATACAGCAGCTGCTGTGATAGAAATAATTCTGATCTCTCTATTAAATTGGGAATCCTTATCGAATAAAGTGCCTAAAAATCGTCTAATTGCTTTTGTTCTACTTTCTTTTTAATTTCCGGCGGCACTGACTTCTATAATGACCCACGGATATTCATCAATAACAATACTCTTCTGGCACATTTTCTCTATCACCGAAAAATATTGCTTCCTGTCGCTTTGGAAATGTGTTGTTGTTTAGTCAAAAAGTGTATAAAATGAGGAGAAAAACTACTTTGTTGCTTAGTTTTCATAGTGATCATGAGGGCAATTATTGTTCTTCTTGCAGCAGTTTTCGTGTCGGTGTCATCATCATCGGTAGGATGGAAACTGTGTCCGTGGCAGCAAAAGTGTCTCTAAGATTTTTTTTCTACTTTCCAGTACTTCAAGTCCCTTTTGGACTTGCGGCAAGAGATTTCGCCTTGGGTTTCGCCGAGAATCATTGAGGGACAAGCGACGAGCGATGGTCAGTTTCCCTATCAGGTTCTCATCGTCGTCTACAGTAACGGCTTCAAGAAGCCCATCGTTGTGGGCTGGTGCGGAGGGGCAATCATCGCTGATCAGTGGGTCGTGACAACGAGTCACTGTTTGGCACTGTGCAAAGACGGATCGGAATTCCCAGTCTTCTACATCGAAGCTGGCTCTGTGCGAGCAGGTCAGGCTCGTCAGACAACTTCTGTTCTCTCCACCGACGCTTATCTGCATCCTGACTTCGATCCCGATTACTTCTGGAACGACATCGGCCTGCTGAAGACGAAGCCATTCGACTTCAGCACGCCCTTCGTGCAGCCCATCGCACTGGTCGCGGCTGGCACGGACTCTACCATGTACGAGGGCCTGTACATCACCATTGCAGGCTTTGGCTACACTTCCACTTCCGGGCCACCGTCGGAGCAGATCCTCTTCACGCACTATCTCAAGGTGATCTCGCTGCAGAGCTGCCAGGAGAAATTCGCGGCGGGAATTGTGCAGGACACAGTGTTCTGCGCCAGTGATCTCTCGCCGCCCATCACTGCTACGTGCTACGGAGACGCCGGCGGTCCCGCCGCGATGGAGATGAGCGGCGTCATGACCCTCGTCGGCCTAGCATCCTTTGCGTCGAAGAAGGGATGCGATCAGGCTCCGCAAGGTTTCACAGATGTGGCTCAGTACGTGAAGTGGATTGGGAAAATGATGGCTAAGCACTAAATTGCCATTACCAGACCAAATATGTTATCTCAATAAAGAGAAATATTATTGAGCAGATTGTATATTTTTATTGGCATATTATTGGCTGTGTTTTGCACTGAGCGTTCTGCATTATCATATGAAAAACCCCAAGAGGAGGATCAACAAAGAGAAAGATAGGGCAAAGCTTCCAGTAGGTAAAAGGAGAAAAGAATAAGAAAAGAAAACAAACAAACAAAGCTTCATCAAGAAATATGGAGCTGATAAACATTCTGAGGTTCATAGAAACAAATACGAAAAATTACTAATATAAGAAGAAAAAGAGGTGGAGCACTTCAGTGGGTGGAGCAAGTCAAATTTCTTATCGTGGTCTTCTTTCATACGCATAATTTTAAAATAGATACATATGATATCTCCTTCTAGGTATTGTTATTTCGCATGTGTGGTTTTCGTCGCACAAGCAAAAATAGTCAAACTGAAGTTATGCTTTCCTCTAATTCAATTTTTCACACTTAATCATCTGATAAAAGGAGAATTATGACTTCCTTGGGCTTTTCCTTTGTCCAAATAGCGTATAAAACTAGCAGCGAATTCTCGAACGGAATTAGTTCAGTTTCTCGTGGAATAATGAAGCGATTCGTAGTGATTTTCTTCGTGGCAGCAGTTTTGACTCTGGCATCGGCGAACATGTCGTCCATGCTGGAGATTCAGTGGCAGAGCAACTTCACGAGGCCGGAATCGAGAGTCATCGAAGGAACAGAAGCCGCGGAGGGCCAGTTTCCTTACCAAGTGCGCATCTCCATCGTCGGGGCCATCATCATAATGGGATGGTGCGGAGGAATGATCATTGCGCCCAACTGGGTCCTCACGGCGGCTCACTGCGTTAAAGGGGACTTTCCCATCTTCCTCCTGGACTATATCGTCTTCTACATAGAAGCGGGGTCAGTGGAAGCAAATGATCCGGAACAGGATACGCACGCACTATGGCTCAACGCACATGCGCATCCGGAGTACAGTTCCACGACTTTATTTAACGACATCGGTTTGCTGAAAACCGACAAGGCCTTTGACTTTACATCACCAAACGTGAAACCGATCGCACTGGTGGCTAGAGGAACTCCTATAGGATCCTTAGTGGGTCTGGACATAACAGTGTCAGGATTTGGTGCCACTGCCAATGGCGGATCAATTTCACCCGTTCTGCGCTTCGCGGTACTGAAAGTCATATCGTTCGTTGAGTGCCAGGGCCAATATGTGGGTGACACACTGCCACCAATGTCCATCTGTGCACAGGATAAAATTGCTCCAATTAGTGCAGTGTGCTCAGGTGATTCCGGAGGTCCTGCAACGTACTATTCTGGAGGAAAATTGCGTGCATACGGAGTTATTTCCTATGCTACAGATCAAGGATGTGACGTAGCAGCGCAAGGATTTACATATATCGCTTTATACATTCCATGGATTGAAACTGTGACAGGACTTCATTTTTAATTCATGTTCTTTTTAAACATGAAAAGAAATGTTTAATAAAGTTCCAACTTAAAATCATAAAATGTTTTATGGCTTTTCGATTCTGTAATCTACGTTTATTTTACCCTTTTCCCATCCATTTTTATCCCTAAGCCTATCTTCCTAAATTAATAACTCTGATATTTCGCGATGCAACGTGTCCACGAACGACCAAGTCGCAATCTTATTCCACAGCTATAGTCATGCGCTAACGAACTCTAAAAGACACTAGACCTATTCTGAATTGCACACACACACTCACACACCAGCTCAGCATTGCTATCAGAGCCAAAATATATACAATACAAGCACAATACTGCCGATACGTGTAACAAATTTAATGAATTTAATTATTTTATGTATTCTTCTTGAGTTCATTGCAGTGGTTTTGGTGTCGGTGTGATCATCATCGGTAGAATGGAAATTGCATCTTTGACTGCAAGAGTGTTTCTAAGAGTTCTTCTGTTCAACACTTCAAGCCCCTGTTTTACCTGCAACAGAAAATATTTCTAACGCTCATTGAAACAAATAAATAGGAAAGAAATGAAGATCATTAACTTTTTTTATACACTATAAGGAATCAATGTAAACTCCAGAGCGATGATCTTAAAGTGCCACATACACTGTGCAACACTTTTCTGCCCTTTTTTGAAGTGTGGATTTTCTGATTCCTGAGTCATCAGCTTTTCAACGGTACCTTCCTTTTTTTCTCTAGACCTTCGAGTTTTCCTTTTAGAGCCTATTTTCCATTTTCCCCTATTTTCACCCACTTTGCCGCACTTATGTGCTCATATCTCGCCCAATTTTTCACGGATTTTCCTCAAATTAGGCTCAAATGATAGCTATTAGAATTACCTACTACTTTGTAAAACATTGTGAGTGTTTTAGATCACTCCTTGGTGATCAAAAATGATCTTTTGTGAACCACTAGGTAAAAAATTCGCCGGCTTTTTTACCACTTTTTTCTAAATATCTCCGAAACGAAGAAACTTTTATGTTAGATTATTTTTCTTTTGTGTAGAGCACTTCAGGGGATGCATTTCCCCCATACATGCCGAAGTGATATTTCTTTTCTATCTGCTGGAAAAACGAGGTTTTCCCTCGACAAGTTTTGCTTTTTTATGCTACGCGCACCCGCTAAAAAATTGAAAGAAGGTACATTTTGCTGTCTACGCACTCATTTAGATAATGATAATGCTTAGATGTTAAAACAAAAGAGAAAAAAGACCAATATCTCGACTTTTTAGCTATATATTAAAAAGAAAACTAAAGGTGTAACAATTGAGTGGACGATATCAACAGGTTTTCTCGAGCTTTTATTGGTGGAGCATACCAAATTTCTTAGCACGTTCTTCTTTATATATAAATATAAATAGAAAATAGGTGCCGACAAAGAACGTTCTAAGCAACCTATAGCTTTTTGTCACGTGCCAGATAATATTATTTCGCAGGTATGGTTTTCGCACGACCAAAAAAAGACAGACTGAAGTTATGTTTTCCTCTGTTCCCATTTTTCACACTTAATCATCTGATAAAAGGAGAATTATGACTTCCTTGGGCTTTTCCTTTGTCCAAATAGCGTATAAAACTAGCAGCGAATTCTCGAACGGAATTAGTTCAGTTTCTCGTGGAATAATGAAGCGATTCGTAGTGATTTTCTTCGTGGCAGCAGTTTTAACTCTGGCATCGGCGAACATGTCGTCCATGCTGGAGATTCAGTGGCAGAGCAACTTCACGAGGCCGGAATCGAGAGTCATCGAAGGAACAGAAGCCGCGGAGGGCCAGTTTCCTTACCAAGTGCGCATCTCAATCGTCGGGGCCATCATCATAATGGGATGGTGCGGAGGAATGATCATTGCGCCCAACTGGGTCCTCACGGCGGCTCACTGCGTTAAAGGGGACTTTCCCATCTTCCTCCTGGACTATATCGTCTTTTACATAGAAGCGGGGTCAGTGGAAGCAAATGACCCAGAACAGGATACGCACGCACTATGGCTCAACGCACATGCGCATCCGGAGTACAGTTCCACGACTCTATTTAACGACATCGGTTTGCTGAAAACCGACAAGGCCTTTGACTTTAATTCACCAAACGTGAAACCGATCGCACTGGTGGCTAGAGGAACTCCAATAGGATCCTTAGTGGGTCTGGACATAACAGTGTCAGGATTTGGTGCCACTTCCAATGATGGAGAAACTTCACCCGTTCTACTCTTCACGGTACTGAAAGTCATATCGTTCGTTGAGTGCCAGGGCCAATATGTGGGTGACATACTGCCGCCAATGTCCATCTGTGCACAGGATAAAATTCCTCCAATTAGTGCTATATGCTCAGGTGATTCCGGAGGTGCTGCAACGTACTATTCTGGAGGAAAATTGCGTGCACACGGAATTGTCTCTTATGGTTCCGATCAAGGCTGTGACACCGCAGCACAAGGATTTACATACATCGCTTTATACATTGCATGGATTGAATCTGTAACAGGACTTCATTTTTAACTTTTTGATGAACCACATAAATCTGTGCGATAAATAAAGCATAAAGCTGAATGTGAAAAGTGTATTTATTATATTGATTTTCATAATTTTCATTTTAGTTTCTGCAAGAAGAATTTTTGAACACTTTCAATATTGCAAGAAAACTATTATTTAAAATGTTTCACAGCAAAAATTGCGCAATGTTTATATATTGCGTAATATTTATATGTATTTAATCTTCTACAATTTAAACAAGCAACCATTAAAAAAATTAGATTGCAACAACTGTATTTCACCTGTTTGCAGCATTTACTGAATGATTGATTCTAAGTCAATTTAAAGTCTTTCGTTCGGATATTTATATACATTCCTGTTCTCCTTGCCGTCTAGTATATTCGTTGAAACGTAGAAAATCTATTCGGTAAATTTCACAGACGACATAACAGATCCACAAAATTGTATCACAATTTTTTGGTAAGACTGAGAAATTACTTAAAAAGGGTTCACTAGAGAAAAGACCATTCAGCAGGAAGGTGAAATGCTCGAGGATCTCTTTTGACTCTGTGAAAAAAAATATCTGAAGCTTTCAAATCGATTAAGTGGGAAAATTAATTCAAATACGAATTGATTGATTTATTTGTAGAAAAAGAGCGGCAGCGAAACGATTTCACAATGGCATCTGTTATCGGATATTCAGCCCTTCTTCTGCTCTCCTTCTCCTTCGCGATGGGAAACATCAGCATCTCAAGGGATTTCAAAGATATCTTCAAACTTGAAGATTTCATTCGCAAAATCATTGAGAGTGAGAAATCGACGGCTGAAAACTTGTTCAACTACAATTATGTGTCTGTGCAAGTGAATGACATGAAAAGCAGTGAAGTTTTGTCCGTTTTGAAAGAGGACGAAACGCGGAAGGATAGAAAATTGTTGCGCACCGGAAAGTTTACTGTTAAAAATAATGGAAATTCAGAAGCCAAAGCAAAAAGTCAATCGTATACTTATAAGAAGGTTCACACTGACACAATCAGTATCACACAAACAAAAGGATTTTCTGGGGGAATTAAATTGCCGTTTATTGATAGTTTCAGTCCAACAGTGACTTTTTCTAACACACAAACAACAACACAAACTGACAGTGTTGAAGAATCCGTCACGATTCCACCGCAAGAAGTGCATTTGGGTCCCAAGAGTCAGAAAGTAGTGAAATATGAACTTTACAGGGAAGAATTGGAGCAGAAATTCAATTTGGAATTCACTGTGGATCCAAATGCAACATTCAACGTGATCAGAACTTTTGTCACTCCTTCTATTTTTCCAGTCAAAAATACCAAAACATTTAAATTGATTGATTTCTTAAGAAAAGCTCATGCGAATAAAAATGAATTTAAGGATTCACATTTCATAAAATATGATTATAAAACAAACAAGTTGATGATTAAGAATTTCACTGCTGTGAGAAATGTGGTAAATGACGATGTCGAAGTCACTTTGGGAGAAGAAGAACCACTGAAGTAACTAAAGTTACAATCCAGCATATTTTGGATTTAGTTTTCATATAATTCTTTGGCTTATTACATTATATCATATTGAAAAATAAATTATTTGAAGCAGACAAGTTATATTTCTCTTTATGTTGCCTTGAATTCTGTTCTCACAGCCGTTTTTGGGGGCAATGTGACTCATTTTGTGGACTGTGTTTTCCTATAATTTGCGCAAGAATTTGAATTTGAGTAATTGCTTTAAATTAAAAAAAAGAAATGAACAACTGTATTTGCATTTTAAAAATTTTTAAATCGGATCAAATCAAAAATATATTTATTGCTAAGATTCAGTAATGTCTCATCAGTCGTGTTCTGATAGTTGATCTGAACATTTGCAAAACCAGAATTTTTCCTAAGCACCAGAAAGTCTTCACAATGGCATCTGCTATTGGATACTGTGCACTTCTTCTTCTCTGCTCTCATTTGGTGTTGGGGAGCATTGAAATTAACAAATATTTTGGTGATTTTCCCAAATTTGTGGCATTCATCACCAATGTTATCAATAGTGAAACAAAATCACTCAACGCGCCAGGTTTTAAAACAAATCGCTATGTAACAATTAATAATCTTAAAATTGACTTAACATCAATTTTAAAAGCAAATGAAACGAGAAAGGATAAAATTTTGATACGCACTGGAGTTTTTTCGGTTAAAAACAATGGAAATTCGCAAGCAGAAGCACAAAGTCAATCCTTCGTCTATAAAAAGATTCACACCGACACAATCAGTATCGCAAATACTGTGGGACTTTCAGGAGCTCTTAAATTGCCATTTATTGACTATTTGACTCCAACACTGACTTTCTCCAATACGAAAACGACTTCAATAAGTGACACAACTGAGGAATGGGTCACGGTTCAGCCTCAAAAAGTGTTCTTAGGTCCAAGGAGTCAGAAGGAAGTGAAATACGATCTCTACAGGGAAGAATTAGAGCAAATATATAATTTGGAATTCACAGTCGATCCGACTTCAACATTCACTGTCACTAGATTCATAAGATACCGACAACTCGGAATGGTGGGTAGTTCCAAAAAAGAAGACAAGTTCAATTTATTGGAATTTTTAAGGAAGGCACATGAAAAAAATTTTAAATTTCATTATTCAAATTTCATAAAATACGATTATAATACAAACAAACTGATGATAAAGAACTACACTGCTGTGAGAAATGTCTTTAATGATATTGTTGAGGTCACTTTGGGAGCAGAAGAACCACTGAAGTAGCAAATATTCAGATAAGTCTTAATTCACTGCTTTATTCTCATGTAATAAATTAATTGTCCAATAAAAAAACAATCTGCGTTTCAGTTCTTATTTTACCCATTTTACCACGATGAGGAAGAAAACTTTTTCCTCTAATGCTGCTTTTGTATTCTGCCCGACTGTGCATTTGCAACATTGTCTAGAGTGTTGTTGATTGTATCTTCCAGCAATTTGCGCAAGGTTTTACAAAAATAAAGACTTTGTTTGATTGAATAAAAAAAAAACTTACATAGAAAATTAATTCAACATCTGTATTTGAATTTCGAAATCAATCAAGTGAAAAATATACATTTAAGCAGTTTGATTAATTTCTTCCACATCAGACGTGTTCTGATAGTCGATTTGTGGATTTGTTGAAACGTGAATATTTCCTGTACAAGATCCACGCCCAGGAAGTCTTCACAATGGCATCTGCTATTGGATACTGTGCACTTCTTCTTCTCTGCTCTCATTTGGTGTTGGGAAACATTGAAATTACCCAAGATTTTGGTGATTTTCCCAAGCTTATAGCATTCATTACCAACATTATCAAGAATGCAAAATCACTCAGAGGACCGGCTTTTGGCATATCTACTATACGTATTAAACTCGATAACCTTAAAATTGACTTAACATCAATTTTAAAAACTAACGAAACAAGAAAGGACAAAATATTGATACGCACTGGAGCATTTACTGTGAAAAATCATGATGATTCAGAAGCAGAAGCACAAAGTAACTCCTTCATTTACAAAAGTATTCACACCGACACAATCAGCATCTCAAATACTGTGGGACTTTCAGGAGCTCTTAAATTGCCATTTATTGGTAGCATTACTCCAACACTGACTTTCTCCAATACGAAAACAACTTCAACAAGTGACACGACTGAGGAATGGGTCACGGTTCAGCCTCAAAAGGTTAAATTGAAAGCCAGAAGTCAGAAGGAAGTGAAGTTTAATCTTTACAGAGAAGAACTGGAGCAAATTTATAATTTGGAATTCACTGTGGATCCAAATACAATATTCACTGTAACTAGAATTATAACATATCCTTCCCTTGGCTTTTCCTCCACTTCGAGAATATACGATAAGTTAAATTTAAGAGGCTTCTTAACGAGGGCATATAAGCATAAAATAGAATTTAAGGATTCACATTTCATAAAATACGATTATAAAACAAACAAGTTGATGATTAAGAACTACACTGCTGTGAGAAATGTCTTTAATGATGTTGTCGAAGTGTCTTTGGGAAAAGAAGAGCCACTGAAGTAAAAAAATGTTACAAAATGTAATAAAACAGTTTTCTATTCTTTGCTTCGAAACCAGCATTTCTGTCTCGATTTATGTGTTATTTCTGGAACAAAGATGTTTGAAACACAGCAGAGAATGTAAGTATTAGTTTATTAAAACATATTTGGAATTACTAAACATTGCAATAGTTTGTGGCGCGTGTGTTACAACATTTTACATAATGACATTTTTTTTTTGAATAAGAAACCTTTAGAAAACCTCTAGTCTGGCGACCAATTGAAAAGTGTATTTAATCAATTAAACTCAGTTCTTTGTCATCAGTAGTATTCTTCCTGTCGTCTTGTTCGTTTGTGGAAACGATAATATCTCTTGAGTAAGTTTCTCTTCGATAAATAATTTAAACCGCTTTTCATGCTTGCGCAAGAAGTCAACAAGAGTACCTATGTGATATTTAAAATCGATTAAGTGGTAAAAATAATTCAAATACGAATCGATTGATTTATTTGTAGAAAAAGAGCGGCAGCGAAACGATTTCACAATGGCATCTGTTATCGGATATTCAGCCCTTCTTCTGCTCTCCTTTTCCTTCGCGATGGGAAACATCAGAATCTCAAGGGATTTCAAAGATATCTTCAAACTTGAAGATTTCATTCGCAAAATCATTGAGAGTGAGAAATCGACGGCTGAAAACTTGTTCAACTACAATTATGTGTCTGTGCAAGTGAATGACATGAAAAGCAGTGAAGTTTTGTCCGTTTTGAAAGAGGACGAAACTAGGGAGGATAGAAAATTGTTGCGCACCGGAAAGTTTACTGTTAAAAATAATGGAAATTCAGAAGCCAAAGCAAAAAGTCAATCGTATACTTATAAGAAGGTTCACACTGACACAATCAGTATCACGAAAACAAAAGGTTTTGTTGGAAAAATTATGGATATATTGAAAAATGTTGGACAACCTTTAACTTTATATAACTTTACGAATACAGAAACAACAACACAAACTAACACTTTCGAGGAATCTGTCACGATTCCACCGCAAGAAGTGCATTTGGGTCCCAAGAGTCAGAAAGTAGTGAAATATGAACTTTACAGGGACGAATTGGAACAAAAATTCAGTCTGGAATTCATAATTGATCCAAGTGCAACATTCAACGTGATCAGAACTTTTGTCACTACTTCTATTTTTCCAGTCAAAAATACCAAAACATATAAATTGATTGATTTCTTAAGAAAAGCTCATGCGAATAAAAAAGAATTCAAGGATTCACATTTCATAAAATATGATTATAAAACAAACAAATTGATGATTAAGAATTTCACTGCTGTGAGAAATGTGATAAATGACGATGTCGAAGTCACTTTGGGAGAAGAAAAACCACTGGAGGCAAATTAAACAAAATAATATAAAAGATATCAAGTGTGATTTCTTTTAAATAAAAATTCAATGTTTGAAGCAATTCTAAAAATGTAAATATATGACTTTGTTTCTATTATTATTCTAATATTTCACACTTGCAATTCATGATAAACATTCTCTATTTGTACCTAACCTCTTCGGAAAAATTTATATGAACCAATTGTATTTGTTTTTATTTCAATACATTTCATAAGTTTCTTGATCAATTGGAAAGTCTATTTAATCACTTATACTCAGATCTTTACCATCAGTCGTGACTTTTCGTCGACTAGTGCAGTTTTCAAACGTTATCATTTGCTGAGTAAGTTTTAAGTCACTTTTACTACTTAAAGATAAATAATTGATTAATTCGCAGGACAAGAGGCGCAATTGAAAGTCTCCACAATGGCGTCTGTTACTGGATATTTCACTCTTTTTCTTCTCTGCTTCTCTACAGTTATGGGAGGTCTTGAAGTTAACGAAAATCTTGATGACGTATCTAAATTTCTAGATTTCATCAAAGAAGCTATTATGAGTGGACAAATACCATTAACAGGACTGGGATTTAATGTAGAACCTCCACGTGTATATATCAATAGCATGAAAATTGAATTGACTTCGTTCTTGAAATTGAACGAAACTAGAAAGGATAAAGTTTTGGTACGCACTGGAGTGTTTATGGTAAGAAACAAGGGGAATTCAGTTGCAGACGCACAAAGTCAATCCTTCCTCTACAAAAAGACTCACACCGACACAATCAGTATCGCAAATACTGCGGGATTTTCAGGAGCTCTTAAATTGCCATTTATTGACAATTTCACTCCCACACTAACTTTCTCCAATACGAAAACGACTTCAATAAGTGACACGACTGAGGAATGGGTCACGGTTCAGCCTCAAAAGGTGCAATTGCAAGCCAAAAGTCAGAAGGAAGTGAAATACGAACTTTATAGAGAAAAATGGGAGCATGTATATAGCTTGGATTTCACTGTGGATCCAAGTACAACATTCACTGTGGTTAGAACTTTAAGACGTCGTGTTGGAACATTCTGGGAGAATTCTGAAAAAAAGGATAAGATAAATTTGGTGGAGTTCTTGAAGACAGCATATGAAAAAGATAGGAAATTCACTGGTGCCCCATGCATAATATACGATCATGTTACAAATAAGTTAATGCTCAAGAATTACATTGTTGTAAGAGAATTGGTTAATGATATTGTTGAGGTTACTTTTGGAGAAGAAGAACCCCTGAACTAAAACCGTCATAAACTTCTGCAAATTATTTCTGCAATTCTATGTTTAGAATCCAGCACATCCAAATTGTTAGTCTCTGTCAAATATATTAAATAAATTGCTTTTTGCACTTCAAAATGAAACTTTTATTTTTTTTATTGAACTTTATTTAATTGTATTTCATTTGCATTTGAGTAAGTTGTCAAACTGTGTACTTTAGAAAGTTGCTTAATGAATAACATCATTCAAATAAGAGAATTTATTTGAACAAAAATTTCTTATGTGTGAAAAATTTGATTAAACAACTGTATTTGCGATTGAAAACCAAGCAAATGAAAAGTACATTTAAGCAGTTAGATTTAATTCTTCCTCGTCAGTTGTGTTCTGATAGTCGATTTGTGGATTTGTTGACACGTGGCAATTCCCTGAGTAAGTTTTGAGCAGAAATTAGCCACTAAAACTACTTAGATATGCATATTGATGTGTTTGTAGGTCAAGAAAGCACCAGAAAGTCGACACAATGGCATCTGTCACTGGATATTGTGTACTTCTTCTTCTCTCCTCGTGTTTAGTGTTGGGAAGTATCCAAATTAACAATAATTTTGGTGATTTTCCCAAACTTCTAGCCTTCCTTGGTAACGCTATTAAGAGTGAAAAATCACCTGATGGTCTGTTATATGAGAGATACAGGCTTACAATAGACGTTGATAAAGTCATAATCAACAAAATTTCATCAATACTGAAGAAGAGCGAAGTTATTAAGGATAAAGAATTGCTGCGCACTGGAGTGTTTATTGTTAAAAATACCGGAAATTCGCAAGTGGAGGCACAAAGTCAATCTTACATGTACAAAAAGATTCACACCGATTCAATCAGCATCGCTAATACCAAAGGACTGACTGGAGCGATTAAAATCCCGATGATTGATCATTTTGGTCCAACAGTGACATTCTCCAATACTAAAACTACATCACAAATCGATACTACTGAGGAATGGGTCACGGTTCCACCTCAGAAAGTTCAATTGAAGCCCAAAACCCAGATGAAAGTGAAGTACAATCTGTATAGAGAGGAATTAGTGCAGAAATATAATTTGGATTTCTTAGTCGCTCGAAATTCAACTTTTATTGTGACTAGAGGTCTATCGTATGCTTTTTCAGGTATCGAAAGAATAAGGCAAGACAAGCTATATTTACTAAGATTTATAAGATTGATGCACTTGAAGGGTAAGAAATTCAATGATTCTAAGTCTATAGAATATGATTTCAAAAACAAACGACTATTGATCAAGGATTACGTTGTTACAAGAAAAGTGGTTAAAGATATTGTTGAGGTCAGTTTTGGCGATGAAGAACCAGTGGAGCAGTAAAGATTTTCCCAAAATATTGTAAGTGACTTGGCAGAAAACTTCTTTGTGTTTCAGTCACAATTCAGATTGAAGAACCAATAAATGAATAAATGTCACGTAGAATTCCATTTTGTGTATTGTAATAATTGTAATGACTACAATTCTTGCTAAATTTACTGTCTCAGCTTAGGAGATAAGTAAATGAGGCACGCTGTATATTATTTTTGATTATACAAATAAAATTTATAGCTTAAATTCAACAGTCTTTTATTAGATTTCGGAAATATCAGTGATTCATTAGCATCATTCATTTGCCACAGTTATCGTGCATGATTTCATCTTCATAACAAAGTAAGGAGAAAATTACTTTTCACTGTGTTATGCAACAATCGGCACAAAAATTCCCTATAAATAATCTCTGTTTGAAGAAGACTAAGAAAAAATCATGTGCAATATCTGGATTCCAGTTGAGAAATCCAATTGCGAGCTTATCAGAAAAATTAGCAGAGATTTGCACTTATTTATTTGATGAATTCAGTTTCCTTCCTCAGTCGCGTTCAGCTTTTCGACTGGTTCATTAGCTAGCAAGTGAATATTTCTCTGACAGAAGTAAATTTTGACTACGATTAAGAAGGAATAGCAAGACGGATTAAATGTGAATATTGATATAATTGTAGGACAAAAACAGCGCGATTTGTGGTGCCGAGTCAAATATTATCAGCAATTTCTCACAATTTTGCCAAGGAATAATCAAGAAACTGCAAAATGACATTCAGCATTGGATGTTTCACTGCTCTTCTACTCCTCTCTTCCTTTGCAGAAAGCATCCACGTTAATCACGATTTTAGGGATATTTTACAACTGCAAGGATTTATTCGCAGCGCCCTCGAGAGTGACAAATCGTTCTTCGAGAACCTATTTAATCATCATCTTATTTCTGTCAATGTAAATAATATGGTAATTAATGAAATGACATCTATTTTGAGATCGGGTGAAACGAGGAAAGATAAAGTCTTGTTGCGCACTGGAGTGTTTATTATTAAGAACACCGGAAATTCGCAAGTGGAGGCACAAAGTCAATCTTATGCTTATAAAAAGACTCACACAGAATCAGTTAGCATCGCTAATACCAAAGGACTGACTGGAGCTATTAAATTCCCAGTCATTGACAATTTTAGTCCAACATTGAGCTTTTCAAACACCGAAACAACAACACAAACTGAGAGTGTTGAAGAATTAGTCACAATTCCACCGCAAAAAGTGCTCTTGAACCCGAAGAAGCAGAAGAAAGTGAATTACAATCTCTACCGTGAGGAATTGGAGCAGAAATATACTTTGGAATTCACTGTAGATCCGAGTTCATCATTCACTGTGACCAGAAGTTATAGTGTTCCTGCTGGAAGTCATCCAGCAACGACTTCGGAAACGTTAAATTTAGTGGCATTTTTAAGGAAGAGGCATGAAAATGGCAAAGGATTCAACAATTCCAATTACATAAAATATGATTACAATACGAATAAGTTGATGATCAAGAATTACACCGCTGTGAGAAATGTTGTTAATGACATTGTTGAAGTCACTTTTGGAGATGAAGAACCACTGAATTAACAAATGTTTATAATCCGAGAAAACTTTTTATGCACCTTTGACCTGAAGCAGTTCAACACGAGAGTGCAGCATTTGAGATAAGAATAAGAGTACAATTTTCTCCAGCACATGTTAATCAGTCTTGGATTTTTTGGTTTTACTTGAAGGATTCAATAATTACAGTTGTAAATCGCACCAGGAATTGAATGTGTGGCAATCAGGAAGATTTGTGAAAAAAATACCCATAGAAATTCTTGATTAAGTTGAATATTATAAACATAACTAGAAGAAAGTGTCAGAATTTCACACCGACAAAGGCGAAAACAATTCTATTCAAATGAATATAATTCACGATAATGTTGACAAATTGATAGTGAAGGTAAACAGTGAATTTACTAAGGTGTTTTTGGCTTTTAAAGCCAAAGCTCTTTATTGTATGTTCTTCTTGAAAACAATTGTTATTGAAAATATTAATTTATTTAATAAAATTAATTATATTTAATAACCTTACATTTAATGCATAACGTGAATTCATTCCATTTCATGATGAAAATGATGTGAATTTGGTATTTTGATTCATATTTCAACCTTTTTGATTATCTATGTACAGCCAATATTTGTCAAATTCACCTAAATAAAACACCTTACAAACTAAATAATAATAATAATAAAAGGAGATGGCAAGTTCACTTTAACCATAATGATTTACTCTCAACCAATTACGATAAAAATCTTGTGATCCAGAAACAGACAGTAAATTTGAACTCAATTTGCTAAAAAAAAAAAAATACACATTGCAAGGGCCCCTGTTTAGCACTCTTTGTTGAGCAGCATGAGAATCTTCATTTGGATGTCTCTTGCTTGCTCCTTTGTCATGTCTTTCATGCGTGATGCGAGGAAGTCACAGAATTTCTGATCCTCCAGTCTTATGCCGTCGTCCCTCGACGTGCCATTCATCACGCCGGACTGTGATGTCGTTGCGGGTGTGTCTGAGCGATCGGGAAAGTCCCTGAACATCGACTGAGCCCTGCGTCTCTGAGACATCGCGGACTCGCGCTTGATGTTCGCGCCAGAAATATCCAGATCCTCATCACTGGAAATCACTATGCTCTCCTTCGTGTCCATATCATTCACACAGAGGAGTTCATGTGAGCTGGGATGCTCTATCACGATCTGTTCGTCCGCCTCCTCGTCCATGTCGTCCGTGAAGACGCCCGCCTGGCCAGCAGATGTGCTCCCTTCTGAGCCATTTGGATGCTCCAGCACTGCATCGAAGTACGCGAAGTCGCTGAAGTGCTTCCACTCGAATGTTGAATTGCCACAAATTGTCGCCCGCATCTTCACAAGTCTGTAGTATTTCTGCATACTGTAGAACTTCGCCTTGATCCGCACTGGAAGGAAATAACGGTGAAAAATTCAATAAACACGAAATTAATAGCAAAACACGGCGCGCCGCTGTTATACCGAACGCGCCTCTCTGTCAATGGCCTTTTTGTTGATGCAGAAAAAACACAGCAAACCGCCCACAAACACTCACTCACCACGTGAAAACCATTGCCTGAAGATCGGATATCTGTCTTTCAGCTGCACTTCCAGCAGAGAATACAGTCTATTCTGGACAATTCGACTTGTGTATTCAGCACTGTGATAGTTCCACAGCGCCGGGTTTTTCTTATAAAACTCTACCATGAATGACTCCATTTCGTACGACCATCGGATTTTCTTCCTCCCCTTTGGATTCTTAATCTTCATAGTGAACACACGCTTGCACTGGGCCCTGAATACAATTTAACAGCTAAAAAAGGAGAAACTCTCTTAACATCAGGCACCTGATAATAAACATTGATGACTGTTATACTGTCATGCTGTCAGTGCTGTCAGTTAATGGGTAAACATTTTGACGACTCGATGGAGGGAAAATCCGTGGAAAACCATCGAAAATACCAGTGAAATGGAAAAGCCGCAGGGTTTTGTGTATTCTAAGCTGCTCAAGGAACAGCTGCAGCTTGTGAAAACGAAGGAAATCCTCCAGAAAATGCTAAACAGTGTCAATGAGAATCTCAACGCGGCTCTGGTGAGTTTTTTTTTCTCCTCACGCAGATTGTTTACAAATTTTCTCACTCACCCCTTGATCTTCCAGGTTCAGCAGCTTCAGCTGGCATCTGACCAGGAGTCCTCCTCGTCGGCTCAGCACCCACCCGACGTGGCAGCCGAGGAGATCAGCGCCGAACAGGAGGTTAAAGACATCATCCAGGAGACTCTGAATCTGGAAGTTCGCAGTAGAATGAAAATGGACGAGGAGAGCGAAGAAGAATCAGATTAGGCGAAGAGAGACATAAATTACCTGTTCGGGAGTTGCGCTAATGGCCAATAAAGACAAGGTGAGTGATCCCGAGTTCTTCCCACTCAACGTTCTGGACGCTTTCGGACGAAGGCAGCAAAAGTGTCCTCATTAAATCCACTCGAGTGCTTTTCTGGCGATTTTCACCTAATAAACATTAAAGTATTATTCAGTATGTCACTGAATCATTTTCTCTCACACATGAAAAAATGGTGGGAAAAGTAATTGAAGAAATCACAATGAATGGGCGAAGGTGAATTAACTGACTTTATGAATGAGTTAATCCATAAAGTCAACAGAATTGTAGATAGGCGCGTATTCTTGCTAAGCTTACGTTGGGTTGGGATTTCTGAGGCTCTTGCTGAGGGCGAATCGAACGGGAAAAGGTCTAATTTGAAGCTAATTGGTTAAAAAATCGCCACAACAATCTCAACTCTTAAAGCGATAAAAGAGCTCCAAAACTCAATCATCGCTCTAATATTGACATCACTGCACTGTCTTTTATTCGCGAGTTGGTTTTTATACTAATATTGATTGTGCTGTGGTCATTGAACTGACCACACAACACAAAACTATTTGACTGTGTCGAAGAATTTCAAGTGAATCAGCTCAAAATAGGATCTGCTTTGAGCCCCAAAGAAAAATCACACTCTATTATTGGAATGTATACAAAATCGCCAACACTTTTTTTTCTGCATTCACGTGGCTTCCAATGTTTTGTGGCTCTTGTGCAATTATGGCACGCTTTGGAGGAGAAAAAAAATATCTCGAGATCAGCCACACAATCGCTTGTCTTACAAGATCTCTCTCTCACTCATTCTGTCTCTCCCACCCTCGCGAGTCGCGCAAAAGGAAGTTTTTTCCGCAGCAGCAGTCAAAGTGAATGTTTGCAGTGTTAATAAGAACTAGAACTTGTTTGTGCTTCGGTGCACAAATTCATTTGATTGAGGCGAGAAAAAGGCAAAAAGCGGCGCACAGTAGAAATTTCTACAAAAGCACGTCTAGATTGAGAGGTTTCCCAATATTTCAGACTTTGTGCTGAGACTACAAAACACTGTGCGACAATCTGTGGCTGCGTCCGTTGGAATTGAACAACTCTGGCATATTTAATGAGTTCCATCTTTCACTGGTGTTGGGAGAAAGAAAAAAAGACACATTTACGAAGGAGTCTTGCAAAAGATTTACATCAAAATTTGTGCTAATCTGCACAAATGAGGTCCATTTTTCATTGCTTAAGAGGAAAATTAGATGATTTTCGAATTGGGAAATAATATCAAAATTGGCAATTTGATTGGAAATGTGAAGATTAATCAGAGTTCATTTGTGTACAAATTCTGAATAACATAACAAAAAAGTCATCTATTTCCTCTTGTCCATATTTCTTATCGAATTTTCCTTCATCTTAATTAATTTTTATTTCATTTCCAATGGTTCTAACTCAAACTTGAACTTGCTTTTGGCTGAATTCACTGAACAAATCGTACTCTACTGATATTTCCTGAATAAAAGACTATTCTTTGTCTGTAATTTCTAACATATCACTAAATTTATACGAGAAATCTTGAAGAATACGCATAAAATCTTCATATTCCCACATGTTATAAGAGATTTGAAACTGAATTGTTGTCATTGTGTTTTGGGAAATGACAATTTCTGTCCAAAAGCTCTTCTAAAACCTTCTTGATACTGAGAAATTAAGGTCAGTTCCGCGCTCGTCTACAAAACCTTGCAGTCTCTCCAAAATCTTCTACTAAGAATATTTCATGCTTCTCCACTCATCACGATGAGGCATTAGCTATTTAAAAACATGTGATGTATTTGTGGTGAGAAAGACATGAGCATTTCCACGAAAATCCCTCCTTCGGCGCGACTGTCCGGAATTGATGGCCAAACAGAGCCAACTCTTGGCGACCCCTTTTGCTGTATGAGAGATTTACCAATTACTTCACCTTGCCGCGAAGCACATTTTCTCAATTCTCTTTAGTATGGGAATGCAAAAAGCTCTCTCGTGCGCACGCCAATTCCTCCAGTTTCCCACTTGGGTGTGCACGATCAAATTGGGCGCCCTCGTGGGGCTCGCGAGAGTGGGAGAAAGACGTGGTCTGTGCTTTCTGCTCAACACCTCACATCATCAGTTGTAATTCAACGATTTTCTCGCGTTGCCGTGCCTTTGCCCACCTGTGTGCGCTCTTTTTCCCTCGCTCTCCAAGAAATTTCACCTGAATTTCTTGTGCGGTGCTTGTGGCTGTGCTGAGTGCTCGATTTTTGGGATACAAATGCCAACCCTGTGCGGCTAAATCGCAGCTAGAATTGGCCGAAATCGAAGGATACATTTGCTCTTTGGTGTGATTGTTGATTTTGTACTTTGAGGTGCGCTTTTCACGTGTAAGTTTGGCAATTGCAGAGATGCTTTACATTGATAGAGAGTTGGAGTTAAACTATGGGGCTGACCCAGTAAAAAGGTGGCAAAAGAGGCGAGAGAATGGCTGAAAGTGAGAGCATTTTCACTGTTGTAGGGCTCTGATTGTGGAATGTCTTAAGACATACCACATCACCTACATTTTCAAGTATCGTTTAATTGCAAAAGACGCGGAGTCTGTGAAACGTGGTTACCTTTTATTCTTCCATCAAAAATGGTGAGAGTGTGAGCGAGAGAGAGAGAGATTGACAATAAATACCAAATGAGAGTGACTCTTTGGGAAAGTTTGAGAGACTTGGCGAGATGTTGGTGATTAAATATGAAAAGGAAAAAGAAGCATTTAATGAGACAGATGAAATTTTGCAAATATGGGAGAGAAGAGGAAGCGCAAAAAGCATCAATATTTGAGTGCCGCGAGGGAAAAATGATGAGATTTCACACATATTTTTGCCATCATCACTTTTGTTAACGCAAATATGGATTAAATATAAGCGATCTCACGATGAAGTCATGAAAAAAAAAAATTGGAGCATTTTCATCAGTGTAGAAAGTCTCGCCAGTGCGAAGAGAGAGAGAGAAGGAGAGAGATAGAGAGAGTTTCGTGCATATTGGAAGAGAATTCAATTTTGACATTAAAAATTGAATACATTTGCCAATTTATAACGTAATAACCTCTTCGTGTGCCTATAAATTTTAATAGTATTGTCTTATGTTGTAACGCTACAATGAGATATGCTGTATTATGTCACTTTTCGCCTAAAACCCATTGGCTTGACATACAAGCAAAACGTCCAAAATTTATCGAATCTGCATTCATTTTCATTGATCACGCAAAAAGTGTGCGAGTCTCTCTTTCACCGGAATGACCAAAAGAGAGTGATCCATCTGGTATCGCTTCCACATCATCTGGAATTTCTCACTCAAGCTCAAGCTGAAGGAAAGTGATAGTGGATCATTTTGCCCAATGCGAAGTGTGAGTTTGAGAAATGGCGAAATTGTATTGATCTTTTTCCTTTCTGATGGAATAAATTGGCATAATAATTGTAATTCTCACTTGACTCGCATTTGCCATGGAATTTCTCACTTAGAAATTTATTAGATTTTGTCAGTGATTGCAATAATGCCTCGAGCTTTCGAATACTCTGAATTGCTGGATGAAAATCCTTGAAATTGTTTGGTATTTTTTAATTAGCCAGACAAGCGAAATCACCGCCCAAACGCATAGGAGAAATGAGAGTTATTTGTGGTATTAGAATAAAAGTCCCATTGATAAATTTGTAATGTGCGCAAGAAGAGCTCCTCTCTTGCGCAGGAAATCGTGAAAGATATTGCAAAAGGAAGAGCGGCGCGGCGTCTTCATACACTGACGATCACGAAATGTAGGCCCATCTCATATTTCATGGGAAATTAAGCACGCGCTTTCTTGTACAATTGCCACAAATTACCAATGCATTCATTTCGTGAGGAAGTATTTTAGACACAAATGATGAATTTACTAAGTGAATGCAGAATGTTTATTAGCAATTGTATTCAGTTTTGTGCATTTCACACTGATTTCACACTTTATTTGCCACAATGATTCAATTAAGAGACAAAAAAAGAGACTATTAAGGGATGTCGAGAATGTCTCAATATTCGTTGTCTTGTGACAATCCATCAGGATCTTAAAGGAAAATCCTGTGTTGGAATAGGACAAGAATGTTTCAATTATCCTGTGACTGACAGGCTTTCTCGTGAAATCATTTCTGAATTTAAACATTAGTAAACAATGAAGTAATCCGCGGAAGATTAGAATATTCATTAATTATCTCGAGGGCTTTTGTGGCTTTTACACAATTCCTTCTTCTTCGTCATCATTTGCTTTATTAGAAATTCAAATGGGGAGTGATGAGAGTGAATATCTCGGTGAAGCGCCGTCAAAAATCACTTTACGATCGCTTTCAATGGCTCAGCAAGAAATTGAGAAGCTGTGTTTTTGACCACCTGCTTGATGAGCTCTTCAATCAGTTTACAAAGCTGTGCGCGCATCGTTAAAATGAGTGAGAAAAGCTCGGGAATTGGACAAAACACAGGATTTGGTAACAGAAACAGTCGCGTTGAGTGGAGGAAATCATGAGATAATAATTGTAAGTGGTCAGGAAAGTCTTAGAGACGATAATTTTGGGATGCTGAGCGAGTGTTTAGCGAGTTTTGTGTGCTGGTGTGCGCCGAAAAAAACAAGCGACACAGCCTCACGATGGGTCGTTGAATGGCAGAGTGAAACTTTCACTTGTGATATAATTTAATGAAACTGTACACAAAGTACATAAACATGTCTTCGTCTCCTGCATCGCGCGAAAAAGCGGCACATGATGAGCAACGTTTGAGATGTTGCGGCAAGATTTTTCCCATTTCCCAGGGCATTTACTTATTGCCTTCACCATCGCAATACAGAGTCTCTATGTTGCCCAATAAAATTGTATCTTTATTTTATTGATGAATAGAACAAGACACACTTGAGAGGTGTTTTTTTTATTCACCAGCCAGCGAAGATTTCCTCATTGACGTGTCGACGGCTGAGGCGTGACAAATATGCATATAAAAGATTACAAGTTTCGACTGAAAAATGTCCCTCAGACGTGATTTTTGATAGAGAAATTCACCTTGAACGTGAACTTGAGGCGCGATGAATCAGATGATTTTGAAAGTTTTATATGCGTGCGTCTCAGGTGGAGAAAAAAGTCCCACC